ATTTTCAGAGGTGGAGAAAAACTCGTTTGACTTTCACCCCAATTGTTCCCAAATGCACTTCATTGAAAGAAATTTTATCCAGATGTGTTTTCAAAGCTGGAAAAGTGTATGTAAAATAATTTATGGGCAAAGCCATAAAGGATGGATATGCTATAAATATAATAGATATAATGTGTGTTGGATATTTTTTATACTGCTGAGCTGCAGATGAGGTTCTCCAATTACTTTTTTTGTAGCTATATTTATAACACAAAGATTTATACCAATCATAAATTCTAAAGTGGTGCAAAGCAACATGAGCATCAATGGAAAATAACAACTTTTATCAGCATGCACACAGAGGATACCAGTAGTATTCACACATAGTCTTTCTCAGTTCCCTAATTTTACACCAAGTACTCGGCCAAGAAATATTCACTGAGAGAGCCTAGCCTCAAGGAAGGCATGTAAGTGAAGGAAGCCGTGAGATATGATAATGAAAGCACAAAGACAAACACCTGTACATATGTTTACAGGAAACAGGAGAAGCTTAAGGACATACAAAAGAACAAGACATAGTGGAATTCTAAATAAGAGATCATTCTAAGGATATGTACACAGTGTTAGAGGGCCCAATCTAATCTTTATTTAGCATGGCAGTGAAAGAGCCATTTTTCTTTTTTTCATCTATTTAGCTAACCTAGAAAGGTCAGAAGAAGAAAGATCATATTTTATCACATCACATGTGATATTTTTATGTCAGCAGTACTTCTAACTATATTGTGAGCAGGAAAAAATAAATCTCTGGGACACTGGAAGTTGCACTCCTTGGATTTGCTGGGATCAAAGTTTCTGGATTGTCTGCATGCAGCATTAAGCACAATCAGACCTGTCGTTTTGGAAGAGGAAAAAGTCACCATCCATACCTATGGTTGACACATCAGTAATTTGGTTGGTGATGTTGTCTTGGCCGTGATGACTAGTGCTCTTTATTAAAAAGAAATTCACACCAACACTTGACCAAAAAGGGGGGGGGAAACAGGCTACAGCATTCATGCATACACACACATCCACTGCTCCAAATTGTTGGGGGGCGCAAAACCACAAGGTAACATTAAATGCAAAGATCAATTTTAACTCTGAGTGGCACTGTGTGTGGGTGTGCGTGTGTGCGTGTGTGTGCACGTGTGTGTTTGCCACTCAGGTCTACTGGTCATTTCAGTAACAAGCTCTTTAGCCTGCAGGTCAGCTGTCACTGGCTTCAGAAGTATAGCAAGAAACCGTGTCGTTGCCAGAGTTTCGTGCTGTCTGAGTCTCTCCACCCTGTGAATACACATGGCTGACTAAATGAATCAGTGGAACACTTTGGAGAGGAAGAAAATACCAATGCGCTGCAAGATTTTCTATCACCTTAAATGAAGTTGTTTCTGTTGTGGCCAAGTTAGAAAAGTAATTACCATGGAAGATAATTAAAGACTTCATTAGTCTTGATAAACAGTTGTGCATTGTTTATTGAATTGTTTTCATAAGGCATAGTAACAATTAGAAGTTGTGTAGACTCATAAATGTCATCTATTCACAGTTTGTCCCAGTGACATTAATCTTCTATTTACTCTGCGTCTGCTAAATTAACAGGTTCGTGTACATTGGAGTCAATCTATGCACCTTATACAAGAGTGAGACAAGAGATTCATGGAGGGGAAGAATGCACTTCACCAGATGCCACAGAATCACAGAAAACACAAATGACACGCATAGAAAAAATAATAAAAAATGTGGGCATCAGCCAGAGCATTTGTCAGTGGGGAAACAATAAAGAATATGAACAATATAAATTCACTTAATTTCAAATGACCAGCCATAGCAAGAATTAAGTCACTCGAACAAAAAAGGAAAGCCGATGGATACAGCACTATTCAGGGCTCAGAGGGAAACACAGCTAATTAGTAGGGTTTGTGTTGATATCAGTCCTGCTGCAACTGTAACAATAGTTTCGTCTAAGTTTGCAATATTTATTAAGTTGTTACTGTATCGTTTCTACCCCTTGCAGTAGGAGTTCTCCTCAGTGGAAGTTAATATATTTGAACAGAGAGAATATGTAACCATCAGCTTTGCTCCAACAAGGCTTGCTCTCCCCTCATTCATTATGCATGCAGAGTGTTGTTTTGTCCTATTTCTTGCTAGTTCTGCTGTGTTTTGCATTTCACTCTGAACCAAGATTGCAATTAAAGCTTGCATTGCAGAACTGTTAACAAATATCGCATCTGATCAGTTACATTCCAAAATGTCCAAGTTTTCTTATTCAGTCGGTCCCAACACTGCACCTTTAACACGACTCATGACCCCTCCACTACTCTCTGCACTTCTCTTCATGACAAACTAGTGACTCTGTCTGTTCATCAAGAAATATATGATCAGGATAAACATTTTCTTATTATGATCAGAGTTGATCATACTGCTCTCAAGAGAGCCACATCTAATTTTTGAAAGTCGACAATTTTAATGATCATTCCTCATTCCATGTCTCATTCAAAGACTATCAAATCAAAGAGGCAACTGTACTCAAAGTACTATGCTGCAGTGTCTGCTGTATCAGTCTGTAATACTCAAAAGCAAATCCTTACAGTCTCTCGGTTGAATCCAGCAGTCCATGAAAAAAGCTGCTCAATATTTAATTACAGGCAACAAGAAAGTGACCAGTGAGATGAGAGAAACAATTTGGCTCAAGAGTAGCAGGCTGCTGAAACCCACATTAATTGTTTATTTAAGTGTAATTGATTAAACCATAGCAATTCATCATGTCAGTCATGAAGACTGCAGTACAGAAGAAGACTTAAGACTCTTCCCCTCTCTTTAGCTCACACTGTCAGTCTAGGCTTCTTATGATTTTTTTAAAAAGTGCTTTTGTTTTTCAGAATCTTCAGCCAAGGAAAATATCAAAAAGTAAATATCTAAATGTGCTCCGCTGACATGAAATGTTTGACAACTGATTCATACAGCTGTCAGAGACTCATAACAAAGTTATGATTTATCATAGAGGGATCCAACACTGGAGGGATTATTTCTGATTATTTCCCCTGCCCTTTGGGAATAGGCAGCATACAAAATGGATGGAAATTTTGACTCACTGGCTGATTTGGAAAAAGCAACTCAAATTCCCCAAACTGTTCAAACGCAAGTACCCCGACTGAAATCAGCATTTTGACAGGTCCGAATTTTGTTGATCAAATAAAACATTTTAATGAAATTTGAAATGCAATTTTGGATTCCCCAAATGTAATTGTGGTTTGTCTGCTGGAATCTGTTCATGTTAAAGGGATTCACTGCAGGAAGGAGAGATAAAAGAGAAGAAGGAGCAAGAGTTTCGAAATAATTCTCAGTAGGTGAGGAACAAAGTAAAAATAATGTGAAGGAGGATGTAGCCGAACTTGAAGCCAAGGCGAGCCCAAAAAAACAGGGCCGGAACAGACACAGTGACTGTTAGTGCTGATGATTGCCACAGCAGGGATTCTGCTTTCTGGGATCCCGCAGAGGACTCTGCTCATTGGGGGACCCGAGCCATGTAAGAACGAGGATGCTGATCTCAGAGACTCAGAGAGAATCTACAAAAGAGAGCAACAAAATTTCATCAAATCTTAATTTCACAAAAATCTTTGATGGATTTGGTGTCATTCTCTCTGTTTAATGAGGATGCAAAGTCGATCCGTTTTCAGATGTTAAACAGCATGGGGCAGATGGAGCGGCACTTCAGCCCTGAAACATTTGCATTCATTTTAAACCTGATTTTGTAAAATGTTTGACACAGTTATCTGCTGTGATTAGGTGTTCAAATAAAAATCCTGTGTCTTCTTCTTTTTTACTTGGATTTTTCTTTGTACCTGCTCTTTTGTTATTGAAATTACACCTTAAAACATTTAATGATGGATTCACAGAGCTGCAGGCAGCCAAGTGGGTACAGTGGCGAGGGGGAGAGCTATTTTTCTTTGAAGATGTTTTTCTCGGGAATCTCACGTTTACCATGTTTACAAATGGTTTATCAAATGTGTCCAAATAGATAGTGTACCTCCTTATTCACTGTTAAGTAGTACATCTTCCATACCTATCCAGCCATCAGTGTTTTTATTCCTGTTAATCCAGATAGGATTACAGGGACTGTTGATCCCAGCTCCTGGCGGGCATGAAGCAGGCCGCACCTAGCACAAGTCGCCAGGCCATCTCTGGGGAGACAGAGACAGGACAAATAACTATTCCCATTCACACACATTTAGAAATGTGCGTACAATCAACAATCCACAAGACATGCAGGTTCTTGGACTGTGTAGGAAGCTGGAGCACTGGGGGTGACAGTGCGGTTGTCCAATATGTGTCTGAATATATCTGTTCTCAGCCCATACTGCCACAAATCTACAAATGCAGTGACATTGTAGGACATACCATTAAACTATTTCTCTCCCAACCTCACCATCCTCTTAGGCTCTTCTGGTGGAAGGGAAATGCTGACATGGCGTTTAGTTCTTGGATTCAAAGCACATTCATAGGCATTTTGAGTGCCTATGAATGCTCTATTTCTGACTGTCATGGCTGAGCCATGACACCAATTTCTGCAATTCTCTATCAGTTTGACTCATAGAGTGGGAGTTTAAAGAGAGCAGAGATATACATTTGTTTGTGGAAGCAACTCAGAAACATCGAGAGATGACACAAGGAAAGAAATGAGATTATAAAGTTTATCACAGCAGTCTCACTGTGATGGAAGAATTCATCTTTAAATGAGAAATGAGATTCATTCAGTCAGTCAGTTCAGGATGCGTGTCTGTGTATTTCTCTTTCTGTTTTTCCTCAGTCAGGACTGTGAGACTGTCAAAGGCCTGTTTTTTTTCCTCTGAGTTGCCTTTGGTCTTACTCTCAGTCTACCCAAATGTCCTTCCTGCTGGTTCTTTGTCAGTTTGTTATACTTTCATCAACTGCTTTTGTTTCCTGTGTTCGACCCCCCTGTCTCTCCTTTTCCTGCTCCTTTACAGTACATCAGGTACGTGAATTTGCTTCATTATGTCAGAAAGTTCAGTAGCCGTGCAGTTCAGCTAGTCAGTGGAGATGGAGACTGAAGAGACTTGAGTGGGACCTTTGGCCTTTTGAACCAGATGTCTTTTCCACTGACAGCACTTTGTGACTGGTTTTCCGTGAATGTGAGATGTTTCCTGTTTCCCTGAAAAATATTTTCAGTGTAGGTGGCCTTTCGAGGAAACATGTCTACAGACCTTCTGCTGGAGAGACCTTTCAGTCCAGGAGATAGATGAGAAAAAGGAAAAAAAGAATTAAGTTCCTCCCTAAATATCAACAGGCTCAAAGACAAGAAAGTTTTTTTTTTAAAGTAAAATGTTTATGACTGAATTCAAAGCACTTTGACTGTGCTCAGAAAATGTCTCATGGTTCAAATTTCCATATACATGTTTATTTGCAATAAAAGTTAGGAATTGGTTTTGACTATAATATATATGATACGTTACATTTACATAAATCCTTTAAATGTTTTATGTGATATGTGATTAAAAAATTTTTAGGAAATAAAACGTGTTTAAACATATATCTAAATAATCAATCTTGAGATCTGTTTGTGACCTTCGTACTGTAGCACTGAATAGCACTAAAGAAAATCAAATAGTAAAAAAATATACTTTTGAATGTCTTTTCATGTGTTCTTGTCGTCGACTTCGTTGAAAATCTTTTTTAGGTTAGGACAAGAGTTAAGAAAAGATTAGTATGATAGAATGAGAATCTATCCACACAGAAAAGGAATTGCATGATACAATTTTAAAGGCAATTAACTACATAGTGAATGAAAGGGCAGTCTTTGGTTGGTATTTCATCAGATGTATAGGTAAGCGCATTATCCCCTCGAAGTTTAGGCCGTGATATATGTCATGAGATAAAATTAAAAGACACGGCAAATAATTAATGATTTCTGTTTTCCTGGGAGTTTCCCAAAGGGCTTCTTTGATAGGTCAAACAACATATAGTGTGTATTTCTGGTGCAAATCCTTTTAGTGGTTCGGTGGGGTGGGAAGCTTCAGGAATACACAAAAACTTTACTTGTTAAGCCCTAACATACAGTGGTACTTTCAAGATTTTCTGAGAGAAAGCGAGAGAGAGAGAGAGAGAGAGAGAGAGCAACCACTATTTTACCTGAAACACATTCAGAACCCCATTCAAACCAAATGAAAATATTATAATTGCTCATCTTTTTTGTTTAGTTGGTCAGTCTTCTCATCTTTTATAACATATGTGAGTTGTGTAATAAATCTGTTACTGAGTTAAATCACATGTCTGAGGAAAATTGAAAGGCATGTATTTGTGAATCACTGGAGGAGACACTGATTGTAATAGTCCCGCTATAACTAAAAGCTTTCATACTTTGATGGGATCAAAACAGACATTTACATTGAAAGCCCTGTGACACTATGTCAAGATTTGAACGCTAAGTTTGACAGTAATACACATATCTAACAGGTTTCTGAATTTTTTCTGCAGATCAGCTGTCTGCGAAAGTCAATCACTGGATGGGGAGCACAGAAAATCGTTTTTCCTATTTACTGGAATCTATCCTTATATCTTGTTCTAGAAGCTATATAATAGTGGTTATTTTACCTAACAGACGGCATCTAAAATAAGATCAAATTAAATAAAGTAAAATAAAAAGTCAGTCTGTTAAGGAGCAAAGGCAAGCCAGTCCCTCTTCTTAAGACACCTTAATGGACTTTTGGTTTCTAGAGGTTTCCATTAATATATTGTGCATCATTAGTGTCCTGTGTGTATTCAGGAATGCTGACAGCCGTATCTGTAAAACAAGTGTGACCTGCACATTTCCACACCAGCTCAAAATATTGAATTAGAAATATGAGTCTCATACTTTTGTTTAGGTCAATAAAGAGTGCTATCTATGGCAGCTTTGGAAATTAAAATGAAAATCTTCAGCAAACTCCGGATAAGCAATGAGAAAAAGGACAGAAATACGTGCGCATCCATGAACATATACATTTACATTAGCATGCCGCAATCACTGTCCACTCTGGTCTGCAGATATTTCAGTTATGCTTATTCTGCAAACAGATTTATGCTCTGAGGTGAACTGAGGTCTAAATTAATTTGGCACTGGCATATCAGGTTGACAGATTGTGTGTGACTGTGCATGCATAAGTGTGTGTGGAGATGCTCAGTGTGTAGATCAGCTGCTGTGAGTTTTTTCATATTGGTAGACAGGATAAAGGCTAGAAATCATATGACGTGCATGTGTTTGTATTTATATGAAGGTTCTCATATCTGATTTCAGTGTATAGCAGAAAAATGGCCTGGCATGGTTACACAAGCAAATGGTTGTTGAGTGCAGTGACACATATAAACAGACATTTCTGTTTGCTGCATTCACACCTTTTCACTCATATATTCAGTATATTTCATAGTTTAAATTACTTACCATGACAGAAAGCAAAGGTGTGAGAGGAGAGTGTTAGGTTACAAATATATTTTACATGCAAACAGTGAGCCCGAACACTAACATATCCATGTCATCTTGATAAACCCCCCACATTTATTATTTCAATCTCATCGCCCTGCGAGAACTCAAATGAAGGCCGGTCTCTGTGATTGGATCATTTCCTGGAAGTGACTTAGGCCTGCAGGGCAGATCAATACCACAGCACACACATGTGCACACAGAGAATCACTGGATCCATACATATCACTTCCCTTCTCAGTTGATTTTAGTGTAGGATCATACTGTCAGCTTTTCCTTGAGTCGTCTTCCACCATTTGAATGACAATCATGTGTGCACTAACGACCTACCGCTTTCAAATTAAATGTGATCATTTACAACTGGTGAGAACAAGTAGATAAATGTGCACAGTGTCATTTTTAAATGTGGTTTCTTCCTAACATTCCACCTGCATTTGTGGATGGCATGAGGAACTCTGTTTCTGAGCTCATGCAATAAATCCATAAAAGAAGCTTGTGTGATGTTGCTGTAATGCAGCCCTGATGGCCCAAAGATATTTCTCAAGTGAATTCTTTGGCACACAGATTGCTCTGAATTCTATGAATCTTTTGATAACACCATGTACTGTAGATCATGATATTACCAAAGTCTTGGTAATTTCATATTCATATTTCATATGTATAAAATATTTCATATTTTATGCTCCATCATCTCACTGACATGTTGCTAACCGACTTGTTCAAACATGTCCCTCTTCAGTCATCTCAGCTGTTCCCTCACAGTAACGTTTTAATATTTCCTTGAACTTTTCCAAATTCATTAATATCAAGAAAAGCACATTTCTTATCATGAATATAAACTGGGTTTCAGACATATGCAAATCATCACTGTTTTTATCAAACAACACCCCATTTTTATAACTGGGTTATACATGTCAGTCTTCATATGTCTTGTATGAATTCCTAAGTATTAAGATATTTTTTCATGGCTATTGTGCAGTGCTGTTTTTCCTTTTTGTTTACTTTTTGGACAAAATTCCAACTTTGATGATGATTACTATTGTTGAGGTGCATGCGGAGCTGAATTTACATTTGCAAGACCATTCAAAGGTAATTTATCCTCTTTCCGGTATTTTTACCAAAGTACTCTTTTCTTTTCATATCGGGTTCTGTGTGCAAGCAGATAACTGAAGCAAATTGCAGCCAACAGAGTCTGTCACAGTTTGACCCAGGAAGGACAGACCAAACAAAAAAGAAAATCACCAGTAAGAGAGAAAAACACAAATAAGGGGAATAAAAGGGGGAATGAAATAAAAAGGGACAAGACTGAGCAGAAGTAGTAGATAAAAAATAAAAGTCTGGGACAATTCTTGAGCAGAAGAGAGGGGGAATAGGAGGGTTGGGACAGAAGGAAGGAAAGAAGAAGAGGAGAGAAAGAAGTGACAACCTCAAATTAAATTCCCATCATGTCAGTGTAGAACAGAATTCAATAGTGTTTATTGGCAGCCCCTAGCCTCAGGGAAATTACATTCTGAAGCAGAGCATGGCATGAATGCACACACACCCTTCAACACAGTAACACGCACACTCATGCACAAGCAAGTGAGCACTTCTATTGTACAGAACACTGTGCATGCCTCCAGTCCCAAAAAAGGCCTTCTGGCTGATGTGAACATGCAGACAGGCAATTTATCCCCTTAGGTCCATGTGCCATTTGCACAGAGTGTGTGTGTGTCTGTGTGTGTGTGTGTGTATCTGTTTGTCCTTGTGCTGCTTGCTTCTTTATGTGTATACATTTGAACTAACTTCTACATACACACAGGTTGGTGTACAAAAGTCTAAACTTTAGGACATCAGATTTTTGGTCTGTCAGTTGTCATTTTCTCTGCACTCACACTCACCTTATTTGCCATCACAGTACATTCGGCTTTTATATTATAGTGCCTGAATTAAGTGTGTCCCCGGGCTCAAGCTGCCATGAGTGCAGGGCTTCAGTGGATTTGTACAACCTCCAGCAGCCGTAGCAAAGGCAGCTTGCTTTAATGGGATGCCGTTTAACAGTTTTATGCAGAGCACATGTAGAGGCTATTATTGCCGATGTCTCTGGGATGCAGATTTGCACTAAACTGCTAACAGTCTGCTATGTCTCTCACCCACCCCTCACCCTCACTTTTTGCATTTTATCTCTCCCCCTCTAACCCTTTATGCCTTCACTTATGCCTTTCTCTTGACTCTAATTTTCCTCTCCAATGTCTCCACTCAGTCTCTCCATCTTTCTCTTCCTTCAGGAATGCACTGAGAGGGCTTTAGGTTGCTCAGTGGAGGATCTGAAGTCTCTCTTCTACTGTGAGCTGTGTGACAAGCAGTACCTGAGACACCAGGAGTTTGACAACCACATCAACTCCTACGACCATGCACACAAACAGGTACAGATTATGCATCTGGTACACACACACACACACGCGCGCACTTTATGGTAGCGTACAAACAGACACTAGCAGACATTTTTATGATTACTTGCTGTGGAATTTGGGTGTTACTGTGGCATTATGTGTGCTGACAGAAAAGCTATTCTATATCGCCATGAATGCCAATCTGCCCATTCAGTAGTGTTTCTCTGCAGTAGAAGTGTGACAACTGCATCATCTCTTACAAGGACACACACAGACATGGAACAGCTTGTCTCAAAGTGACACATTCCATATAGCATTTGTACATTGTTCATACTTAAGATTTGAATTTCAACATGCATATGCCTGAAGGTAAAACTGATTATCCCTTAATCTAACAAAGGGCAAGTGATTGCATTAAAAATGACAAATCTTACAATAATACCTACTATAAACATGGTTGTAAAAAGCATACATAAGAAGAATTGGTACGACTGATATTTTTAAATACTTGGCAAAATCATTCTACAAAATGCTATGATGTTCCAGTAGCCCGAGCTGAAAAGAAATCATTTGGAAAGGATACACAAGGCAGAAATAAATACAATTAATAGAAATATTTAAAATGATTTGTAAGTCTTTAAAAAATGCTAGTGTCATATTCTGTTTTGATGATTCCATGCGGTTGGTGCATGACCTGACATTTTGTTTTGCAACCTCAACAACTGTTTAGCTTTGAAGAACAAATGCACAACTAAAACATAACATCCATGTGAATAAATGTGACATATGCTGATTTGTGTCAGTTTATGTAAAAATTAGAAGAAAATGTTTTTTTTTTCATAATACTTGATCCAGTTTACTCTGAAAGCGCATTTATAGAAGTTTGTGTTATAAAGGTCAAGGTTGGCTTCTCCACTCCATAAGCTTTTTTAATATAATCACCAGTTTTGTCCTCTGAACAGTCACATGAATAAACAGCATCAAATGGTCCTTGAGCTGTTGAAAATGTCTCAGAAACAGAACATTTAAGTTAAGGATAAACTAAGTAACATTTACAAAGTATTAATAGGCAACACAACCACAAGCAAAAAAACTAGCATGCATACGGTATGTCTTATTATACGTCTCATATTTCAAAATTTAAAATGTACCGTACTCTTTTTCTTCCTCTCCTTTCTCTAAAGCATTTTTTGGAGCAGTTGATTTGATTGTATCTCGTACATAAGTATGATTTTAAAAGTAACTTGACTCTTCACTTTGTACTTCTTTTTAAAGAGGTATAAATATTCAGCATCAAATGAACCATGGAGTTGTTAGTCACAGTCCCAAACATGTTGCTAATATTGCAGTATGGACAGGATGAGGTCACTGGACCATTAGAAAAAGCCCAGTAGCGGATTTTTTTCTGTTTTCACAGACAACCTCCACTCTGGACTAACAAACTGTAGGTTCGGCTGATAGCTCATTCTCCTACAGCTGTCTGTAGTCATGCCAAAACATATACAACCAACACACACAAACACACAGACATGCACTTTGCCAAGTACACACTTGTCCTCAAACGCAGGCAATCTCTCAACCAAGCCAAGCCGCCTCCCACTTCTGAACGCCCACGCTATGCATCATGAAATAAACATTGAATAAGACTCTGTCATTGTTCTTTGAAAATGAATTGAAGCAACTGCAGGCCAATGTTAATGCTTTGTTTTAGCCAGCGGCAGGCACATGAAACGAGCCGCATGGCGCTCTGAGCTGACAGTAGCCACTGGCACTGTGGGAACACACAATCACAAATAGAAGGATGCATGTACACTCGGAGTGCGTAGCACACAACAGATTAAATTCCACCTAAAGATAGTTCCCTGGCAGGAGCATTGGCTTTATAGAATGAAAACTGATTGCTTTTGCTCAGTCTTCCTTCTTGTCATCGATTCAGAGATAAACATGTCTGAACTCATGGCTCTGACAGCCTTTTCTGCTGATCGTAGACATTGCTGATTAGTCCAGGGCCACAGATTCTTTTAGATACAGGATCCCTCAGCCCATTTTCATGTCCCATTACATGCGACATAGGGCCCTGGTGGAATTGACTCAGTTCTGACTCATCCATAGTTGCCTCATTTGAGTGCTCCTTAACATATCTTAAAAGAATATTGATTCCAGCTTTGACTGATGCATTCTGACAACTTACAGCATGACTGGCATACTGGAGAACTGGCATAATATGCTTTTCCCCTCTTTGGAACACAGCATTATGTTTGATTATACAAATATTCATAGTGTCCTTGTGTTCAGTGAAAATATTTCTGTGTGCAATATTTCATTTGGCTCTAAATATAGCTACAGGTTTGTGTGCGATGGGACCTCTTTTAAGAGAGAACAATAACCTGGCAGGTGCAAAAGATAGCAGGAGGTATTCATTCTGAAACATTCAATCTTTTTCCAGACTCTTCTTTTTATTTTACTCATTTCCATGAACAGTTTCCCTTTCCCCTCCCTCTGAAGTAGTTCATTATGCGTGCCTCTGTGCTTGGATAAGATTAATATTTCTCATAGATTAGTAAGGCATCTAAAGCACTCAAAGCTTCCAGCACACACGCTCGCACATGTGATCGTGTCCGTGTGTGTGTGTCTAAAATGCTCAAGCATCTAAGATCTGTGATCCAAACCCACAGTCTCCGCGGCACATACCCTCGTGTTATCTTCAGTGAGCTGAGAGTGGGATGTTAAGCATAATGTAATGTAAAAAGACACCAGCTTGTGTAAGACTCAGTCGAGATTAACCTGACAACTGTCAGCTCCTGCATTAGATCTGGGTGTGAAGAAGAGCGAGTGTATAGATAAATGTGATGTCTGGGGAGCTAAGCTGATGACTGAATGTTTGACTGCGTAAATGTGTGTATGATGCAGAAAATAACATAAAAATAATCTAAAAGTTCCAACTGTCAGTTGTACCATGAAATACATTCTCAAATGAATAAAGTAAACAACGGATCTGAGTTCAAAAGTTGTGGAATTCTCTCTGAAGTAGCCAAAATATACTTAAAAGTTAGAGGAAGATAGGAGGAATAGTGGTACATGAGACTTCAGCTATTCCCTCCATACCCATCAGACATGTACAGACAAAAAGAAGTGCAACAACATTGCACACATACACACACCTGCCAAGCATGAAGAAAGGGAGGATTAAAGTGTGTCAGAAAAGGAAACCAGATAGAGAGCGGCTTGAATCGTTGCCCCAGAAGGCTTGTGCACCTATGACAGTAGGCAAATAGTTTTAAGTAAGCACCCCCACAAAAAACACACAAAAGCACTGAAATGTATAAAACTGAGCTAATCATTAATTGCCCTCTATGATGGAGGTGAAGACCCACCAGAATCCTCAATATGAGATCATTCTCATATTCGTTCTCGTGTGTTTGTTGTATTTGTGTTTGTCTGACATAATCAAGCAGGCATAGACAGAGCCTAGCCTCACTTCCAATTCATCAGCGTTTGTCAAAACCCCTTGGCATTGCATTCAACACGTAGGGATGATGCTGTGAAAGAGTGTATTTTAAGCCCATCACCATTTGTGACAACCCTGAAAATAACACCCCATTTCACACAGCTATGTCAAACACATTTTTCTCTGCAGTAGTGCATTGAACTGATTAACTCCTATTCCCGTCGCTCAAAGAGAACCATTTTGAATTTCCACTTTAGATACTATAAAAAGTCTAAATGAGAAAAAGATGAAAAGAGGACTTTAAGAGAAACTGACACTACAAGATGTGATGCCTGAGGCTGATCTTAAACCATTGGCCATATTACAGACCTACAATTTATTTTTCTAATGGATCTTCAAGTGTACAAGCATGTGGACAACCTCCTCTCCACATACATCAAGAAAGGACTGAGCTCACTGTTGAGAGATACACAGGAAGACTAAAATAGTCATTTCAATTAAGGAATTATAAATGCCAAATTTGATACTTTCAGTAAATTGTGAATTAAAGTACTGTATAGTGTTTTTTTGTTTTTGTTTTTTACTCTTCCCATTTAGTCTGACCTGGCTGTCTGTCATTGTCCAACATAAGTTAAAAACATTTCGGTGGAGCTCCACAACCCGGATCAGGTGCTGCCTGCTCCTGTGTGCATCAATGTTTAATAGTTGCTCTCTGACACGGACTTCCCACCAATCACCCAAGACATGCGCTGTCGCAAAGCAAATACAACTGCAGGTTGATAGTGTGATATGTGCCGATGATACCAACCAAACCTCATGGCAGAACATGTAATACTTACAGGTTTAATGTTTTACAACCAAGGCTCCAAAGAATGTGCCATGACTGCAGTTTCCGCTCTCATTTCCTTACGTCCTGATGGAGACACAGCTTGACGTAAACATTTGGTGTCTACTCAGGTCCTCATTTAGTGAGGATGCTTAGCTGTGGTGTTTTGCTACATGACACGATTAACATTTTTCACACTGTCAAGCAGAAGGAGAAATATCATATTCTGATACATTATCGGAAGCAACCATACTGCCTCTTTCCTCTTTCGAGAAAGAGAACACATGGTAACAGTTAAAGCAGATATGCATGTTTTTTTGCTTATATATGCATGCTTATATTAGACATATGACACCAGGGTCCTCGACCCACACAGTAGCCTTCACTGGCCTTTCCTTTTTGTGCCTAAAACTGTGACATTCCTTTTTTGTGGACAAACACAACCTGTGAGACTGGGATGCGTTTTCTCAATGAAAAGTAACAATTCCCTTATTAATTTCACATTAATATGTGTCTAAAACTTCCATCATACAAGTCAGCACAAAAAAACAAAGCTGTTATCAGCACACACACACGCACAATCACTCCAACGGAGACAGCAAATGTACTGGTAAACAAATCATACATCACTCCCCAACTGATATCCCAGACATTTCACTTTGAGACTGAGTAGAAAATCTCCATGGAAAGACCAGAGCAAATGTTGCCGATATTTGTCCTCTCACATACCACCTCCCTATAAGTTTTCTGTAACATTCCATGATGGTCCACACTTGTTGTTATTATATTGTGCAAATGCAAGTTTTATGCAGTTACTGGCTCCATTTTTGTATAGATTTATGTTTTGTACAGTGATGTTTATATTTTATTTCTGATTAACATGTTGTGCTTGAACCTATGCTCATTCACTGTGTATTCTTACCTGTTGACACTGTTTATTAGTCAGTCAATATCAACTGACCTTTGAGGTTTCTGCTTAAATTTGTACTTTTGTTGGAGGCTGTAGGCAGTATTGTGTTTTAAAAAGAGGGTTCATGAGCAAAGTTCTAAATCTCCCTATGAGTTAGTCATTTGAGAAAAGGTTTTCTATTGAATTTGTATAAATGCATTTTTTACAACATCTTTAATTTGTCATTTAGCCATATGCATTCTTTTTAGGTAAACTTTCAGCATTCTAAGCTGAACCATTATTCTCTTTGTCTCTAAACAAGTCTTTCTGATGCATGAACCTTGGATGAAAAGCAACTAACTCACAAGAATTTGCCGCCTTATACACTGAGCACACAATAGGTCTTCAAACATGTCTTGTTATTGGTGTGCATCTCCTATCAATATTTCTGTCTGTTGGCATCTTTTGTTTCACATTTCTAACCTTGTAGAATTGTCATTGTGACTGTTGGAGAAAGAGCTCACTCTAATTGGCTGTTCAGTGAAGCGAATGACTGCAGGAGACGGGAAGCAGCACTGACAACAGCAACCTGACTTTAACATGTGACACACAATCCCCATTCATTTGTCATCTTCATTTATCCGAGACAAGCAACACCTCACAACAACACACCCATGCAGTGTGAATAAACGGTGAAGACAAACCGATACTCGCGACACATGTGGGATCTTCTCTGTTTGACAAAAAACACAAAGCAGACACTAATGCACTAATGTGTCAGCATCTTTTGTTATTTTCTTTCCGTTTCTGAATCTGTGCAACATCCAGTTTTCCATATTGTGTAATACACATGATATTGACCATAAATCATTAATAACAATACAGATTTTTTTTTTTTTGCTTTTCTGTTTTGTTATTTAGCTTGTTGTTATTTTCTAGGGAAAGCTTTGAGATGTTTTGTGAAATAAAATTGCAATTTAAACACAAGTCTGTGTACTTTCCAGTTCAAAACTTTCTTCAGTTCACAACAAAGGTCTTTGTTCCAAATGTTCATTTTCAAGTTGCAGAAGCAGCTAAATTAGCCATAGCGTACTTTTTATCCCACTCATGTTAACTGCAACTATAGTCTCCTCATCACTGTTTAGTTGTGTTGGTGTCAAGCTGCATGTTGAAGGAAAAGTCCTTTCTACCAGTCTGAATGGAGTCAATTTCAGATTACAAACAGTTCTGACTGATGGTTTGAAAGACAGCCACCTGTTGAGAGCCCCCTAAAACTAATCTTGCACTCTCTGCTTGTATCCTCATACTTTCATTTCCCTCTGTCATCCACATCCTCTTTCTGTATCTCTCTCTCTCTCTCTCTCTCTCTCTCTTCTCTCCCCTTTGCTTTATCTGCACTTCTTGTAGAGGCTGAAAGAACTGAAGCACAGAGAGTTTGTGCGTAATGTGGCCTCAAAATCATGGAAGGACCAGCGAAAACAGGAGAAGGCTCTTCGGCGTCTGCACCAACTCGCAGAGCTGCAGCAAGAAACCGAGCAGTGAGTGGGTTAGGAGTGTGTATTTGTGTGTTTGTCGTAGTGTGTGTAATGAGACCAGTGGCAAGAGTCCAGAGGGGTTAGAGGGCGTCACATCCAGTCAACGTTTCTTAGATTTGATGGATGCAAGCACAGATGTGAGAGCACACGGTTGGCCTAGATAGGCCACAGGTGAGGTAAATATAACATAAAGGCACATTCTTGCTGACACTTTGAGAGTAGATGATTTGTAGGTGAAGGAGATTAAGTTTTAAAGGCAAGCAACCAGTAGAAAGGCATGAAGTTAATAAAAATCTGATAGTAGTTAACTTTGCCTCAGGTTTGCGCATCTGAAGTATTCAAATCGAATCGAATAATCATCTTGCACCAATTTCAACATTCTGTACGATATATGATTTTTTGGGGTTTTGGACTATTTATTTCATTTTTTATTTCAGTTTCTTAAGGCCTATTTTCATATCTCATGTTTCACTTCAAAATGTTTACGATTTCTCTTTTTTTGTCCGTCTCTCTCTTTAATTATTAACCTTATCTTTAATTATTAACTTTATCTTTAATTATTAACCTTATCTTGTTCTTCTTTTATTTTACAATCTATATAAGAAGTTATTTTTTAAAATGTAATCTAATAGAAATAAACAAAACAATAAGAAAAAAAAGTCTTACAGTACCTGAAAACCAGATCCAAGAGGCAAAACCATTATAATTGTTCTAAGGAGGTTCATGGAAAAACGTTTTATTGAAACAATATGCAGAAAAGGAAAAAAATGTTTATTAAGGATGAAATATGTTTTTCTCCACATCTTGTTGCAGAGTCCCAAGAAGGTCTTGTGGATTGAGACGGGCAATCACTGTTAGCCAACAACGAGATAATAATGTGTATCAAAGAGAAAAGAGCCCTGAAGACAAACCTGTGACCTTATCCCGCCCCCAGAGGACCCCGATGACACAACCGAGGACCACCAGCCAAACGTCAGAAGATTCATGCCAGCCTTTTGCGCGGTTACCTCTTGCCACTACTTTAGCAGAGTCCCGGCTAATGACTTCTACATCCGATACAGACACTCCTGCTATTTTGACCCAGTCTTACCACAGCTTGTGCCCCCAGCTTCCTCTCCCTGCTAAAGGGAGAGTGGGAGGCAGGCTTGGAGTGTCATTCTGCTTCTCACGCAGAGGGCCCAGGCTGGAGCCTTCTGCTTCAGTCTTCTCCGACCTGGAGGAGGAAGAGAGAGAAAAGAGGGAACAAATGAGAGAGAGAGTAAAGGCAATAATGGAAGATATCGACAGGGAGATAGGGGAAGCAGATGAGAGGAAACACAGTGAAAGTGGAAAGGAAAAGCCCTCCTCTGAAAGTGTCTTAGTGAGCGACATTCAGCCAGTCCCAGGAGAGACAACAAGAGAAGAGAAGCAGATGGGAGAAGCTGACAGACTAAAAGAACATTTTCCCATTTCCACAGCAGCCAATATTAATACAAGTGATGACTTACTAGTCCCACAATCACACACTCAGGTGAGCATATGGGGAGAAACACAAAACATGGCACATGTGGACGCCAAACACAAAGGAAGGGAGACGGAGACAAAACAAGAAACAGACAGCGACAAGCAGACAAGTCCTTTTGAGTATGTGCAAGGGAAAGATGTTGCAACCCGTCTGAGATGGCCTGTCAGTTTGCTTAGGTTCACCAAGTCTCAACCAAGCATCTCCTACAGCTGCAACCCGCTCTGCTTAAACTTCCCACCACCAGAAATATGCACAGGCGATCAGCAGGAGACACAACAGGATCAGTCATCTCCTTTTTCAGGTGCACCAAATCCAGCTGATCCTAAAGACAACACTCACTCGTCTTTTCAAAAACATGACTTGGGAACTCATGGACTTGAAAAAGATGAGAATTTTAAGCAACATATTGGTGTGGGGACAAATGGCCATCTGCTCCTTAAGGACACAATTATTTCACCTTCTGAAACAGAAGTAGAAAGAGGCAGATGCACACAAAGTACCGAGAACTGTGAGAGGGCAGGCCCCTATCCATTTGACCCCAGTCAGTGTGACAGCTCCGACACAAACTCCCAGAATCCTCTGGGAAGCAGATTAGAGGGTGCAAGAAGGATCAGGAAGAGAGCCATCGCAGCCCTGAGCTGTAAATTAGAGTCTGTCACCCAGCTTGGCACAGAGGGGGTGTGCATCAGTCCGTCCAGGTGTGAATGTGGGAGTGCGACAATGTGCAAGTGTGCCAGCGCTCCACAGCCGTATGTGGGTACCCCAAAAGCGTCACGTAAAAAAAGGACGTCCAACACCAAGAAACACAAGCTGAAAAAGACCAAAAGGGCTGAGAAGGAAAAGGCTTCACACAAAAGCCGGTCGGCAAAGTGCAAAGTGAGGAGTGTTGTCTCCACGGTTTTCGCAGGAAGAGAGAGCAACAGGGAAGCCGGGGAAGGATGGAGAGGGAGAGGGAGGCAAAGACAGATGAGGGTGAGGAGAGCGTCCAAGGCAGGGAGCAGATGTCTCCTGGGGAGATGCGATGCTGAACCGGTATCCGTCTGTGTCAGGAGGAGGCCTCGTAGGAGCTCCGGGACTGAATTCAAGTCACAGCCAGGCAGAGAGCAGGCAGAACACTCGAGCATCTACTCCCAACTGAGCAGACGCGCAGCAGACAGAGATACCGAGGGGCAGGGAAAGCCAGGCGGAGATGCAATGGCTTTTCCCTGGCGGTCTCACTTCTCCTTACGCTCCTTCTCACCAGGATGTAACTCAAAGCTGTTTTGGGAAAGGGGTCACCATAGCAACCCCAGGAGTTTCATTGACTGCTGTTACCCTGACAACAGCTGCGGTAGCGGTCCTGTGAAAAAGAGAAAACTACTCCATGGGGACAGGACGTTCATTCATAGTAAGAGGAATTTTGAAGTCTGGGAGGAGGATAGAAGGATAATGGGAGGCTCCAGAGACAGGCGTCTGATTTCAGACACAGGGCAGTGGGAGTGGGAGAGAGGGAGCTATGCTGGAGGCCGGGAGGAGCACAGGCCAAGGACTGGCTGGGGCTTGAGAAACAGAGAGACAGAGTGGGATCATGTGGTGAAGTGCAGCCCTAGTCCGAGCGGATGGGACAGGAGACACAGGCATCTCAGCACGGAAGACTTAGACTGGGATAGGTGCAGTGTGGACAGATGGACGTGGGGCAGCAGCGACAGCTGGGAAGATAGAGGAGCACACAGGTCCATTTCAGGCTCAAGGACAGGTTCTGACAGCACAGACAGCCCAACCAGCATGTGGAGATGTGCAGGCACGAGGCGCTCAAGTTCAAGACACTTCTCAAGCCCTGAGTGGTGGACAAGTCGACAGACACACAGCTGCCGGAGTATAATTGGCATCCAGGGCAGTAAATGCCTGAGCCCTCGCTCCTGCAGTCCTTGTAGCAGCATCAGCACATCCGAGTTCAGTTGTGGATGGAGCAGGAGCAGTACCTGCTCAGAAGTCAGTGTAAATAGGCTGACGGTCAGTTCCTATGGGACATCCTCAAGGACGGATGAGACTCCTCAGGAGACCAGAAAGCAAAACAGTCCCAAATCCACTTCACCCGTCCCTTGCTCTGCCTCTCTCTCTCATTCCTCTCCCCACAGATCATCTCTGAAAGCTCCTGGCCTCATCACTGACCACTTTGACAGAAGTCCCTCACAGCGAAAAGACACTAGTTCAGAGTCAGAGCATGGTCAGGAACCCTCTGCCCCTGTCACAATAAGCAGCTCAGGCACAGTTCTGCCAACACTATGTCAAAGTCAGACTCTTCCTCAGAAACCGCAAAGGATGTTACTTTTCCCTCTCATAGGAAAACTTCCTGCAATCCTGAGAAAGGCAAGAAGGAAAAACGGATTGCTGGAAAAGAGTCAAGAAAGGCAGAGAAAAAAGGAAGTGAAGGAAGGTGGAGAAGATCCCGGGGCATCTCCTGTCTGTCAAAAATGTCCTCCAGACATTGCTGAGTCTAAACTCGGCAGAATGCCAAATCTCTCACCACCACAGATTAGGACCGATGACAAGAAGACAGGTGCAGAAACAGTTCCACCAATCAGCTTTTCAGCTGAGGAGATGGACAAATATCGCGTCCTGCAAGAGCAAGCAAGGGAACACATGCAGAAAGTACTGGAAAAGTCGCAAGAAAGTGCAGACATGAACGCACAGACGAGCTATACACACGACGCACAGACAGAAAGGTGCATGGCTTTAGAAGAGCGATACACAATTGCACCATTGCACAACCCTGCACAGCCACAAACTCAGCCAATGCAAGCAGAGATGATGCATGAACAAGTACATAACACGCTCCACGTCAGTCTCCCGCTCTCACATGGGACCCCACAAGAGAGCTTTACACGGCCCATGGCTCTGGGAGTCCCCAACCTCACACATCTTCCACCGTCTCCTCCTATTTCTAATCTCCATCACATTATTTTACGACAAACAGCCCTCAGCATGCCACCCCACTCCCACTCTACATCTAGCTCATCCCTCTCTTCTGCCCTCCACCCACACCCACCCCCTTGTCCTCCTTCCCTCGCTCATCCCCTTCATCTCACCCCCCTCTCTATCTCCTCTCTGTTCCCTTCCATCCTGTTCTCCCATCATCCAGTCCCTCTGTTTTCCCAATCACCAGCTTTCCACACATCACCCCTCACTTCGCTCTCCCCCATAGCCCTGCAACCTTTGAACTCACAGCCTTTCATGGACAGATCGTGGACTGTGAGGTTTCAACAGAAAGCAATATAATTGTCAGCGTTTGCCACGTTGATTCATTTCTCTTGGAAACAAGTGATAGAAACGAGATAGAACTGTTGAAGAACATCCAGATTTTTTTAAAGGCTTGTGTAGTTGGTTTTACAAATATCAGCTCATCAGCTTATTCAAATATGCCATCACACTCACTCACATGTGTGCATCTACACAAGCAACCTGGCTATTGGCCATTTTCAAATAAAAACTGTATTTCCCCATTTAGCCTCTGCCATGCTGCAGCTGAAAGTGCAAAACCAGACTTTGATCCTTTGCTTTTGCCTTCATTCCTCATTTAGGCTCAGAATAAAGGGAAAGGTGCACCTGCTATTCAAAGACAAGCTGGGTTTGTGTCATCCTCTTTCTTCCTTCTGAGCCACAGGCTAGCCAGCTGTCTTTTGAAGTACCCTTCAAGCCAGGGACAGAGTAACAAGAGTAGTGATAATACTCTTTCCTTATCTCCATTTCATACAGGTTATCTGAGTTAGCTTGTGACTTTCAATAAAGATAAATAACATACCAAGGACCAGGAGGTCTGTCAAGGCCGGTTTAACCTTATGTATACTGTATTTCTGTGTCTGTACATGATAGGAATAATTGTGACCCAGCACAAATTTCCATATCTGACACATATAAAGGCCTGTTTTGTTCCAATAGTGTAAATACAATGACATCATGTGATATATATAAATAAACAATTGGAAAAACATTAAAAATTAAATGTGGATTTAACCTCAACCATTTGTACCCTGATTATTCCCCACCTTGTGTTTTCAGTGATAACTGTTTATCAAAACTTTCAATGTGAGAAATAAGACCTTCTTCCCCCGTACTGCATCTAACAAATTGGTTGTTGAGACAGCAGTGAACGAGTCTGATATGATGCATCGAAACTCGAGTGAAAATAAAGGGGATTTAATGATTTTTCTTGTTCTGTCTGAATCTTGTTGATCACATGGCATATTGCCAGGTCCAGATGAAGCATTAATACTGTGTGATTTATTACATCTAAAAACCAGGCGCCGAATTACTAAAAGTGTTTGATAATAGAGCAATGTGATCTTAAAACTCTTCGACTTTTTCCTGTTTAGTATTGAAAGGATTTCATCTTGCAAATCCTTCATATCATTCGGCAATTATTAATTGCAAATAGAAAATATATTAGCAACACATACACATAGCAAAAGTAAAAATCAGGATCTTTTGTGGCAGAAATTAGGGAAGAGCTCCCCGTGACAGCTATTATCACTGCCATTTGTAAAGGTCCTGATCATCCTAAAGGCACAAACGATGATGGTGTGATCTAAAAAGTTTAACAACAAATTCAGAAAAGGACAAAAGCATCTTTATTGTGAGACACAGAGGATGGATCTGCCCTTTAAAAAGTACCATCATTTTTGCAAATGTTATTAGTCCTTTTATTACCAAGCATTAAAGTGATTTTGCTGAAAAAAATATGTTTCTTGAAACCCATTCTAAGCTGGAAGGAAAAGATAATTCACAAGTATTCTTTTTTTTTTTCAACCATTAATAAAACAGATGAGCTTTTTCCTTACATGTCTTGCTAAGGGTTATAGATGATGGTAACTGTTGCTATGCATTCAAGCTGGGTAATAAAGCAGCTTTCCAAATAGTTGATAGCTGCAGCGGCCGGCACTCAGGGAGCAGAACACAGAAGAGAGCAGAGCAGCATCCAGATGGTCTGTGTACTCAGACTACCCAGCGTGCTTTGAGAAATTGGATTGATTTGCCCTTTCTTGATATCAGTGAACACAACCCAGCACATTGAGGGGTGACATAATGCAGACACAAAAAGTATACGAAATGTATATTTCTTATCCTGAGGTGCTGAGATTTAAGTCAGTTCCTGCAGAGAGTCTGTAATTAGAGCACAAGTGTGATGTCTCCTCCTTTTGACCCTTTAGCTTGAGCATGTCTGTGCGTTTAAGGCAGTGAGAAACAGAGAATCCTTATCTCTCTCCACAGGACAGTAGATCAAACAGACTGAGTGAAATATAGAGCAGCAATAATTAGCAGCTGTTACAACATCAATCCTCTCAATCTCTACCTCTGACACACACACACACACACACACACACACACTGCGCTGTTCCTCTCCAAGAGTTGAATTTAAAGATACTCAAATGTGCTGCAACTTTTCAGTCCTCAAAAAACATATATAGATTTTTTTGTCCTGCAGCTCAACTCTGGATGCCGTGTAAAATAAATCTATATCTATCCCATATCAATCCCTTGTTTAATTCACAATATAATGTAGAAACCTAATCACATGTTGAAAATTAGATATTTTACTGATCCATCCTGAAATTGATGCTGAAAAAGTTGGGACAGGGCCAAGTAGCATCTCTCTGCTTTAAGGTGTCTGTAAATGTTTCAGAACTCGGAGGACTATGGTCTTCTTTGACATAATTGCATTTCAGGATGCAGCTTTTTTTTCAGATAAAAAGATGAAAGGTTAGGTGTGCAGACTGGCCGGTAGAGCATGTTGCAGAACATGTTGCATTAAAATCTGTGGATATCCGTCAACATCTCTAAACATCTTAATGACATTAACTGTTATGATTGAATATTCACAGTTTTATATTGGGGAGCAATGTTCATAAATTGCTTCACAGTTTGGATGCAGCTTGTTTATTTAAGGCTCCGTTATTTTTACATCTGAAAGTCTCTTTTTAATGTTCAGTTATGTTGCTAATCTGATACATTCCAACTGTTTCACTATAGTCCTTACTTTTCCAGCACTTTGTTGCATCCCAACTTAACATTTTGAGATTTTGAATGTCACAAACATTACATAAAAAATAAACTGGAATATAAAATAGCATGATACCAACATTTTAAACAGAGTGCTGTTACTTACAACATTTTATTTTTTCTATTTTGAATAAGACAGTGGTCTATGAGCTGTCCAAATAGTTGCTTTTGTTTCCCCTTCCCAATGACTTCGTAATTGGAAGAGTAATTGTAAACTTAAGGAGTTATAGAGCTTAAAAATATAATTTTACTACGATAGTCTTTGTAGCCGTGAATAGAAGACCTGAGAAATAGCAGTTCCCATCATGCAAAATCTCACATTTCTTTCTCTCACGGACAGTAAGTTCTTCACACTGCGATCACGTGGAAATTAGTAATCACAGTATCACTGTACTTTCTGTCAGTGACTGATTAAACCATTACCTTAGCCCTGAGACTCACCCCCCGGTGTGGTCATGTTTAGCTGTTGCGTGTGTGAGTACAGCAGAGCGAGTTGATTTATGATCAGGAGGAAGCAGTTTCCTCAGTCAATCCGCTTCTGAGAACTAATGAGGAATAAAAAAGGCTGGCATTCAGTCACATGCATCAGCAGTCACAGAGAGCTCACTGCTTGGGCAAGATTGCTTCTATTGGCACCACATCTGATTGTTAGGCTGCAGGTGGAATCTAGATTGCACTGAACAGTCCATCAACCCAAACTTGCAATTGTTATATAAATGAGACTATTCTCAATGTCTTCCAATTTCTTTTCTTTGTTTTTGTGCTCTGCTCCCTACACTAGCCGTTGATTCAAAGATGGTCAGGGGGACTGCTTTCAGTTCCTTCAGCTCTGTGGCTGTGGGGGGGGGGGGGAGCCATTACAGTTCATTCCCTAAATGTTTCTCGTTCAGGGGAGATTCAGGCGAGAATACTGTGATATCGCATAGGCCTCCACAGCACAATATAAAGTCCTATGTTATCCAGAAAAATACCCTACTTTGCCTTTTTTTGTACAGTAACATTCATTAAAAGTTTCTGAAGCTGTAGGACAGTTTGACACACTGTGGGTTGAGGTGTGACATCAACAGCGAGTGAAAATGAAGCTCAAAAGAATCAAGACGCTCAAGAGTAGAATACAGCACAGAAGGAAATGCAATTCAAGTTTCTGTGAGCTGAAAGGTCTGATGACTCCTTGGTCATATCTTTTCATCATAGAGCATTATGCATTTCCTGTAATTTTGACGCATCACCTTGTTCACTTTTGAACATCTCCAAAAATACAGTTCAAAGAGTAATCTGTCACCACTGATACATCGAGATTTCGTTTCCACTGCAGGTGTTGCATTTGTAATTGGATTCAGGGTGTTTAGAGCTTTTACATCAAACCGACTTATCTCACTGTATCATCCTAAACCAGAAAAGGACCTTTTATGTGACATAACAACACCCTACTCTTCGTTTTCTTTCACTCATAGAATGTTTGCCTGACCCAGTCATTGAGGTAAGACTTGTTTGTGTGGAACTTGTTATTGTGTGAAAATAACTACATGGGTTCTGGTCGACAATGTATTTATGGATTAGAGGAACCGGTAGGCTTGGTGATATTCTTAAACTAATGTAGATCCCCAAGGACACGACGCTGTCAGCATATTGCCGGCCAACGTCTGCACACACATTGAGGTGTTGTAGAGTAAGAATTTAGGGAGCTGTAATAGTGAGATGTGATGCTCTGTTGTAAGACAGCATGGCTAATTCCCTGGTTATGTTATCTCTGAGAGACAGATGTTCCCACCAAAGATTACTGTGCACACACACAAATCCAAAGCAGCACACATGCAAACTGTGAGCATACAGAGAGAGCATGAACACATTCAAGCTTTAGACAATAGAAACAGTGGGCAGGTCTAAAATAGCCCTATTGACTAAGAATTGAGATAAATGATGACGATAACTTCTTCGAATGTTAATCATAGGAAAATTGATGTCCACAGAATAAACTCAAGGTAGGAAAAACTGTATCTCACAACATTTTCCCAAGTAAATATTTAATATCAAATCAAATTAATCATGTTATGATCGGTCACCTTAAGCCATAAAGATCTTATTGAGGAACAGAAAAAAAAATCAGAAAAACTCTTGGACAATCATTATCTTCTATAATGATCATATTAAGCCACACAAAGCATAGAGTCTTAACCTGTTCAGCTCCAGAGTTTTTCCTGAGTCAGACGCGCTGAATCTGGTAAAAATCTATTTTTTCCAGGAAACAGGTTCACAGCAGAAGATAGCAATCACTTGATTCATGACTTCTCACCTTGGCTGTCAGGAAAACCATTGGGTCAGATAACATCATTCTCAATATGCTGTTAATTCCGCTTGAAGACATGACCACAACCAACAAATTACTTTCTAGATGGTTGGTATGCAGTCCGCTGTCAATCTTTGTGTTAAGGGAGTCCATTTTGTTCTTGGTCTTCTTCCTCTCACCCGTTTGAATTTATACTGCAACCAGAAATATGAGTGGTATCTTAGAATAAACATAAACCTTTCCAGCCTCCAAGCACTGGGTGCATGATTTAAAGCACCCCAAGCAGCATCTTTGAGGGGTTGAACAGATTGTTTGTGCACCTTGAAGTGAATGCTGGTGCTTCAGCGTGACTTCAAGAAGACAGTTTGCACAAATGAACATGTGAATGCATGTATAAACATTTGTGCTGCCTCTCAAACTCCTTTCTATTCCAAGCTCTGATCTCCCTCCTCCTGTTTCCGTTTAACTGGTTTGAGCTCTAAGCCTCCAAATTCTGATAATTTTCCCTTAATCCCTTCAGAGGAGCAACCCGCTTATGTCTCTAGTTAAGTAAAAAAAAAACATACCAACACCAACGCTGCATATCCGGCGCACACACACGAAGCTTTTAAACTAAAGTTATATCTGACTGGACGACCTGTGACTCGTGTGGTGATGTGCCTACAGGCTTTCTGAGTGTTTATGGGACTGTTTTTCAGTGATTAAGAGCCAATAAGGATGTTGTTATGACAACACATGCATTTTTAAGCTGTTAATCTAGGATTATTCTCCCCTCCCCCCATCTCATTAATGATTATTAAAAAATACATACAGATATGCACATGAAGACTAATTATGGGTTGGTTTCCCAGGAGACGGAACACATGCTGCTATGGTCTCTAAATATAGTTTGACACAGCCTATAGGTTAAAAGAAGGCATGTTTGTTTACCAGTAGGCTGCACTTGAAGCTTTAAGTATGCACATAACATAATATTAACCTTCTGTAATTGAAAAAAAAATGTCAGCAGCTGCAGATGTTAAATCTGTGCTTATGATACAACAATACAAGTTTTGCTGTTTGTGGCCTCTAAGGAAGCTAGTCCGGATTTTTAGTGTGAATAACAACAAGAGCAAGCGAGAAAGCAAACAAACAGTGAGTGTCCTTTACCGGTGATTGAATGTGTGTCCTTGTGTACGAACAGCACTCCCCCTCCACCTCTCAGCAAGTGGAAACATCCCTGCAGTGCTGAAGTTGATGTACAGGTGTGACAATGGCCAAGGGTTTTAAGATCACCTGAGGCTCTGTGTCCACCACGGCCCACTCACACTAGGTCAGCTCAGAATAACCAGATAAGGCTGACCGCCAGTGTTCACTCACCTCCGGAGTCATTAATCACACAGGCCTGCATATGAGCCACACAGACACATGCCATAACACACACGTGAACACAAAAACACACTTACGCACTAGAGCTGGCTTTAATTATAAAAGGCAAATGCTAGATGACAGAATGGCTCCAGGTAGTCGTTCCTCACGGCCTGTACTGGTGCATTACCATACCCTATAAACCACAGACATGAATATTTCTGAGCAAAGCCCAGACCACGGATAACAAAACATCATACCGCATTAAGCCACGATAATGCACAGCACACACACTCACACACACACACACACACACACACACACACACCTATCTCTACATTTTTCTCCTGTGTTGTCTTTTATGCTCCTTAAATACAAACATACACAATCAGATCAGAGTATCTGAACCCCTGTCTCCCCAAACAGCCCTCTCAGCTTGCAGCCGGGTCACAATCTGCAGCAGGATCTCAGATAACGCTCCTATTTACCGGTTATGAAATTCTTCAAAGCTGCCGTATGGCAGTGGATGCCTGTGGTGTCTTGTGCTCGCTAACAGGAATGGAGCATGGAGACAGATTAAACTGAATGATTGCGTGTTGCAGCACATATGTCCCATTGTGAAGCTTTAAAAAACATGCAGCAAAATGTATGAGGATGTCAGAAAAGTCTTCCTAACAAATGTTCTCAGTGCCTAAAAATGAAAGTAAAAACCACTTCAGATGTTTACATGGAAAAACTGTTTACAATGCTGTCTTTTTTTTGCAAAGGAGTATAATTAATGTTTAATGTAAATCATGATAAATTGCTTATTCTTAAATCTGTAAATGTCTAAAGTGAAATATCCCAAAACATTTTTTTTTAATTGCAGTTGATGCAGAATCCGCAGCATGAAGTTTAACTAAAACAAAGGAAATATATCACATCAGCTCACCAGCTGCCAGCTTTAAATAACCATTCTGTTAGCCAACCTGAGAGATTCTTTCCTTTTTCATTCGAGTCAGATCAGTTTGGACTTTCACTGTTTTTCTTTTAAATGTACCTTAGGTGTCTTGTAAATTGGCTGTCTTTTGATTTTGATGCTTGGAACTTGTGGAACATTGCCCAGCTCTTGATGTCAGCACACAAATTCTCCCAATATTTTCAAATGGATATTTAAATAAATGGTTTTGATGAGGGTTATTTTCATCATTTGGAGTGATGTTACAGCTGAGTGCCATCAGTTTGTTGAAGTTGTCTGCTCTGGTGAATAACAAAACTAAATAGCAAAGAAATGCCAGCATTGCACATAGATGTTGACTTTTCGAATTATGTGTAAAGACGGAATTCTGTGGGCACTGTGACTTATTGACTGACAGGGAAAGAGGTGCTGCTGTTCTGCTAAGAAAGACTTAAGGTAATTAACATGCTCTCTGTGTTTTTGTTTCTATGCATACATATGTCATGTCTGAGAGTGTTTGTTAAAGCTGCATGTGGGTGTGCAGAAGCTGTGAAAGCCTTCGAAAGGTGTTTTGCATTTTCTGCTAGGGAGAATTAAAGCTCTAAAACTCATTTCTTTTATCGACATCTGTCAAGGAGATTAGGAGAAGTATTACTCAAGTCAACTCCAAGCATTTAACAATTTGATTGAAAAAGATTGAGTAGGCAGCAGGTTTTATTGCCATTCTGTTTGAGCATATCAATTTCATGTTTGATAAGCAGGTGAGAAAGGAAAGCCATTTTAAAAAGACACTTCAGTAAAAACGCAAGAAGTAAAGACAGATCTGAGGGGAAATTGATGATATAATAAGCAAGGTGATGGGATCAGTGCTCCATAGGGGCATCGGCCTCGTTCCTCTCTTCCTCATCACTGCAGGGTTCAAAGTCATCATCCAAGGCTGGGTCTCCCTCCTCTGCCTCCAACTCTCCTCCCAGTTCACTAAGCAGCTGCTCCACATGCTCCAACATTGGCTGGTCGTCACATCGAAGCTTATTGTGCAGCTGGTGAAGACACACATCAGAAAGGAGAAACACAGAATGAATGAAAGTAGCAAATATGACAAAAACGGAGTGCCAGTAGGTGAACAGCTTCTCTATCGTTTCGCTGGAGTTAGCGGCTCATCACTGCGCCACCCCTCAGAGGTGGAGATGAGAGAAACGAGCAAGCCCCGAGGTTTTGGGTTTCCAAATGCTGGGTAGGCCGCCTGAAATATCCACTAGTTATCTGCATTCTGTCAGCGGGGAAGTCGAGCCTGACAAAACGCTGGTAAACACTTTTGTCTTGCGTTTGGCGAATCAGCACATTTCATACAGAGTTTAGCTGCACAGAAATAAAGAGGAACATTTGAAAAAAAGACCATTCATCTTCCTTTTGCCGCAGTGTCTCGCTAACACACACATATGTCACGATTTACACAGACGTGGTGTCCTCGTGCATAATCAGTCATCAGAGGGAAATGTGCTGTGAAAGAGCGAGACAAATAAATAGTGCTGTTCTCAAAGCTATCTTTGCACAATACTCTGCTTGTGCGTAATTACTCATCTTTAAGTGGAGCTGAGTGCCCCACCTGTGCGAGGATGCAAAGCATAAAACTGTTTTTCTGTCGGTTTCAATTCACGCATCTCCTTCCAGAAACAGGAGAAGGAAGATAATGGAGGTTTATTATCATCTTGGTAAAAAAATATTTTAGTTTGTCTACTAAAAGTATATATTGAACACGAAGTAGTTTAAGCTTGTGGACAACTGGCAGCCAAGTGTCATCATTCTTACTAAAAGTGTAACGAGGCAGAGGAGAGTGAGTGTGACTGCTTTGCCCCAGGACTAGTCTCCAAGCAACAGCAGGTCCTGACAGGAGACACACAGTCCCATGGGAACTAATTTGGAGTGTGAGGATGTGCAGTGTGTGTGTATATTTAAGTGGATGTTGTCTCCCCAGGTTGGAGCTCCAGGGAGGTAGAGCGTGACCCAGGTCCGAGCACAAGGTCGGACACCAGGGGAGAACTGACCCTCTCAAACTCTTTAAAAGCACCACAGATGCACATAGACACACACAGCCACGCGAAACACAGTGATTTTCATTGCACCAGTGTCACTCTGAAATGCCTGGAGATGTGTATCCGCATCGAATACTGAAAAAAAATAAAGAAAAGAAGAAAATAAAGTTGGGAACACCTTGCCGTGGTCCTGGCTCAACACTTCGAGTAGTTGCACCTTTCTGCCTCAAGTTAAAGGCAGAGTGTGGCCTCCATATGAGCCGCGTCACCGAAGTAATGGAACACAGAACACATTACTTCTGCATTGTTTGCAAACATGCTCTAAGGCCAAATAAACTGATTGCTGCTTGGAAAATTGTATATGTAGGTGGTGATATTTAGAACAAATCAATAGCACATTGTGTCTAATGGATAGGATGCAATTATTCATTGTGATACCTTCGGAAAGGTAAACAAACAGGAGGTAATCTTTACACATTCTGCATTGTGTGCTGCCGACATCACCATCGCCATCATAAAGGAAAACTAAAAATAAGGATAAATCCTCATTTACAACAGATTATTTTCTTTCCTCGCCTTCACGACTCAGAGAGCTGCCTGGAGAGGAATGGTGTGTGTGTGATAGCATTACTTTTTCATGGTCCACTTTGCTCCACTTTCAAGCCCCGAGTCACAACCCAAGGAACGCTTGACCACTGCTATAACAGCTCTCACACACACAAACACACGTTCAACAGCTGAACATGCAGATACGCCAGGAAACACTTTAAAATGTTGTTCTACCTTCATCCGCTTTGTCTTCAATTAAATATTTTCCAATTAACACAATAGGCAGTTGTTAAATTCTGCCTGAAAATATGTGAAAAGGTTTTCACATATTTGGTCAAATATCTCTAAGTCTACAGGCCTAACTCTGACCCAATTCTAATAATGCATCAGATTTCATCATGAGCACATGATCACTCAAGATGACACAACCTACTTTTACATTTTTAATGACAGCTGTCTGAGTTGATACTTGCAAGATTTGCATGTGTTGTTTAATTGTTCACATTGATTATGTTCAGATTTCTGGTTTTCTGGTATATAACAAAAAGGCACCTGCAATCCTGCAACCAGCAGAATGGTTTAAAAACAAAAAGCATTGGGGCCAAGGCTGTGCGCTGCATATAGGGTGTGTATATTAATGCATGTGTTTAGAAAAAGGCATATAAAGCAGATGTATAAAGCAGACCCCCCCCCCTCCACATGACTGCTGTGAATTCACCAGGTAATTGCCTGCTGTACACTTTAACTTGTTTGGTCATTTTCCTGACTCAGCATTAGGGAGTTGGTTGGATAAAGTCAGCACAAAGTGCGTTGAATCTAATATGGGCATTTGTATTCTCACCTACAGGCCATGCGTGTCTGAAAACAGCTCGATTCACTTTATGTCCGTAAACCTGAAAAACCATGGACGTCTTCTTCAGCTGTGGCTTTTTCTGGTTTTCAATGGCAAAACCATCCCGTCAGTTATTATCAGTATTTAACTCAAAGGTCTGCTGTGCCAATATAATGCCAAAGTTGGAAGCGCGGCTGCATAATTCTCTATCCCTGACAGTATTCATGGGATACTGATGAAATGATAATGCTTTTCAGTCTGAGCCAAAAGTTGGTTGGATGCAGAAAGGGCCCAAAGTCATTTATCTTAAGACACACAATGCAAGAGCGTTTTATCACAACTCCTCCATTCTAATATTGTGAAATGGTTTAGAAACACGCAAGCTGCAAGTGCATGCTCTCACCTGGGAAGTGGCAAACCTCTACACAAAAGAAAAATATAAGATTCTGGCACTTAAATGAATCTCTTAGCTCCATGTGTGTAGCATTAGGTCACACCGTGTTGCATTAATTGACAGGATGGCACTTACAGTGAAGAAACTTCTACAGAGAGCTTTCAAGGTGAATTCATGATAATGAGTGCAATTTAATAGAAAAGGTCTATCGAATTGAATACAATACTGAATTATGTTCACTTAAGGTTCACAGTGGTGCTCCAGGAGCTAAACGAGGCCTCATGCTGTTTATGGTCATTACACCAGAGCCCGAAGGCATTTCATTTCATGCTAAAAATAAATAAGTAAATAACACAAGTAAGAAAGCAGAAAGACTACTTAGAAACACAAATAGGTATTGATACATGAAATTCGATATCCCTTAAACAATCTCTATTGTAGTTCTGCATTAAGAAAATTCAACTGTAATAATACACATTAATAAGCTTCTTTTTTTCCATTTCTTGGCAGACAGCTTTTTCCACAACTGGTATGGCAGATAAAGGACAGTCTGATTATGCGGTAAAAGCCTAATCATTTCATCATTGTTCAGCCTCTGCTCCACACCTATGCTTAGCTTCCACTTTCATTTCACCTTTTCTTTCCTTTCATTCACTAATACCATCATTCTTGCAGCTCCTCACCACTTTCCGTCGTGCACTTTTTCTTTTTTGTTTTCTTTGTCTCGCACTCGTATGCTCTAACCAGACGACCTTCCTGTCAAGGAGATAGATACGTCTTCTTGCTCTCATCTATATGCCAGCGCGTTTGCAAGCGTGCATGCGAGTACACACACTTATTCTCCCCTTTCTGGCAGAATAGTGCTAAAATCGTGGCCTTCTCGAAAGTTTCTCTGCATCGTCATTCCAGCTCTATCTGTACTTCATTTAGAGCACACACTGTATACACCTCATCCAGAACACCTTTATGTTTGGACAAAAGGACTAAAATTTTAATCCTCAGTACTTTTAATCAACACGTTTGCTTCTTCTTAACTTCCCTCTGCATCTCAGTGTCATGCACACTTATACACACTTCTTCACTTGTAAGGGTGTGACAGTGACTGAGATTAGAGCTTCTGGAGTGTGAACAGGACATGTCACTGGAGGTCTCAAGGGGGCCACCCCTCACACGTACACCCACACACACACACACACACACAACCTAACAGTCCAGTCCTCCAGTCACGTCCTTGTTAGAAAAGACATTAAAATTACAAGACTAGCAGACCATGAAGCTATCCCTACCCACAATCCATGCTCGTGGGATACCTTTTCAGCCACTTCAAACAGCAAAGCTTTTGACCTCCCTTTGCCCTAGCAGCCCTTGTTGCACTCACACATGCACACCCACACACACATACATATATAACACCGTCCTCTGCATACGCTGCAGATCCCTCCTCAAATCGCCCCCTATCTGGCCGAGACTCAGATTCTATTTCGTGTCCGGTTTTAGTATTGATTTTACCCTCGCCACTATTCACAACATACAGCCCCTGCCCCACAACGCACACCCACCCCACATTCAATTTGTTCCCTTCCTCATCCCCCCCCCCTTCATTTCATCCTCCAACTGGTCCGCCTGGTCATCTCAAACACATCTCTCTTCCCTTCTCGATCCATCTATTCTTTTGAACCACTTCCTTTTGAGAAATTCTCTGGTGAATTGAACAGAAACACAATCCTACAACAGTGTCGATGTTTGTTTTTTAACTCACAAACCAGACAAATTAAAACGTTGCAAGATTTTCTAAACAGATTGTTGCAGATACAAGAAGGGTGCAAGCACGCACATAATTGAATATGTGCATCTAGAAATGATACACGCACAATTTTTTTCTGACTTGACACACATTCGCACACAAACACAAATTTACCAAAATCATAAAGTATGCAGAGAAGTGGACTGGTGCCAAAATAAGCCGTTGGGCTTTGAGGCCTCATTTCCATGCTGGAGCCCATTTTAACTAGCAGACTGATTCATTGTTAATAATTAACACTCACACTGATGATCTGAAACAAAGCAGATATTCAAATAAGGGAGAATCTAAACCACACAATGGCCTAGCACACATATGGAGAGGCAGAGTTGCGGGATTATATGAACAATGTGCAGGGCAGTCTTCTCCATGCATTCCAGCTCACTTTTCAAGGACTTTGTGCCTTTGCCATCCACATTATTCCACACCTGTTGCTTTTTTCATTCTACAAAGAAACTGCTATGCTGTTTACTTGTCAAGCTTTGATGCCTGACCCAATTCTTTTACCAGTCGGTCACTTTTTCATTTGTTTGCAGTCCTTCTCTTTGAGCACAATAGCTGGGTACTTCAACCAATTTCTCATTGTTTTTCTTTTAATTTGTTCTTTTTTTTCTTTATTATAATTCCTCCCTAAGCTAACACTTTAAATCCACAGAGCAAGAATCTCTCATTATCTCCCTCTTGGCATCTGTAAGCCAACCTTGCTTATGGTCATCTGAGAACATTCCCAGTGGATACTGGTTAGACAGTCCCATCAATAAACTTCTGGCCAGGGAGACAGACATCAATATATTGCCACTAAGCTGCTCCTACTCATCTCTACAAGAACAAGGTGGGGTGGCGCAGGAGAGAGGCTGTGTACAGAAATGAAAGGAAAAGGAAAGCAAAAAGAAGGCGGGAAAAAAGGAGGTGGGGCTTGCCATCCTTCAGTCTGCGCCGTCTGATTTACAAGCCTATTGGATTTTAGACTAACATGAATCACTGCTCCACAGAGGCATTATTCTGACAGGATGACAGAATGAATGAGACACATCACTGGGAGTGTGTCTCTGAGTGTGTATTAGGAAAAGAAAAGGAGGAGGGAGGTGGGAAAGAGAGTTAAGACCAAATTCAAACGTCTCTAAGATTATACATGTGTATTTCTGATTCCACAGTGAAGCTCAGAAAGAATCCACTAACACACACAGTTCAGCCCTTAGAAGACACATTTAAGGTTACGACATCTTGGATTTTAATGTCTCTATCCACATCATGTGGGGTAAGGCTGTTATAACCTTGATTGGCTAAAAATAGTACGTTTTAAAAAAAATAAGTAATTATCTGTTTGATCAAATTGTTTTGCCTGAAAGTGAGTAAATGTGTTTGTACATGGAAAAAAAAAGAATCACAAGATGATTTCTGACAATTTCTAAGAATTGTTAGTCCATCATGAGAAAACCTGTTAGGTTCCAGGTCATTTTCAAATACTTATGAAGCAAAAAGGATGAGGGAAAAAAAACACTGATACTTGCCTCTACAGCGCTGTGTATAAGCAGACTGAACACATCAGGGGAAGTGTGTGCTCACAATTAAATGATGCAGACTTGACATGGCCATGTTTAACATATCTATACATTTTCAAATGCTAAACGAGACAAATATGTATAAATCAATCTAAGCCAAGGGATGAACATCACTTAATGCAAAAAAGCCCTGTTAAATAACTAACTACGACTAAAGAGACTATAACATATTAAACACATTAGAAATTTAAAAAAAAGGAATTTTTGAGGATATCCTGATCAAAATTACCTTCTTAGCATTGGTTAGGTACGATCTGGCTGCCTCCTGCAGTGCCTTCCACTCTTCCTTTTCATCCTCGGTCACTTCTCTTCCTTCTCTCAGTTGCAGCTCCTTTGCTTTTTCCCACTGGAGGTAACACACCCAACCAGACAGATACCACACCTGGCAGGCACACAAAGACAGGGGTGAGCTGAAGTGAAATGAGGCACACAGAGTGCTCTGAGTTGCAGTGAGTGTCCCATGACAAGTGAAACAGATTTGTGGGCATCACTGGACAGGAACCCCCATGTTCTTCTCTGACAAAAAGGTTTCAGAGCATGTGGCATGGAAACACAACTCAGACATATGAGCAGTAACTCCAGTGTTGACCTTTAATGTGTTCATTTAGCAAAAAAGGCCTGACAGTGGTGATGGATGCTCTTACTTCACCATCACCTTTATTTTCAATTTTCTATAGCTTCTGTGTAATAAAAGACGCAATTACAACATTGACAAATAGCACAATAATAAAACGAAACACAAGTTTCCTCAGGCAAGGGATTTCTTTGCATCCTTCATGATATCTTAAGTGAGTGTTGGTTACAATATCATTCTATTAACAGAGGCTTAACAAGATTGTACATCAATTTATGGTTTATTCTTGTGTTGTACATATAACTTTAGATACGCACACTCTACCATGTACACAAAGCACTTTTAAGCCTCAATATGGAAATAAGAAATACTTCAAACACGTTGAAAGAGAGACAATCAACTAAAAGTGTCTACTTCATTGAGGAATCCATCTTCTCAAAATGATATACTTCTGAAGGGGAACACCACTTGTTAGTTCCACATTGTTAATGGGATTAGTGATAAATATGTTGTCAAAGACCCACTGATTTGACAGAGATAATCAAATACGGCGGGATGTTGCAATAACAATAATTACAGTCGCGTGTTGTGTCACATGCCAGATTCATCCTATGTCACCTTACAAACCTACCCATATTGCTGTTGGATCAGACTAAAATTTAAGGAAAGCATTGTTAAGTGTGTGTAAAAAAGGAAACAGGATAAGAGGAATGTTAAGTAAGAAAAGGAACACAAAGTCTTGCTATAGACAGCAGAATGGCAGCCATTCAAATATCAGCCATCTATGAGAGTCTGACCTTCAGAGCACATTTATGTAATTTTCCAGAGAAAAAGAGTTATTGGTCATAGAGTTGTTGTTTTTTTTATATAAAAAAAAACAAAGATGGAAAAGAGAAAAAATAAGAGTAGAAGGTTAGATTAAGAAAAAAAAGAGATAAACATTTTAAAAGAAACAGAAAATAAGACCACCATGTAATTTTTTTTTTTTTTTTTACAAAGTTCATATAGAGTAGCACACACGGGAAACACCTAAATCAATTGTTTTCTTTTCCTTCGAACTCACACTTTTTGCTCCCGATCAAAGCTTCATTTTCCACCACTAACAACAATCGCATTCAACTCTCTGAGAACTCGGAGGTGTGCATGTGTTCGCCTCTCATCTGAGGCCAAAGATCACCCTCCCACTGTTCTTCAAGCACCAAGAAACAAATATTAGCTTTATTCATTATTCATAGAGGGCAGAGGCAGTAGGAACCTGCACCTCTGACAAATCAACCACTTAGCTAACAAACGCATCATGGCATGCCATGCTGAATCCTGAATTGTTGCTCTGCATGTTGAGCGGGAGGCTAAACCCTGCAGCCATACTTATCAGAACAACAGCAGCACTGAATAACGGCGGTAGTGATGCAGAACAAGCACTATGACATCTTTCCCCACTGTTGCACTCATTGAATACAAAGCAGATTCAAGAATAAATCTGGGTCACTTAAACCAAAACATTCAACTTCAATAATTTGAAAAACTACACGTTTTGAAATGCACTAACTAGGCTGGAATGTTTTGTTTCTTAGAAATATAGTCCTGAAAATGCATGGGCATGTGCACTTAGAATCGCAACTAAAAGTTAGCCCATTAAGAGCTTCAGAGAGTCAATTATAGCCTGCTACACAAAAGCACAGATAATAAAAAGAAATGCTGTGCGTGTGTGTGTGCGTGTGTGTGTGTGTGTGTGCGTGTGTGTGTGCGTGCGTGCGTGTGTGTGTGTGTCAATCAAATGACTGGGGCTATTTCAGTTTCAAAGTTGAGGCACATCTTGGTTTCCATATGGTGGTGCTAAGGAAAGAACAAAAGCATCGGGAATCAACTGAACACCTTTGAAACAAGATTTGCAAGGCAGCATCTCGGCTGTTTGTGCAGACCTAATATTGTAAAGGTACCGCTCAAATGTTAAGATTCTCAAGAGCAAGTAGACGTAGGCGACAGCTTACCACTCATCTACTGCACGTGAGAGAGGAAATGAGACAAAGCGAAAATAATACAAAAAATAGTGACGGGCTATATTGTAGTAGACCATGTCTTTTACAGACTTGTGATATAAAACAAATCAAATAAATATGCTTCTTCCAGTATCATGGAGATGTGGTCACAAAGGAAGCCATTTGACCGGTGGAATGGTTCCAAGTGGGTTGAAAAGTTCAACTCCCCGATGACTGCTCTCAATCTGTCTGAAAAAAGAGGTTTGTGTGGGAAGAGGCTGAGCCCGAGGGGGAATTCTTTTTTTATTTTTTTTATTTTTAAAGAGTGGGTTGGGGTGGGGTGTGCGCCCCTCTGTCGGACACAGTGTGGCACACCTCCGCTCTCTCCAGAGCTGACAAGAGGATTTTCAGCAGACCGGCAGCCTAAATTTTCCACCAATGTGCAAAAAGTACAGCTATTTATGTCTCCCTGTAACCATTTACTGTGTGTGCACACATACTGTTCTGGTTCCACTCGTGGGCACTTAAGAGTTCAGGAATTCTGCTCAGTGTCTTAAGAAATGAAAAAAAGTGAACACATTTAGTAAAAATCTAAATTTCTAATGAAGTCTCCAAGGTTACTGAACAAGAGACACAAATGTTCTTTATTCTGAGACAACACAAATATGAAATGTACTGAACACCCAGTTGTTGGAATCCTTCACTAATGATTGTCTGCTGAACCTTTACGGTAATGACAGCCTTGAACTGTTGCTTGGAGCCCAATAAAATCGTGTTGCAATTGTCAAATGGCATTTTCTCCCACACCTCCATCGCTTCAAAGTTTAAACTTTGCATGAGTGCTCTCTGCAGCGGTATCTGAGACTCACTACTTGCTGCTTTCAATCAGTCATTTCCCTTTCAACCATTCCTTTGTGCTGCTGCATTTGTGATTCAGGGCCGGCTTTTGTGTTGTGCTGTAAGACCAGAGACCTTCACCCGAAACATAGTTTCCTGACACTGGTTAACACATTTTCTCTACAATGCCAAGAAACCTTCTGATTTTACCAAACCTTTGATACTTTCAATGCCTCAAGGGTAACGCAGTCCCACAGCATTAAAGAACTCAAAGTTTATCTTAAGAAAGGAAATTTCTTTTTCTTACTGATTTAGTTCATTTAGATGTCCCCAAACAAACTGATGGGCCACATATGCAAAGAGGCCTCCTCGATGTCTTTCATTTCAAATCTCACATTTTTGTATTTTTCTCTGGTGGACTTAACAGCCATTAGATAATTATAGTGTTGTAGGTCAGCTTTAACTGTTTCCCAAAAAAGTGAGCTTATTTTTCCCCAAAGACAAATACACAAAAAAAGAATCCTCACAGTAATATCATAGATTATCATGATTACGTGTCCGACAATAAAAAGATCACTGATGGCTCCCTGTTGGTCTTTGGAAGTTTTAAGGTTTTTAACAACAATATTTCTGACACTCTCAGGCAGCTGCTTTGTGTTCAGCAGTGAAAAACCCACATCTGACCAAATTTCTTTCTTCCATTCATTCATTTGTGGACTTTTAAAACCCAGGCACAAGTGAGACGCTTTGTGTTTGAAACTTAAAAGGAAATACTAAAGATTCACCACAAAGGCACCAATAATGTGTCCAACTTACAGTGTTAAATGTTTGAATTAAATCTAGAAGGTGCCAATCATTCCGGCAGTAATGCATAGGGGAAAGGGAGTGCAGATCAGTAATGAGTCTGCCTGCAGAAGGCCTGATAAAAAGTAGAGAAAGATGTCTTTAAATGTTTTGAATTGACAAGGAGTGACACATTTTACAACCACGTTTTGCCAAGAAAAGCGTTTGTTCAGGAACCAGAACAAAGCAGCCTGATTATAGAGCTGACAGCTTCGGTCCCACTCACTCAGCCGAACATTATGTTCATGTTCAAACATCTGGAAGGGAAGACAGATTTCTCTTATTTCCCCAAGTCGTTTGGCTGGGGTCAGAACAACCTCTGCTTCATCTCAAACCGAATGTGATTAAATCTTGAACTGTTCGGAATCCTACTGGATTTGCAGCCACACACACTGACGCCACAAATGCAGACAAAGAGTCATTCTTTGCAAAAGTCTTGAGCCACTTTACATTTATTTTTTTATTTTGCCTCCACACAGCCATATTTATCAGACGTGGACGAAAGTGGCCCAGATCAATAGTTCCCCTGGCTTTTTAAAGGTCTTTCAAAGTTTTTCTTTAGAAATTGTCCCTTTTCCACCCACTTCAAGCCCAATCCTTGTACGTGAGCATTTTCAGAGAAATATGTTTTTTTGGGAAAATAACTTAACCCTGGCATTTCAATCATTAGTCTACAAACAAATCAGATAATATGTCCATACATGACACACAGGTCAGCAGATACTCAACTGGAAATTATACTTTGAGGCACCCTCCTGCAAAGACTAAATTTAATCAATTTTTGGAATTTCATCTTTAAAAAATACCAAAGCTAGCCCAGTTTGAAAGGCATGCAAGTAATGCCTTTTTCATATTAGCTCTTCCTTAAGAGCTATTAGCAAAAGTAAAATTACTCCCACAGATGCAAGTTTTTCTTTTTTAGAACTAGAGAAAAATACTTTTTGTCCCACATGCTGCAAAAGATATTTCTCATTTTATATCATTTTTATATCACTATATATGATTCCACCAAACTGCTGCGCCTGCTTCCTGATTTGCTAGAAACATTATGTAAGCATGTTTGAAGAGGGGCTGAAAACTTTCATTGCTGTATGTGGGCTCAGAGTTAGAAATACACATGTAAAAAACAAGAATATTCCATTTCACAGCGATAAAACATTTAGTTATCAAACAGCACGGTGAATGAATGCTAAGCTGGCCACCATAAAGTTTTTATGGGAAAGCGTAGCCATTTTCTATTTACCTGGACAACTTCTTCATCCTCTTCCAGAAGACCTTCCAGCACATCTACCGCCATCTGCAGCAGGAAAACAAACACAAAACTAAAATCAAGAAGGATGACGCATCAATTTGAATTTTCCCTCGTGTCATCTTACTTCTGTTCAGAGTGCAGACACACACATTCACAGTGTTTCGCATCTCGCAGGAATTTGATCAATAAAAGAGATCACGGGGTCTGATAAGCATCCAAGTGGTCTGCATCTCATACACGGTGTTATCAATACCAACAAGACAACAGACATGGCAGTCAATAGACACACTCACCAGTGCTTATCGCACAGTCGATAGTCAGTCCAGCCGCAGTCTTTGGTAGCCCTTTTAATCTATTTACTGACTGTCAATACGTTCTAACCACCCCCATCCACTCCGTATGATGCATGATAAACCTAAAGATCAGGTTGGCATATGGTCCATATTCTTCCTCCTCTCAGGATTAACAAGATCTCTCTGCAGCATCCTGGAGAGGTGGTTTGATGTCTCAAAGGAATTAAATGTTAGGTGACCTTTGTCATACCACCGCCTGTGGGAAGTTTCCATTACAGAAATCAGACCTTGACTAAAGTAGACTGTGTTTGTTTTGCTCAGTATCCCTCTGTGTGGATCCTGTGGTGGGTGTTTGTGTGTGTCTGCGTTTGTGTGTGTGTGTGGGTGAGGACCCAGGTGATGATGTATTGATTTTTGTCATTTTCAGGTTGGAGGCGACGGTTAGCCAATCACCCGTGGTGAAGGGCAACAATAAAAGACATGCACGTAGCTGCCACATGCATACACAGCGTCTCATGTTCACCAGAATAAAAGCAAAGCTACACACACGGGGTGAGAACAACCAGCAGCAATTGCTTCTTGTTAAGGCAGTCTCATTAGCTGCAGAGCCTCCCGATTTCTTTTCAGCCGTCCTACTCCCTGGAAATCTCCTCTGCTTTTCATTAAACCCATCTGGTTCTGGTGGCTATAAAGAGCTCTGTCTGCAATGACTAAGGCAGGTTAATAGACATTATCTCATTAAGAACGCACTAACGTGCAAGTCAGGGAGCCAGCCGATTGATTGCGGGACCAATTGAAAGATTTCTTAAATGAATGAATTGCTGGTTAAAAATCCCCAAACAAAAACAACAAATCCAAGCTGATTAACTTTGGATTCATGCCCAGTGTTAGAATGATCAACTTCACTTTTATTGTTTAGCACAAGCAAACACACACACACACACTTACACTGCAGTACAGATTCAGTATTTGAGCCAACCACTAGATATAAAAGATTGGGGGGGGGGGGGGGGGGGTTGGTCTTGGTATTAAACAACAAATAGAACAGGCAGTTTGGGTGCAACAGAAATAGAACAAGAGATACCTGGGAGCGAAGATAACTGAGCAATGATAACCATTACATTGTCGCCAACATCCTAACTACACTGGTCACCCCAGAGGCAAGTGATTAAAGATTCAGAGATTCTTAAGCTGCTTCACGCTTTAAACAACAACAAGATTAATATTCTCATGAAGATAAGAGAAAAAAGAGCTGCTATTCAGGGGGGGATTGGACAAAAAAAAAAAGCAAAAAAGTATCTTGATCAACAATGCAAAAGTGACCTGTGAACAATGACAGAGCGCTACAGTAATAACGAACATGTTGTCCTCTTTACTTCAGGACTTGTGGCAAAAAAAAAAGCTCATGTAGAAAGAAACTCATTTATAATGTCTGAAATGTAAGATCGCAGTTTCTGCATGCACTTGTGTGTGTGTGTGTTGTGTGTGTTTGTCATTTTTAGGCAATTCTGTTAAACAGAATCATTTTACTGGAGCGTACAGAGGAGACAGGAAAATGACAAATTGCTTTACAAGCAAGGGCAAGCCATAGCTCTCACACACATGGGCAAACGGGGACATATGCACTAAAGTAAATAAATCTCTGAGACGTCCATGCAAGTGCTGCTTGCAAGCAAAATAAAAAATGGCAGCTGTGCACTGGGAGAAATTTTTTCTTAAGTTAGGACACATTGTACACATAATTAGAGGCAAAAGAGTGACAAAGATTAGGTGATTAAATGTGTAACTACCCACCAGATTGTTTGACGGCACATTGGAAAGGGAAAGTGTCTGACAGACGAATTAGTGGTGGTTATTGGTATTTGTGATGGTATTTGTGTCTCCTTGGAAGTGAGAAAATAAACTCTAAAGAACGTAAAGTATGAGAAATGTTTTTTATGTTTTTCAAACATCAGTAAATTAAAATAATAATAAACGTTGTATATCTGTTAACTTGTATTCACTAAATATCTAGGCCGATTAAGGACCACATCATCTTTCATTATGTCCTGATAAATACAAATTTTAAATTAAGGAAACAGTGTTATTTTTACATGACTGCATTAATGCCACAAAAAAGACAAAAACAACAACTTTCAGACCTCTAAAGAAAAAGCAGCAGAGGTGTTATTACACAACACAAAAGGTCACAACGTGTGAAGTTCTGACTTGGACTGTCACCTAGTGAGTGCTCATAGGAGCTGAAGTGCAGCTAATAGACACGTGTGAAAACCTTTCATTTTCTGTTATTTAATCTATCACCACAGTGCAATACAGCTACATTTTCCACACCAACAAGATGATGTAACACACCCACACAATCCAGCAAAAGTAATCAAACTGTGACATTGATATCTTGCCTACTTGAGTTCAGTTTAAAGTCGGAATAACAAATACCTATTTACATGCTCAAATGTCAAATAGACAAGAAGAATGTGAGAGTATGTTCCCTATATACTTTTGCAAAAACTTATTAGCCAAAAATGAATAAATAAAGGAAAATAAATCGAAAAGGCTGCCTTCCAGCTTAGAAGGCAGTTTTAAAACCAATAACTCTACAGACCAAAAGCAGATTACTTTACTGGCTGCTATGAGTCTTTAGTTTAAAGGGTGAAATTGTGAAGAAAAAAGCAAATGAATGCATGTAGCTGTGATATAGGAGATGATCGGCCAAAGACTGAAGATTTTTCCATCACATGTGTCTTCATCAGTTAAAGAAAATAAAACCCACTGTGAAACGTAGTGGTCATGAGACACCTTGAAAGAGCTGTTGGTCACGAGCAAAACGTGGCCAAAAATGATGTGCGTGCATACGTATGCGTGCTTGCACACATGGCCAAACATTTGACATTGTAAAACACTTAGTATGGGTGCAGTCAGGGCGTCAGGCTGGATGACACCACGAGGAGGGATGAAGACAAATGACGTGTCAGAAACTATGGACCGAGACGTTGTCATTTCACTGATACACCTGACAGCCGGTCTCCGGCACACGTACACCCCACCATGCAACCGCAGCCAACTGCAGCTGAGCAGTTCAGGTGTGACAGGGGTGAGCGAGGCGGGGGGGAGGGGGATTCTACTCATTTCCTGTCAGTAATCGCTGTAAAGCACCCAACAAGATTAACTACAAATTAATCACTGGATCACAACAGAAAATTGCTGCACTGCCGTTGGTGTGGCAGTAATCACAGAAAATTACTTCAAGCGCTAATGACTGATAGGAGTTTTAGCGCTGAACTGAAGGCTGCGAGCCACTGAAATTGAGGCCATTTATACTGGAAATTGATGAGTGATTTAGCAGGAAAGTGTATGTCTCAAATATATCGTAGCAATCCACGCAGATATGGCTTTAAATATTTATTTTTACATTTCTTTTCCTTTCAAATTCCTTTTCCCCATCCCTCTGATGTGCACCCCCTCACCCCCTTCCCTCTCTGTAAATACCACTCTTCAATTATTGACACTAAACTCTGGAGGGCATAAAGACCAGCCATGGCCTTCCCACCTTCAGTGCTATTCACTCGAAAAAGCACACAAAACGCTTGCACACTCACATACAAATGCCAGGCCGGCCCCCCACTGTGAAGCACTCACACAAACCATCGGAAATGGAGTGTGTGGAGTGTCTCGCACAACAGACCCTTTACCTCATATTCCTCTGATTCGATGAGTAGTTTGGCTGTGGCGATGCGGCACTCATAGGGAGGGATCTCATTCTGAGGGGGAAGAAAGGACAATTTCACCACCTGTGAAGTGAGTGTTTGTACACGAACACATATTGTTCCTCCTTTGTCTGATTAGAACTCATTCCAATATCATAGAACAAAATGCTCTGTGAACGTTAATCGCAGTCAGAGTCTCAGCAGGCTGGGCTCAGATCAACCAGCTCCCAAAGATTAGAGTCATATCAGGGATGCTACTAAGACTTTTAAACCAAGCCATCATGCAAAATCTTGCCTTTTTTCACACATTTGCTCTACATCAAGAAAAACTCTTGTATAATCTATTTGGAAATCAAAAGTATCAAAGCTAGTTTTCACACTTTTGCTATTTATTTTTCTTTCAATAACATTGCTGGTAGCGCCTGTTATATGGGCTGTCTCACACACTCGGATATGAGCCATGTTCAGTCTTTTTGTTTTCTTTCTTTGTTTTGTTTTTTAAAACTATTGCTCATTTCTTTATCCCCTTATTTCTTTTTAACTCTGCTTAGCGTTCTCATGTCTGCATGTGCTGCAAAGCACACGGACAATCCTGTTAGTTGAAAGGCCTTTATAAATAAGCCGGGGCCTTGTTGCTGCTGGGTGTGGTGGAAATAAAACACCAACAAAAGGCTTTGGCTCACCTGCACATCTTCCTCTGAGGTGGAGGACGATGCAATCTGTTTCTGCGTAGGCAGCCACATTCTAACACTTTTCAACAGGTACTCTTTGCCTTCCTAAATACAGAAAGAAAAGACATAAGAACGCATAAAACATGTCCGAAATGATTCACTAGCAAAGTACAGTGTATGTCCATACAGCATCAATTACAAAATAAACATTAGTAAAAAATCTAAAATAATAATCCCCTTTTAATTCAGCCTCTACAACTTAGCTCTTAAATCAGTGAGCTACGACTCTATTTTAAAACCAATCTAATGATTGTTAATTACTAGCAAAGCATGGCGAAAAACACATGCTGGGGAGCATATGTGGGAAGCACTGACAAGTGACTGGTGCCAGCCTGACCCCTGAAGCTCACAGCCAGTATTGCAGATCCATTTGAGTTCTGTAAGGTGAGTAAATAAGGTTCTGGCTAGTGGGGCTACCAAACTTTAAATATATCTTAGATATAAACAGTATGAATGTCAGTAAGTTATATGGGGACGTTCTTCGACTTTCGTCATGCTGCAAAGTTACTTTAATATTTCTCCTAAAAAATAAGTCAAACAAGCTGCTCCACCTTCTCCTTCTCCAATTTATCAGATGACAATATGACCTCAACAATCTGGCCACTAATTAACATTCCTATCAGCGTGACCCATCCGTGTGTGTGCGTGTCAGTGTAGGTGTCTGTGCGCTGATTAATGGCATACAATTCAATCTGCTCAGAATAATTAACTCAGCAGATTCCAGCTTTAATGTGGTGATAACTCATCCAGAGAGCATGTGTGTATGTGTGTGTGGACTGACCTGGTTTCTCTCTCTACTAAACAGGTAACTGGCCATAAGCTGGAGAGCCTCAGGGTTGTCATGGTGATACTGTAATGCTCTCTCTATAAACTCTCTGCACTTGTCTGCAGCTCCCTCTTCCATGCTACAAACCCACACAGAGAGAAAAAGACAAAATTCCACATATCAAAGAGAAGGCCAAACACAAGTTGGGGTTAAATTGATGACAAGTACAACTTTGTGTGCTCTGGTACCACAGGTCTGTTAAGTAAATCTCAGCGATGGAGCAGTAGGCCACACTGACATCCTTCGGTGTCGGCAGATCGCGGTCCTCATCAGCTGAAGCAGCAGCTGCAGCCTGAGCCTGCATAAAAGAACCAGGCAGATTTCCTGAGTTTATAAAGATTACAGTGATTATAAATCTAAGCATATCTTAATTATATTTAATTGAAGATACAGTAGCAACTGCAGGACACTGCAAAAACCCGAGAAATGCTAATCTGAAATGGTATCTTCTACAGCGAGCATTAACATGAACATTGGGAAAGAAAAATCTGTTTAAGAGAACAAAATTAATGCTGTAAGAATTTTCTTTTTAAGCTTCCGTTCAGGATCTTTGTAAAGATTAATCTAACCATTTCATCACACCTCACCCTACCCGAATAGAAACTACATGTGGTAAGACTCATTAGCAGCATATTTGCTTTTCTACAGTGAGAGAATGTCATCTGTGAAAAGGCTGATGAGCAAACACAACCCAACTACAACTACAACTACTGAGTTATAACTAATACAACTTCAAAAATAAATTAACAGCACATTGATGGGTTGAATTAAATTAATATTCCTTGAGGGGAAAAAATGTAACGCCAACAGCCACAGTTCTTTCCATTTGTTCCTCATTTACTTAGTATCTGTTTTCTGTTTGCAGTAATGTTTCCTTAATGGCAAATGTCATCCTGTTTATTTTTCAATCTATGTTTATATTCATGCAAATAATGTCTAAGATATATAATGCATTGCCCACATTTGAAAATAATAAAACAAGAAATCACAAGATCCCCTTAAATATATTAGATTAAACTTTTTTATTATCTCATAAAATGAAGGTTGTTTTATTTGTTTGTCATTTATATCTCATATCTTTTTTTTTTCTCAACTTTTAACAGCAATTAGTAATGGTTTTGGGTGCTAAAAAGATTCATGAAGTGGCAGTAACAATAGAAAAGGTGTTAAGATGTCTCGAGTTTGTTCACAGACATGTTACTGGTTTGTGGGACCCAGCTGAAGAAACTCTGCATAGGCAGATAGTTATCTCAAACATTGTCAAACAGCACCCTCTTGTGAATATAAAACCTTACCTTGCGTGAAACCATTAATACAATGGCTTTTTACAGTATGGGTTTGCTTCTGCACACTCACTGTTATGTCTTGTTTCTCCAGTGCAGACAGCAGGATTTGTATTCCTTTGGTGTAGTAGTCCACAGCCTCCTGGCCAGTGTGGATTTGTCCCAGGTACATGTACTTACTGTGGCCTACATCTGGACTCAGCTCCACTGCATGCAGAAAAACTTGGAGAGGTTTAGTAAAGGAATCTAAAACCACATTCCTTAAAAAAGAATACATACAAAACAAAGAAAACATACAGTAACACTTCAATTACAGAGCTAATGGCATGCATACAAAAAGAAGAATTCAGATTCAGAAAGGATATTCCTTTGGCTTTCTGTACGTCTCCTAATTCTGAGTAAATGTGTCCCAACATCTCAAGTGCTTGCAGGTTGTTGGAGTCCACATCCAAGGCTCGCTTACAGAAAAGCCTGGCCATGTCAAAGTCGAAGCTGTCTATGCACTCTTCTGTCTGAAAAATAAATTATGGAAAAGGAATTCAGTCAGTGATCGTAATAAAGGTTTGGGTACTGGCTTTGCTGTAGATGTGTTGTCACAGTGACCTTCTCTAAGAGTTGTTCTACTGAATACTTCTCGGCCGTCTTCTTCTTAGCCTTCTCGTGCATTCTTAGTTTCATCCTTTGCTGAGGTGTCAAATCAACAAATCCTCCTTCTGCTTGGATGACATTGTTTTACATTAGTTTAATGTAATTCCATCTTCACACAAATATATTAAATCTATATATCTAAGCACTTGATGTCGACAAACTAAACATGTTACAGCGAATTTAATGTAATTTACAAAAAGATAAACCACTTAACAGCTGACCCCTGTTCTGGCCGTTGTCTCTTCTTTTGGGTTTGTTCTTCTTCTTGCCTTTAGCTTGACCACCCATGCTGTTAAATAATATGCTACTTACACAGCCCCTGGGTTTAAAACAATAATACTTTTCTACAAGCGTGCGTTAGAACACGCGTGAAAAGTAACTACGGTGTGTACTGCTGCGTGCAAGCTGTGCGCATGCGGTAAGACGTGGGGGAAAAGGCTTCTACGGAGACCGATGGAGGACAAAAGGAGTTTTGAATAAATTACACTAAACTGAAACGATGTGATGATTTTATGTTTATTCTTTAGCATTAACTAGATTGTTTGTTATCATCCCTTGATTATGAAACATATATGTTCATATTTATATATAATCTCAAAGTTCAATGTTTTAGGAAAGGTTTTTAATTCATTAAAAGGTGCTTCATATGTTGGCTGGGGCCCGATATGATTGACAAGTCTGTAAACCAATGAGATAATGCGTTGCCTCTGTGGCTGTTAACGCAGCTGGAACGTTCTGGATTCTGACCAATGAGGTGTTACGTTATTCCTCCGTTTGCTTCGTTTCCTTTTTTTTCTATTACAATTTGTTGTAAATAAACGAACAAGACTGACGGTGATATTGCACCAGAAAATATACACATATCGACACTCAAAATACTGGACTATGAACAAAGGTAATTAAGGGTCACTTGGAATGACCGAATAATAAATCGTAGTAATTGCAGCCGTTATTGTAGAATACTTGACTGACAAAGCAATGAAAGAAGCTGCTAGTTGTGATGCTAATGCTAGTTATTGAAATGATCGACTTAGCTCAAGTCTTAAATTCTGAAAATGTAACTGTATTTTCTTTACAGTGTAAGATGGTAACAACCCCACCCCGTTACCATGTCGACACATTTTTTTCCTTATCGTTCGATGTATCCATCTGAAGTGGACGCAGCTGTTAGCTTTAGCTTGATTACACATGGAAGGATTGTAAAATATTGGCTCCTTTAAAAAAAATAAAGCCTCGTAAGGCGCCACTGTGTTATTATAATGCAACTGTAATTAATATGCCTTGCAACGTTGTTCCATAAATGTTAAGGAATGTAAAATATGAACATATTTCTGTCTCACTTTAGGTTGATGGGGTGACGTTCATTCATACCCAACAGTTTGCTGCCGACCCCTAAAGTCACACGGAGGTGCGTCACACAGGTCGCTTGTGGCCAGTGCCACAGGCGCAACACACTCCGAGACGTGGACCATCAGCACTAAGTGAAACTGTCAAGTTGGCTTCAACAGACCTTTAATGTCCCAGTGTGGTTGTTGAACTGAAGAGGAAGTGTCTGAGGATTTACCTTCACTTAAAGGAAACATGTCGGAGTTAAATAAAGACGTGGTGGATTTGGTTTGGGGGAGACCCTCTGGTGGAGGCGTGTCTGCCTCTATTTTCCGAAGATGGACACAAGGTTCTATTTATTTACTTATTCATGCAAATTGGTTTTTGTTTCTTATTCTTGGGATGACAATGTCAGACAGTTGAATAGTTTAGCCAGTGCATAGATGTTTCTCTATGATGCAGTATACCCAGGTAGTGGTGTTTTGAGTAACATCAGGAGCATTTTGCGTTGTCTTTGAGAATTCTGTTGAAAATCTTAATGATGCATGGTCATGAACAAAAGTAGGCTCATTCCTGTCTCTTTCACAGGGTTTGTTTTTAGTGAATATGAGCAGACCGCACTGGAGCAGTTTGAAGGAGGGCCATGTGCTGTAATTGCACCTGTCCAGGTGTGGGCTAGTTCAGCTTCTTAGCTGTATTTTCAGAGCTTCAAAGTATACACATTTTTTTCTATCTGACACAACTTGACTAATGGGATATCATATACCACAATACAAGACTTTGACTTTTGCTTAACACAAGATGTAGAAGGACAAGAATATTGCACAGTGGAACATTTCTTGTGTTTCTTTGCAGGCCTTCCTCTTGAAGAACATTCTCTTCAGCAGAGAAAGTTCAAACTGGAGACAGATTTTAGGTAGATTACCCAAAGAAACATTCAAGTCACTGAATTAGTCGTTTTCCTATAAATATATCTGTGGGAAAAAAATATTTTTGTTATATTTTTATGTTATTTTTGTGTCCTTTAGAGGAGGAGCAGAAAACAGTGCTGTGTTCCACACTAAGTGAAATCCTCGAGTCAGCCTGTGCTAGCCCATCCACAGGGTTCTGCATTGTGACTTGGGCCAAAGGGCAAAGCCCGCACACCAGTAAAGCTCCTAAGACACAGACACAGTCACAAACACAGGATATGCCAGAGCCAGAGAGCAGCCAGCCACCAGAGGAACAGCAGCCTTGTGAGTCTGACTCCTGACACTTGAGCACACCAGTGATGATGGATCAAAAGTAAAAACAAACACCAGTGATAACTCACTCACTGAATATTTGTCTTTAAAATTAATTAGAGTAATGGAAAGTTGTTAACGCCTGCCTCTTTGGTTGTGTCACGCTTCTTCTTCGTCATTTGTTAATTGTATGTTTTCTTAGGTCTGGCTGCTTTGACTGCTGAGGATCTCAGCTTTGAGCGATTTCACAGTGTTCTGCAGTAAGTAACACTAAATGTTGAGTCACATATCACCATGATGTCCATCTTCAGCCCATATAGTCTCGAAATTGAATAATGCAATGGGTACTCTCAAGTTCTTGAAGGGCCTCACAAAATGTATTTTGTGATTTCCAAGATCCAGTAATGGAATAGACAACTACATATTTTGCAGGGGCTGTTATTAGCAGACTAAGAACGAGCTGTGGATCTTGTCTGCAAGAAGGGGCTATCACATTGAATTAGCTATTTCTCTGCTTACAATTCTCTAACTCAGCACTTTTATTGATGGCCTAATAAAAAAAAATACCTTTTTTACACACATAAGTAATGTGCTCACCTAGGTTTGCTTGAGGAATATTGAAATTTAATCACATAGCTCACTTGGCAGCTAAGACCATAGTCAGCAGAAAGCAGTGCTGACTCACAGTGAAGAAGTGCATGCTAACTAAGACAGACAGCTTCATTAGCAAGATTTCCAAGGTCCAGCAAAACAAGGGCAATGTTTAATACAATGACATTTTTTAATTTCCTCCAATACATTTAATTGACATCTTCCTTATTTTAATGGGTATTAAAGCATTCATTATCCATACCATTTGTTTCTCGTAGGGTTGTGGGGAGGGCTGGAGCTTATTGGTTTCAAAGCATGATTAACACAGTTATTGCATTGGTCGTAGATCTTTGCCTCCTAAAACCCCAAAAGAGTGTTTTATAGATCATCCTGATAACTGTGTCTGTCCTGTAGCAAGCGAACGGTCCTTTCAGTGTCTGATCTCAGAGAAGAGGTGCTGTCCCTATACCATTCCTGGAGGGGGTGCTGTGGAGTTTTGCTTTTCCTATACTCAGTCATCCTCACTAAGGTAAAAACAATACTTGAGAAAGAGGGGGAGATGGTTAAAGTCATCATGCTCAAATCACTGGTCTTTTTACATGTCTTGATTAAGCTGGATGTTGATGTCTAAATGTACAAAATAATGTAAGTTTTTGTTTTCTGGTCCTCTGTGCAGGGTATTGAGAATATCAGGAATGAGATCCAGGACCCAACAGAGCCTCTTATAGATCCTGTGCATGGACATGGAAGGTATACGAACACTTGAGTGGTTACATGCGTCATTTAGGCCTACACTGGGTGTCATACATTACTGTTAGAGGTCATTTTGGTGGTGTGATATGCATTTTCCCTTTACAAACACGCTTTTCGAAAAAGCTTCATGTTTTGCTTTCTATCTAGTGAAATGTGTGAGTGGTATGTGTGCATTTGCTGACAAATTTGATAGAAATTTGATAAGGATGGACCTGATGACGTATACATATGACTTTCGGTGCAGGACAGATTCTGCTACAATCATACTAATGGACAGAAACACACTTTGCAGTTGAATGATCTTCTACTGAGATGAATCTGAGTTGTTGCAAAATTAAATAAACAAAAGAGAGCACTGTTTAAACTTTGCCCCACCATGGTTATACATACAGTGTTTAGCCTTGGCCCCAAGTCTTTTTTTCTCAGCTCTCGAGATAAATTAATGAGTGAAAAGTGTTTAAACTGCCACTAAAGCCTCTGCGCTATGCCCGACAATTTTCATCTGCTCCTATTATAGGACAACACTCTGTGTTTGATGGCGTGATATGAATTATGAGAAAACCAAAGTCACTCTCAATAAGGACTACAGAGTTTATGTGAGGATGAGGCAGAAACAGAGTCCTGACATTTTTCTTGAGTTTAAAACAGAACTGTTGTCAGTGCATTGCAGATAAGCTACAATGTTTTCAGCAACTTCCATCCACCTTTTCACTGGCACATTATCAATTACAAGTAGTATGAGTTCACTGTAACAGCATTCATCACTTTCACAGTCATGCCTGAATTGAACGACACTGAACAGATTTACTGGAAAACGGCAAATGTGTGAATGACCAAATGTCATGACTTTAACATATTGATGAAGCCATCTGTGTAAAATGTGCCTTGTCTATGAAAAAGGCCTTAGTGTCATTTTATTTCTGTCTTGCAGTCAGAGCCTGGTGAACCTCCTTGTGACTGGCCATGCGGTCTCTAATGTCTGGGATGGAGACAGGGAGTGCTCTGGCATGAGTAAGACTTGAAACTGAAATTATGAAACATGAAATTACTACAAGCAAACAGTTAGACTCAGCAAATCCACATAACAGACATGTGCATATCAAATCAGCAGAACTGTCTTGTGGTCGCAGATATAAACCACACACTTGAGGGTAATAATTTTTAAATCCCGCAGCACTGTACAGAAACACAATTATTAACAGTCAGGCATAAAAACATTCTTATTTCGTTACCCTTGTTATCCCCCCGTTATTCCTTTCAGAACTACATGGAATTCATAAACAAGCATCCGTTGGCTTCCTCACGCTTATGGAATCCCTGCGCTACTGCAAGGTACATATTCATGCACCGTGTGTTCCCAGAATATAATGAGATGTGTAAGAATGTCGTCGAGCAGTTGTTGACTTGCAGTCTGAAGAGAATTTGTTTTGTTTTTACTTGGAAAAAAACACAAAAAATAGAAATGAATACAGATCATGTAAAATGAAAGGACCTCTGGGAATACAAATAAATACACATGTGCATACTGTTACTTTTAACTGTGACATTTTGGACATTTTCATGAAGTGAAAAACAAACTGAAATGGGGCCTCCTGTGTGAAATATGTGAACAGTGCCAATAGAGTAAGTGTAAACCACCCACTTTCTCACCATGCTTTTTTTTTCTGTCACACATGGAATGTACTTCAATGGACTTGTCTTAAAGTTTCATTTCAAAATGCGATTAAAAAGATTAATTTGACATATTTGAAGACGGCCTGTAAAATTGGATTTTCTTTTATTGGTTAACAGTTGCCAACATTAACAAACAAAATCGTTTCAGCTGGAATATGACATGCAACCTAGAAAAACAAGCTTTTAATGGCTGATATTAACAAGATGGCTAAGTTACGTTTAAGGCTCTAGAGAACAACTTATTAGACTTTCTGATATCCATGTTGTTCATATGAGTAAATTAAAAATGATAAAAACAGATTGGTGAAGATGTGCTTTAATTGAATACTGATGCTGTCTTAGGGTTCAAAAACATAAATGCACGTCAAAGAGACGTATGATAGATTGAAAACAGTGCCGATTTATGATGGTAATAGCTGAAAATAGAAATTCATTTATTATACATTCCCTTTTCTCTGTGTGTTTGTTCCAGGTCGGGACATTCCTCAAGTCTCCAAAGTTCCCTATTTGGATTCTTGGCAGTGAAACTCATCTCTCTGTATTTTTCACCAAGGCAAGTCTAATACACTCCAAGTCAAAGAAACCTTCACACAACAGCACACTGTGTAACATTAGCTGGTCTCCTCAGCAGGTTAGAAAAACCGAAATAAGGTATTTGCTTAACAGATTTAACATAGTGCAGATGAGATATCAATGTAAGGAGGGAAAAAAAGAGTAGTGGGGCGGGAGGGGGGGAAAGAAAAAATGAGCGCAAGAGATTGTCATATATGGCCAGTGCTGTTTCTTGGCTTTCCACCTATCAAGCTTGAAAGGGGAAAAAAAGTTCAGTTTCCAAAGACGAGCTCAAGAACAGCTTTAGTTTATCAAGCATACGTGATTAACTGAACAGTGTTTTATTCAGAATGTGCGACCATGATGTAAAATGCTGATTTTAGACTCCAGTGGGATTCTTCACCTTTCTTTACCTTTACTGTCAGTCTAATCCAAACTATGCAGATTAATGTTTTTGCACAAAATCTTTCCACAGTTGGCCAACAGTTTGTGTAAATGGAGCGCTGACATCTAAAACCCATCCAAAGCCATTAAAAAGACGGCTTTTGTTGTTTTTTCTTCTAGTTGTAGGGTTCTTAGATTTCTGGAAAAGGTCAGATGGAAATATATGTCTATGTTTAATGTCAGAGGTATAGCAATCTCAAACCAGCTTTTGCAGCATTGGAAACTTCACTCACGGCAGTATGATTCATCACATTACTGTATGCTTGAATATGCATGCATACACTCATCCATTTGTCACACAGTTATCGCTCTTTTGGTGAACATGTAACATTACATGTAGCTGTAGCTTGTGATTTAAAGCTGGCAGTTGTAGGTACAGCAAATCAATTTTCCATGCGGTCATATAAATGGCACCAGATAGGCATGAAAAGAAAAAAATCAAGGCAATCATCTCCATCATCAACCACACCCTTAATACACCATTGATTAGAAGCTCAGTTACATGAATAAATTTCCAACCTGCTGGATCGTATGTTGGTTAAACGATGACTCAAAGGCCGCATGCTTGCACCGATTTCCTACAACTCCCCCGGCACCAGTGACATGTTCTTATGTAGACGCATTCCAAAGGAAACGTAATCCTGATTAGCATTAGCTTTGAGTTCATGAATATCTGTGGCCTCAGGTGGAGGAAATGTGGTTCCAGAAACTTTAATCTGGATACATTTCTTCCAGCCCACACTGGAAACTAACTTTCAATAATGCACATGCTACATTCTTCTAGCACTAATTAGCTCTACAATCACACGACCAAACTGAGAAGGGAAGTCAGGTGGCAAGGACTCTGTACTAGTAGACCTCACACAGCTTGACCTTGTCCTTTTAAATGGAATCTGTGTTTAGAACTAATTTGAAGCACATTTTTAGGGCTTTTTGATACATAAATACAGACTGCCTGGTTATGTAGCTTTTAGCTCTGATACAGAAAGATTCCCACAATAGCTGAAAACCTGATCCCCACCTCTGATGTGTCAGTGGCTCCTTCTGTCTGGCACAAGGGACGGGTGTGTATTCCCTTGTGAGGCCGTTAGTGTGTTACTATGGCTTTTAAACCATCAGCCTAATAGCATTTGTGTTTTTATCTAATCTATCCACAAAAAGGTCATTTTACCTTTTTGGTCCCTGCCCACAGTGCCCCCAAACATTCGGCCCCTCTATTGATACATGTGTCCCAGGGAGAAAAAAGACTAAGTGCATATAATGGCATGTAATGGTATCTGTTTTTGGACAAGAGTTTCTGAGTTCTGTTGTTTTTTGACACCGCTACTTCTTCAGTTTACTGTAGATTGGTTGCCAAAGTGAACTCCCGTGTGCATCTTGATCTGCCTCCTTACATTATTGGGGCCTCACGGGAAGGAAAGAGGAAGAAAGGAAATATAGAGGAAGGATGCACTTAAAACGAGCGCTGCAATGGTCACTCAGGAAAGGATCTGAGGGGAGGGGGATCCTCCTGTGACATTTCTCATCACTCTTTACTTTGCCCTCACTGAGTGATGAGGTTCACAGGCTGTGCTTAACTTCTCCAGGGAGTTACATGTGCATTTGTGTATGCGTGTGTGTGTGTGTGTGTGTGTGTGTACAGTAGTTGTGCTCCAGGTCAGTGATTTACTGGGAGTAAGAGCAGTCCCTGTTGTGCTCAGTGTCTCTTAGGCTCCAGCTTCTGTCTGCAAATACAGGATATCCTTCAAAGACTTCCAAAGAGCAAGAACCCACGTAAAATCACACTTAATATAGATCAGTTGATATCAGCATAGCCTATTGACATAAATCTGATCAACTCAGAATGTTATGCAAAAGAAAAAGTTGGCAAAATAAGCATTGTTTGAAGGGTTGAATTAAACTGCAAGTATAAGGTTAAACAGTGCCCTGCAAGGTGGTAAGAAAAAGGGCAAACAATGGATTTTTTTAAAGAGTGACAAGTAATTACATTTCTTTTTTTCCTCGGAAGATAATCACATCCGGTTTTTCATATGATCAGTGGGTGCGGGCCACACGCAAAAACACACAAAGACATAACAAAGCGGTGTACATTAACAGTCATTAATAATCTGTGACAGGTCAGACCAAAGGCCATTGTAGTGAGATGAAAGACCATAGTCACTGTGTGCGTTGGATGCTGCATTATCCCCCCAAAGGTTTTTCTATGTTACAAGACCCATCATTGTGCTATTCATCTGCTCTCTGGTGCCACCCCTCTTTTCTAGTGAGGCATGCTTTTTCTCATTTAATACAGCTTAATAAATCATTCCTGTGTCCCATCTGTCACACCTGTAACACACAGAGGAACCTGCAGAAGAAGGTGCACAGTCATAATGTAGCATGTTTCTGCTGTATTTTGCACTCGTGATCCTTTAGGACACATGCAATTGAACTCATTAAACACATTCAAGCCCACATTTAGTCCACATTGTCAGCGCTCATGCACGGACCCTCTTTTAAATCTGTCACAGAGTAAGGCTTTCTGTCCCTGATGGTAACAAGGCAGGAGACACTGTCCAAGACTTCTTCTTTGTTGTTTTGAAACTGATCCCTTTAGACCAACTCTGTGGCCACTCAATGCCTCTCAGCACAAACAATTGCTCTTTAGGTAGATGAGGGGGGAGAAGGCGTAATTCTAGTAAAGCGCTGTACCTACCTGTCTTACATGAAGTAGCTACCTGGATGAGAAGATAAAGGCTGAAAGGAAAGGGGGAAGAATGGAAAAAAGTCAAGGGCTGGAGGGGAAATACTTCAAACTGGAGTACCTACTTAGGACAGGAAAACCCAAATAAAGAGGGTAGGAAAGGGACTAAAGAGGAATAAAGTCTGGTGAGCAGAGAGCAACAAGGAGCAAAATAATTAAGGTTTCATTTAAAACATGTCTAGTAGACTTTTGACAACATTACATAAGTGATGAAAAGAGGAAGTTACCATGAGACTCTTTTGTATTTTATCTTAGAAAGCCTGACGCAGGAAGTCTGGCCTGATAATAGACCAAAAAGAGGATTCACACACTTGGAAGGACTCTATGGCCTTGATCCATCTTTTAACAAAATAGACACACTTAGGTTGGCTGACTTGTGCGTTCAATATGTTGGTGTAGACATGCTTGATTTCAGTGCATTTATTCTTGTATTTCTCAGACCAAATGTTCCATATTACCGTATATTGTATATTTAAGTCAGTGGGGTAGTGTTTGTGTGTGCATGTGTGTGGGTTGGTCTTGATTCAACCCTTTTGGTTGGCTTGTTGTTGCTCTGTCGTACAGGTCAAGGGTTTTGTGCAAAAAGGTCTGACTGCAGAGCTTGGAATGTGCCCCTTGATTTGATTAGCCACACTTTAAAAGGAGCTGACATCGTTGCAGCAGTGTGTGTATGTGTGTCCGCGTACTGTGTGTTTGGATGAAAACACAAGGGAATATAATTCACTGCTATCGTATAAACAAACACTAGTCAATAGGGGATACAATGTATGTGTTGCCGAAGTCCTGCCTCCAACACAAATTTAGTCTGGAGAAGAAAGAAACGCCGAGACACACAAACACACACCTCCCTGCAGAGTGTGTTAGCTCCATGACTTGTTTTCCAACTCAACAGCATCTTCCTGTGGCCTCTAATAAAACACAGATCAAAGACAAGCAAGCAGACCTGTCATCGCACACACACACAAACACACAATCATGTAATTTCTTCTGCCATTGTGCGTCTGTTGTATGTGCATCTTGTTTTTTCTGGTCCTCCGGGTGTTCACATGTTGGTGTTTTCAGACTTGTCATAAGGTGCTCTGTCCATTGATGATGACCACTTACCTCTGTTTGTCTGCTGCTGTAGTGACTGATGTGCTGTTATTTTAGGTTGTCAGGGTTATTTGCAACAAATGTGTCCTTCCTGTCTTGAAGGATGATCAACTGTTGGCTGTGCTTTAGCTCATGAGGCCCACTGCTCTTCTGGCAGAGGCCTGAGATTAATTAAGCCACTCATCACTTTTAAGAAGAGAATATTTTCCTTGTTGACATACAGCGCAAATTACAGTTTATCAAAACAGTTCCATTTTCTTGACTTGTCAGGCGCTGTGGATTTTTTTTCAGCACTTAATTCTTCCCCAAAACCTTGTCCAGCATCCAAAGTGAAACGCAGACATATCCAGCTAATGACAAATCGACCGTCAGATTTATGGAGCCTGTAATGTTAACACATCAGGCCCCTGCTATACTCTGTGTGACAGGACCATATGGGAACGCATGTTCACTGGAGGGTGACTGTTTTTCTTTGCATTGGAAGTGCCTGCAGCTGGGACTCATCTCTCTATATGCATCCCCCTGAACACTCATTTCTGCTCAAGTAAGCCGAGTACAACAATAAGTGGGCCCTGAAACCCAGGCAGCCTGTGTCGATCTCAGGCTCAAGCTTTAATGAAAAGGTCAGTTAAAGGAGATGAGCAGATTCATTTGCTGTCCAAAAACACCATGTGTCTGGCCAGCGATTTGTTGTCATAAATACTTTCCCACCCACTCTCATGGATAAACGGTGAGAACTCTCTCATCTATGCGCTTGTGTGTGTGCATGTGTCTAAATATATATATATATGTGATATAAAGGCTTTTTTTTCTTCTTTTCATAGTTTCTCTTTATTTGGTTTTTCTTTTTAAATTTTTACTGCGTTTTTCTAAATGATCATTGACACTATATATTTTCAGCAAACATAACATTTAGCCCCCTTAACTTTTTGGATTATAAAAAAAATTCAGTTAAAATGTAAATTATTATAGGTTATAAAACTATCGCGTTCACTGAAAACATCATCCAACTGCATTTGACGACAGATTGTGGGAATATTTGAGGCCCTGCTGTTTGCTCTCTTCCATTCTCAGGTTTTGGCTCGTAAAAGTGACGTTATTTACATGTTGTCGGAGGCGTGATGGGAGAAAACCCTCTGATACTGATGATCTCACTAGAGTTTTAGTAAAAGGAAGGCAGTAAGAGTTATGAAGTGTTGAAAGGATCAGCCTGTGTTTTGTTCTCTTGTCACAAAAGGCATCACATATTTGCTGTTCTGTACACAGACCTCATTTCATCATGCCCTGCCAGCAATGTTTTCTTTAAACTTAACCAACAAACATTGTGGAGCTTATCACAGATAGCATCCTATAAAAGTAAGACTGGATTTCCTGATTGTGTATTTGGAGTAAAAACAAGCTGTCTAACTTTATCAGCAGATCAGTTAATAACCCAATAGACTCTGCTGATTGCTGTGGCCCATTAGATTTTAGAGTCACACACTTATAAGCACAGTACAGTTAATGTGCATTAGCAGTACATCACACAGCCAGTACTATGAGCAACCCTGTAAGTGGATTTTTGTCATGCCTATATAATAGCTTGTTTGACATCATAGCCCATAAGTGGTCAGTAGATGGAGATGATTGTCAGGTTCCTCCCCCCTGAGCTCCAGGTCCATTATTGAGGAAGGCCCAGCCTCCAGTGATCGAAGTCTTCCTCTGTTCCATTCACAATTCATCCCTGACTCCTCACTTTAGACACAAATGTGTCTTTAGTCAATTTCTGATTTAAAAACTTCCTGTGTCATGCGGTTTTTAACATCTTCCATCTTCTCTTTCTTCTGTCTTTTTTTCAAATCCTGTCTTTTACCGAACTGGCTATCTTTCAATAGGAGATGATGCTGGTAGGTCCAGAGTCTCCATCAGAACAGGCAAGGAGAGTCTTCCAGTCATTTGATCCTGAAGGTAAAGAAAAATAAGCGTTTGCATCATTTACACTGTACGCCTTTCACTCTTCCCATAGTCTGCATGTATTTGTTGTACATAGTGCACTTACTTTATGAAAATCCCAGCCCACAGATGTTCTTTAATTAGTCCAAACTTACACACACACATAAATTGAGAGAGCAATACCCCGACCTTCTTTCTTCCTTCCTAGTTTCAGATGCATTCATAACCTCCACTGCCCTCCTTCCTTCTTCTCTGTTGTTCTCTTACTTTCCTCTGCTTGGAGAACAGGGCTCAGTTTCTCTCCTCTCATCTCTGCTGTTTTTGTTTAAATTAGTGAGATCAGCTCCTCTAACAGCTGAGTCAACCATCCTGCTTCTTCCCTCTTTTCCCTCTGTTCTTGTCAGTTCAAGGTGACTGGGGTAAAAGGCAACGGGAAGAAAGCGGTAGTCTCACTTCTCTCATGTTTTTTTTTATTTTTATTTTTTAATCTTTATTTTGTTGTCATGCATTAAGAAAAATAGGGAATAGTCTAGTTTTGCTTCTGTTATGCTCACTTATTATCCTGTTAGACGCCAGAAAACACCAACATGAGACCCTTAACATCCGCTAGGTGCTGTTTTCCTTCTCCCTGACAGAAAAAAATAGAAAATGCAGAAAAGTCACGACCCAGTCTTAAAACTTTAGCGTGCTCTGTGTTGCCACACATGTTGTAAGACCATTCCGTTTGAAACCCAACTAAACTCCCAGACATAACACATACCTTCACATTTACTCATTTTCTCTTATTGTCCAGCGAGGCATGCTGTTTCATACCATAAACAGTGTTATGCACTCACTGACTTGTACAAACATGTTCTGATATGTGGAGATAAATCTGTGTGATGCAATGTTACCAAACTATAAATTCTAGCAGCTTCCAGAGCAGTGTTGCCTGCTCAGACACCCTCCACAACAAAGATGTAAACATGGCTATCATATGTTGTCTCCTTGTTCTTCATTTGTCCCTGTCTGTTGCGCAGAATAGCGTTTCTTCTGTCATCTGCCAGCACATTCTGCATACCATATGGACAGTTATTTCTGCACACAAAGGCATGCTTTGGTTAGAGTTGGTGAACCCTCAGCTTTGAATGCACATGTATGCACACATAAAAGGAGAACATACCGTCCACTTCATATACACTGAATTTAAGTGGGATTAAAAATAAAAAGGGGGGGGACCCATAAATGTGTCGATCACAAGTAGAGTCAACACGGCTCCGTGTGATGTCGTAAAATGAGGGCCCCATGTATTCCCACACACTCCTGTGAGTCACAGCACCCACTCAGAAACTCTGTCTCAGTTCCTCAGTATTAGTTTGTCATGTTGTTGTGTTGTGTGTGTGCACCCTCTCTGTCACTGTCACACTATCAATTGTTGCTCAAAGAGAAAAACATCTGGTTTTAGAAAAAAAAAGATTTTGCTTGCGAGAAAACAAGCAGAGCATTTGTCAGTTAATCTTCTTCACAGCACACTTGGGTTTTATGTATGTATCTGAACAACAGACCACACAGACTCGTGTTCATGTCTCAGGGACACAAACTTGTAAGTGCCCGGCCAGATAAAGTGGGCAAAAAAAACACATGTTTGCATTTAAAGCTGTTCCACTCAGGTAAAGCAATCATCCCCACCATGGAATGTAGGTCAGAGAGAAAGGACACAAGTGTGTGTGTGAGTGTGTGTAAGTTGTGGCAGATGAGTTCATCGCCCAAGGCCCATGATGTAAATAGTTTTTCTGCCTTATGTGTTTCGGTGAAGGCTTTGCCCGGTTTTCAGTTAAAGCCTCTGCTTTGTGTACTGTCTGGTGAACCAGACTCTGCTTACAGCTCTTTTCTCCTCCTCTTCTTCTTTAGATAATGGCTTCATCCCAGAGTCTCTTCTGGAGGATGTGATGAAAGCTCTTGACCTTGTCTCAGAGCCTGAATAGTAAGTGCATGTGTGGTTACGCTTTATATACACGTGGTGTGTCTTTTTGTATGTTGCACCTGTACAACTTCTAAAGTTCTACCTCTCTAAGTCAAGGCCAGGCCAGGTCAGAAACCTTGTGCTCATGTTTCACGGCCTGGCTACTATAAAGAAAGACCAGAGAGAGGCCACTATTAAAGCTGAGAAAGAAGAGAGGAAAAGTCTGAAACTGAGGCTTAGAGGGAGATCATTAACAGCAGGAAGAAAGACAGAGAGATGGAGGAAATGCTTAAATGTGCAGCTTCAAACAGAAGCACGTTCTCCTCTGAGGAACTCTAAGTCCTGTTGCTGCACCCGTCAGTCTTTCCTTGTAACTGGACCACTGATTTGGTCTGCAGACCCCCAGATGGCCAATACATCACAACAAAACGCAGCGAACTGAGAGGAGACTCCCACAGTGCAAACAGAAGAGTCTCATTTCATACCCCACAACAACACTTTGCAGGGATTCCTGCATCTGTAAGCATCTTTTGTGTATGGGACAACTCATTTCGAAGTAGCATATGATATCGACAAACTCGAGTTTTGGAGCTTCTAGAGTGTTTCTTTACACTCTATAGTCATGGTACATGTGACCTGTGCCAGTTTGATAGTCCCATCATGATTAAACCAACTCCAGGGACATGATCTGGCCTCCGCTAAACAGTGCCTCATAGTGCAGCCGCAGCTCTCAGTATTTGAAGGAATACACATTACGTATGATTTTAAAAACAAAGTTTAATGCAAAATCAGTGGTATGTAAAATAAATAAAAAAATGTAATACTTTAAATGTAAATGACAAAAGCTTCTTGAAATTTGAAATCATCATTATATGTCCATGACACTCATCTTTTCTTTCCATCTTACCATCTGTGAGGCAAATATAATCAGCTGCCTGTTATACAATGTCAGATATGTGTGACATCATGTGCTGCAGCCTTAATAAATGGCAGCTAACTTCTGTAGAACACAAACGGCAACATGAACTGAGTACAAAACGATCGTGCCATGCTCAATGAAGGCCTTTTTCACAGCATCTTCTCATGTCTTATTTTTACATGATGAGTCAGTCATTAGGGGTTGCTTTGCTCTTTGAACACTGGGCTTCTTCATTGATCACCAAGAACTCACAACACTCACTTGTTCATGATAATTAGATATTAAATCGATACTTTTGATGACTTTATCCTTCTTTCCTGCACACAGTGCATGTTGTCAAATATAGATCAGGTAATTTGACGCCTTAGGCACTCACTTCATTGGTACCAAAGCAGGTTTTGTGTGTGCTCTGTTTTATGTCCTTCCACATGTGCCTCTAGTGCAATTGGCAGATACAGAAATGATCATTCTCTGGCCTTCCTGTCTGAGTATAACACTCTCTCTGCTCCTGAATGCCTTAAAAGGACAATCTGACCAGATTTCTTTTTTTTTTTTAATCATGACGGAGCAATAAAAACACTGATCTAACACGCAGGAATGTCTGGAAGGAGGTATATTTAGTAGTACTCCGGTATTCATGAAAACATACACTGACAAAAACACGGTCATAAGTCCACACTGAGCCATGAGGTGATGGTGAGTTTGGCCCACTGGTCCTCCACAAAGCTAGTTGTTTTTACTGTTGTTCTTCCAACTTTGCAACTTTTTTTTCTAAGAATTTTCTTGTTTCTGTCTCTTTTCTCTTCTTGCTGTTTCTCCATTTCATATCTCTGTTTCTGCTTCTGTGCTTTCTCAGTGTCAGTTTGGTGAAGAGTAAGCTCGACCCAGAAAACCTGGGCATAATTCTTCTGGGCCCATTCCTGCTGGAGTTTTTCCCTGATCAGGTATGTACGTGTGTCTGGGTCTGAACTTCCACTTCAAAGATACACGCAGAGTATTACGCATACCTCCCTCACAGCACAAAGTCCATATCGCTGCTCAAAGAGCTGCATTTACACATCAGGGTGGCACAAATGTTTTTTCCGAGCATATGTGGTCTGTTTCAGTCAATCAGTGTTTTTTTTTTCTGTGCCTAAAACATTCTCATTTTAAATACATGTGTTCTCACCATTAGCCAATGTTACTTTCAAAGAAGTTTAGGAAGCAGGACGCACAGGGCCTTTTCAAGATGAAGCAAGTGAAGAAGGCAGAGAAGGAGAGATAGAGGGGAACTGTGTTAAAGTGATCAGGGCTTTAGGGACTCACCAGAGGAATGGCCCCAAGCCGCAAAGAAATTACACCACCATTAGCCAACTGGACACACACACACACATTCAGACACTAGAGGGACCGGGGTGAGGGTTAGGGTTTCATATGGGCTTATAAACACGAGAAGCTGGACACGCTCTCAGACAGCACACCCCGTTAGCCCTCTGCTCCTTCAGGCCAATTTCATGGAAAGTGTTCTGGCTCGCCGGAGCATTTTAGTAGCGTTGGCTGCTTTTTGGTAACCGGAGTTAGGCTTGGCAAGGCAGAAATAAACACTCCTATTCAAGTTTAACACATGGAATACAACACAAGGCTGTGGTTACAGGTGAAAAACGGGACTTTTTGGTCTGCAGTCGCTCCACCTCTGCCCGTCCTCACCTCCATCTGTGTGAGAACATTCTGCTCATGTGAACATGTTTTCCTCTGCACTGTGTTTCAGGATTCGGGAATCCCAGACTCTTTTCCCGTCTACCACTACAATGGACTTAAACAGTCCAACCACAAAGAGCGGGTGAGACGCCCGTTCATATGAGGCCTTTTCATTTCCTGTTGTAACTAATGGTGTCATTCATGCACACTTGTTTTCACATACTCACAGTTGGCCACTCCAGAGTAAACAGTAGCTGTGTGACTCTAATAGCCTGTCCAAGCATTCAAGTAGCCTCCAGTTTCTCCAGAACATTTCAACATGGAGGCAGCCTCATTACGATAAATGAGGAAACACAAGCTTATTGAGCCAGCTCAGTGTGATGGATGATTGTCATTGGATGTTGTCGGTGGCTGTGCACTAATTTGCTACTCAGGAATATCAGTTTCCTCCTGCGTCAACTCTGTAGTCTATTAACTTTTTTTTTAAAAACTGAACAGCTACCTGAATGCCATAAGATGCATGTCCACTCAAAAGCACACAAAGACACACACACATGGTAGCAAGGCACCCTTTAGCCAGTGATGGCATTTCCATCCTCTCGGCTTCAGATGGGAAGAACAGGCGCTCTCAGCAGTCCTGCGCAGCTGGTGTGTGGGAATGCGCCTCTCTAGAACCTGCTGTGCAGGAGCAGCAATTCTTCTGCTTTTCAGCCATGACTCTTCAGAGGAAGTGCCTCCAAAGAGATGAGGTGTGAATATGTGGATGGTATTTAGGTCTGCTGTGTCTGCTTGTTTTCACAGGTTGAGTACGTGGATGGGACGGCTTTGGTTCTGGGTTTTGAAGACCCGATGGTTCGCACGGACGACACTCCAGTGAAGCGCTGCCTGCAGACCAAGTGGCCCTACATCGAGCTGCTGTGGACCACCAACCGCTCTCCATCACTCAACTAGCACCAACGCAGTCTGTGCATGTGGATGGAGCACTGCTGCCCCCCCCTCCCATCAGCCTTCCCTTTGCACGCTGACCACAAAGGGTCAGCATACTGCAAAAACTGAGAAGCATGCAGCAGAGGCAACAGAGAATAAGAGGAACACAAAATACACACAGGAGATGAACGTATTCATGGACTAATTCCAGTCTTACATCCATTATTTTATTCTCACTCATTCCAGTCAAATGCAGACTCACGTCTGCAGTCAGTGCTAACACTTGTTCACCTTAGCTTATATCGACATGCAGGATGTTTCAGATGTGATCATTCGAGGAAAAAAATGAGCGACTGTTTATTTCCAAAGCTGCGCTCATTGCCGTCAGCCTTTGCTCCAGTTTGGTTGTTTTAGAAAGGCAAACTAGTTTGGTTCAACAGGCATGTCATCGGAGAACACGCTAAGCCTGAGTAGAGCCAGTCGACTGTGAAACACTACTGTTAACCCAGCGGTTTGAGGGAAAACCTACCAAAGCCTTGCACATAAGACAACACACACAGACTCACACATGCACACACACACTCAGTCACTTCTTCAGAGTTTACAGTATAAAGGGACCAACCCAGATTCTAAAGGTCTGAACTGAAGGTTTTCAGCCTTCACTACGTTGGTTTAGGTGCTCTGTGTGCCTCGTGCACTCCACCAGGATGTTGGCCAGGTGCTGGTGTATTTATTATCGCACTCAAAGGTTCTGGAATAAACACTTTTTTGTTCAAATGCTGTGCTGAGTTCCTTGTGTTGAAATCTTAGACATCCTCCTCCTGTGTTCCTTTCATGAATATTATGTTTTGATCAAACGGGAGGCAATGTCTGGTTTCATGCGCTGGAGCTGTTTGCAGCTTCATCTCTAAATCACATTCAAACTGATGCCGGAGAGAATCTGAATCAGTAATCTGCTCGACGCTAATGGTGACTAAAGTACCTCTTTGCAAACAATGTAAATCCCCCTGAGGCAGAATATGGTTATCAGTCTGACACCAAATCTTTCCTAAAGAAGACAAAATAAATGGACTCGAACCTCATGTTATCTTGGGCTTTTAGAGGTATTTTGTGTTTGTCGTTCTTATCCCTGACCTCAGTATTTTTGTCCGCCTGCGCAGAATCCTTAAACCCATTCTGCATCTGTACACAGCCCGTTCTAATACAGAGAGTGTTTCTAATCGAGAAGGGATGTTTGGGCAGTCTGACGTAGCTCGCAGATTCACGGGCTCATTATGTGTTTGTAAAGAGAGAAGGCGAATGAGAGCATGGTGAGAAAGACATAAACCACTACTGTTCATCAGTAATCAATCTGGACTGACCTGCAGTAAATCTCTGATCAGAACCCTTTGGCAGACCGACAGGATGTAACCTGAACAGCATGTGCGTGTATTTATCATAATGCTGTAACTGAACATTTTATTGGATGTAAGACAGAGGAGCGGAGAAAATTGTTACAAATGGAAGGGTGCAGATGCACACTGAGCCACTATTCAGACACTGTGTACCTGACAAATGGTGATAATAACAATGTCCTATGCAGAAAAAAAGGGCAGATGCTCTGCTGCTGACTCCACTACATCATCTTCCTTTTTCTTCAGTTAAGTGTTACTAAAAGAAACACATCTGTGTCTGCTCATGTTTTGTTGGAGAGTTTTTTTCTCCTCTTTGTTCAGTTTGATTTACAAAGAAACAGCTGAAAAAGACCAGACCCTCTCCTGTACTCTAGTCTCTCTGTCTTAATCACACATGCTTCACTGCAGCAGAAAAATGTTCAGCAAGATGTCTAGACGTGGCAAACCAAGTCTATGTTAGGCTGGGGAGAAAAGCAAAGTTAGGAAAGATTGATGGGATGTAGCAGGTAAGGTGTGTGAGAGTCTCCACCTGGCAAGTCCAGGTTTTGTTTCTTCCCTCCTTAACTTACCTTCCCACCTGTTTCTTATCTCCCCTTAAGATAAACTTCCTCAACGCCAAACTGACTTTAATACTGCTTTGTGGCTCCTTATAGACTTCAACCCATCAGTAATGTGCCTATAAAGCAAAGTTTAATTAAAAACCTCCCCAGGGTCTTAAAAAGCAGATTGAGATTTGATTAAAAGGGTGCAACTGTTGTTTCCTGACGTACACACAGCGCGATTTTCCAAGCCAAGTGCTCCAAATGTGCAAAGCTAAATATACAACAACAGTCCGGTCTTGCCATCACCTCTTTAAAACCGTTTTTCATAACAGGATATCATTTTCAGCGAGAGGGAAGATTGTTACCTCAGGGATGGGGAAATCACTTGGTGTTGAGTGAGACGGTGAGTGTGCAAAAACTTTCACACATGCAACTTAAGAGATTTCTGTTAGAGGCCGACATAATAATTACTGACATAATTGCAAGAGGTTATTGAGAACGGAAGGAAACGCAGCCCAGTTTAATGGTTTGGTCGCCTTGTGAAAAGAAAGAAAAAAGCAACCCAAAAGGTGTTTTAACTTAGGGCTGCTGTGTGCTTGATGTCTTTGCTATTGTGAGAATGTGCACATCCTGGACTGGTGTTTCACTGACTAACATCGTTTTTAAAAGGATGAGCCAGAAAAATGTGCCGCGCCATAAAAGGAGCGCTGACGCGCCAGCCTGCCTTTGCGCGCTCAGATGTGGTTCGAACCTTTTAATGTGCGTGTCTCTGTGTGTGTGTGTGTGTGTAAGATCTTGAGTTGGGGGTAAAGTTTTGTGCAGAGGGCGGGGGCGCGTCTGTGCAGTCTTGCAGCAGAGATTCTGGGCAGACCTGGCGGTTTAATGGTGTCAGGAGGTAGTTGAGAGGGAGCGCGCAGGAGAGCGCGTAAACGGCCATCCAAAGTCAGTGAAATCCGAGGGAAAACTTAACTCACCTGCTCAGAAGAAGCTCTCTTTCTCTCATTTTTAGGGGGGAACGGCACGCGGCTCTCTGTTCTCCAGGATGGAGCGTTTATGGGCTTGCGCCTACTCTTCTGGGATGTTTATGCTGGGGGTGCTCTGTGTGCTCTGGCCGGCGCCAAAAGGAGTTCTGAGTTTTAATCTTTACGCGGAGCATCCTACGGTTTACAGAGGACCTGCTGGCAGTTATTTCGGTTATTCTGTGGATTTCTATCAAGCTACCAGCGACAGGAACACGTGAGTGGCAACATCAAGACTGAAGGTGTCCCACAAGGCTGAAGTTAGGATATACAAGTCATTTGCCTCTTAAACTGCTTTATAATATTGAGTGCACCAGAATACAAGGAAGGAGATGATTCTTAATCGTTTTTTAGATCTGAACATGTTGCTCTTGTGGAACTTAGATAAGCATAAAAATTATGCATGAAATTGACACAAACAAAATTGAACAGAAGAGAAAGTGGCATTTCTGGGTCAGTCAGATTCTATACTGCATGTCTTGCATGTTCCATGTTTTATGTTCTTTTGCCCACCAGGATCACTGTGCTGGTGGGGGCTCCAAAAGCCAACACATCTCAGCCGGGCATCGTGGAGGCTGGAGCTGTCTATTACTGCCCCTGGCCCGGACAGCCTGATAGCTGCAGTCAGATTCCTTTTGACAATTCCAGTGAGTTACCAGAAGCTTGATGAAATTTGAACTCTCATAGGCTAAATTTGAACTTAAAACAGACTTCTTGGGGGTGCCACTGAGTATAAGCTTCATCACAAATTGCGGAAAAAAAGTCGATGCTCACTGCTGTCACACTGCTTCATGACTTCTCACCTGAGCATTTTCCTAAAATAATTGAAATCACGTCTCACAAGCAGTGGCTCCAGGTGTTCCTTGATTTAGGAGCGCCACATTTCACTTCGCCTGTCTTCCATTACGTCTACACGAGTCAGAATGTATGCTGTTGCATGAGAAAAAGAGATTAGTAATATGTCTCTCATCAAACTGCGTTGGACAAACAGCACACATTACAAGTTTGTGTTTATTATCTTATTTAGTAAATTATCATCAGTGTCCAGTCAGCTGTCACTCCTGTTTGTAATGTCACTGAAGCTCACTTCTTTTTCTTTTTTTCTTGGCTTATGCGCATGAAGAGAAGGATGGGGGGGGGGGTGGGGGGGGTTGTTAAACTGTATGCACATGGGAATTTTCTCAGAGGCTGGAAGAAATGGGGACTGGGAGAAGTCTGTTTTTTATTATTTTTTGAGAATATATCCCTATCTCTTTCCCCCTCCTCTGGTCCTACTCTTGTTCTCCATCAGTCTGTTCCTCTGCCTCTTTCATGGCTTCAGTCATCTTTAGGTGGACCACAAAAAAGCTTCAGAAGAAACTTAGCAGTCACTATCACAGTTAACCTTCATAAAGATAATTCTACCTCATTGATATATTTTGTTGGGGACAGAAAGTTTCGTTGTCAGAGAGGGCTGTGTGAAATATTTTGGGTCAGCTATGTGTGAGTAAATTAGAGCACGTGTACGTCTCTTCACGGTGATGCATTGCCCTCCAATAGACAAACCATTTTTAAATGCATGCTGGACATAGATATTAGCAAGGGTGGTGAGCATCTGCATGGACTGGACTGGTTAACATCATGCATCAACTTCACATATGTCTGTGTATACCTGTGTGTACAGACTTCCTGACATTATACAGATGTGTCAAGTCCTGTCTGTGAAGTCGGAGGAGAGTGGGGGAGTTGATGATAGGTTGTCACAGATAAGTGATAGATTGCATCTGTTTTTTTTGTTTTTTTTTGTTTACCACCACTGCTTCTATGTCTGTGTAGTGTCTTATTAATTGGTTGTATCTCACTTTAGCTATAAAATTATCCAAAAAGTATAGGATTATTAGTATTACAAAGCAGTCCTCACAGTTTTCTCAAACACCACACATGAAAACACGGAATACATACATTAAATATGCTCATTCATTCACAAAATTAGTCAAATTCAACTTCAGATTAAAAATAACTCATGAGATATAATAACATTTTATTATATATTAAGCAGAAAACTAAACCAAAATGGAGAGAGGGTGCGTGAAGTGATTAAGTACATTATTATTATTTCCACTGAAATGAGGAGGACACACATGGAAAAGGTAATCTCTGCAGGAGTATATTTCAGTGGCTATGTGATTTGAGGTGGAAAAAAAAGAGATACAGTTTGTTTAGAGTAATTGCAGGATAAAGTCTCTTCTCTCTAACAAGCTCATGCAACTTACATCTGTAAAGTTTCGTCAGAACAAACCTCACAGCACTAGTAACAAGCCCTGCGAACTGAAGAGAACACAGGGAGGTTTTGTCATAAAGCATGGCAACACTTTAAAATAAATCCAAACACAGAGTATCAGCACACGCACCTCATACCAGCTGTCAAGAACATGGTTGACGGGCTGATGTGTGGGTCATGCAAAGGGTCAATTATTGAAAGCACAGCAACACATCTGCACGAGAATGACTGAAAAAGAAAAGACTAAAGATGCTGCAATTATCAAGTCAAAGTCTCGACCTCAGCCTGATTGAGATGTCACGATGGGACCTTGAGAGAGTTGTGAAGGGACAAATGCCTGCAAAAACTCCATGAGCTGAAGCACCAATGTGGAGAAAAGTGGCACAAAATTCCTCCACAGTGAAGTAAGAAGAAAAAATTAAGTAATTGAAGTGGTTGTTGCTAAAAGTGGTATGAGTAGCTTTGGATCTGTGTGATTATAAAATATACATTTGTCATATGTTTTTTCTCATCTGAGGTTATATATTCCCATTGATATGATCAGAAATAACTAAGAGAATTTGCAGTATGTCCTTTAATGTAAAACGTAAAATAGGCTTCCTGTGATAGAAAAAAAAGAAGTGTACAGTGTAAATCAGCTTGCTGCCTGAATTCCCTCAGAAAAGAAGTAATGGAGTAGTAAAGCCAAAAAAAAGAGTAATAATGCTAATAAGAACAACGTGCGCTGTACACCTGTTTGTCTGCATCCACTGTATTCCTGTAAGTGGGTCTGTGTGTGTGCGCGCACATGTGTTAAATGAAGGTGTTTAATGAGGGCTGTTCATGCTGTAAACAGATCCAGCTGCTCGTTCAAAAAATGTCTGGAAATATGTGTGTACTACAAAGAGAAGACACACACATACAAACACTATATTGTGATTCCAGGATTTAATGCTGACAACGTTCATCTGTACAGTCTGTATGTCAGTTTCTTAAATGTTGTTAATTTTTTATTGGAGTGACAAACTAGGGAAAAAGCCTCTATATCCTGTCAAATGTCTGCCTCTGGGGGGCAAATGGTGTTTTGATGTATGTTATTGGCCTGTTTAAGGCTGGGCTGTTTGTTCTTCCTTAACAAGGACAAATGCTCACAGACCACATTACTGTGGTCAATTCAGCTTTTACAGCCACCGCTATGAAACGTCTGTTCCCTTACTTTTTTAAGTCTTTTCTACCCTCTCTCCCCGCCTCTGTCACCAGACAACCGAATGATTAAGGTGAACGGCACCAGAGAACCTCTGGAGTTTAAGTCCCACCAGTGGTTTGGAGCTTCGGTCAGGACGCACAAAGGAAAAGTGGTGGTAGGTGGACAGGATGGTTTCTTTTTTTCCTCTCTTTTGCTTCTCTTTCATTCACAGTTTTGATTGATTTTGGACAGAAAGTCAGAGTGTTATCTATTATGCAGGCATGCGCTCCACTCTACCACTGGCGGACAGTGAAGAGAGACGGGGAGAAAGACCCCGTGGGGACCTGCTATGTGGCTGTCCAGAATTTCAGCGCCTACGCAGAGTACTCGCCCTGCAGGACCAGTGAGTAACTCTGCAGCCTCTGTCTCCCTCACGCTCCCTCAGCCAGCCCTCCCTCTGTCTGTATAAACACATACGCATACAGATTTCCTTTTCCCCTCAGCATGAGACACCTTACCATTCCATTCTAAGACAACTTTTTACATCACATGTCCCCAAACAATCATAAAGACTTTATTCAATAAATTTTCCAAGACTAAGTACAATTCCTACTTCCCATTTCTGAAGCTCCATGGGGCGCTGCACTTTTGATCATACTCCACTTTGTTGCAGGACTATTTGTCACGCTCCATGTGTTCCATCACTTTAAGCCCCCCTCCCCAAATCATCTTGTTCCTCTAATTTGGACAACTGATTGGTCAGGGGTAGAAACAGCCGAGTTAAAAACATCTGCTCGTTATTTGTTGGTTGGAGCGATGTATGACCAGTTGGAACCCCATTTTGCTGCGGTCGATTATTGTGGCATCAGCATATCTGCCAAAGTTCAGAATAAAGGAGTTGTATTTATTTATTTATTTCCCACAAATGAATGCGGGCGGAGGCCACCATTTACCGAGTTAACTTAGGTCACTTTTAATTCTGTTATTTTGAAGTTTTGTGACATGTTCATAAGAGTGTGGTTCTTTTTCATTGTTATTTTGTATTTATGAGGCTGTATGGACACGATTCTTTCACCACCAACATCTTCTGTCAGTGTCTGTCACTGATGATAACATATTTCTGAGAAAAACTTGCTTTTTCTCTACTGCGACCATCACAAAGAAAATGTCATCCCCAATTAAAGAAGTCTAGCTCATACAGAAATCTCACAAACTGATATCTGAAACCAAATTTGCCTGTAAGTTCAGATACATATGGGGGCGTTCATCCTCACTCCTTCCCCAATGTTTTACAAGTCGCCACGGTAACCTGAAAATAATCCGTCTCCCCATCAGTTTATCAGTCCTCTCTCAGGTCCTCCTCTGTCTGTCATCACCTCTGTAAATGGGATTTATGGTGTGCCCCACCCCCCTCCCCTCAATCCTCCTTCTTTCGTGTTTTTTTTTCTTTTTCTCCCACTTTCTTCTTGTGGGTTTCTCCCCCTGTACTTTGGAATGAGGCACTGACACATTATGATAAAATAAATATGATCAGGTTTAGCATTGCAAACAGCTCCCACATAAACACTAATTCATACTCAGCCTCCCTCAGATAATTGGCCCAGTGCTGTTACAGATCTTGGTTTTTGTTGTTTATGTCAGTGCTGACTAATCAAGACTAAAATATTTGCCGTGTCAATTCAAGTGTTCTCAAGGGGGAATTATTGTAAGTAGTCCTCAAAACAGGTCAAGTCTTTCTTTATGGTGTGTTGGAGTCAGAATTTTCTGCCTCAGCATTTTCTTTTCATTTCAACATCTTTTGGCAGACTCTCAGATTTCTGCTATAACTCTCTTATTGTTTACACTTGAGATACACTTGTGTAGCTACGCATCATTGAGCTTCACTGTGGGGTGCCACTAAAATGAATAACAATGTATGATGAGCACATACGTTGTGTTCACTTACACTCTGACGAGGTCATGCAGAAAGTGATACTCAGCTGTTTTAATTTCTATGTAAGCCACCTCTATATTCCTTTGATCTGATACAGTTTGAAGGTTTTGTGTCCCTTTTTGAAGTAATTTAATAGTACCAGCTTAATTGTTGCTTGTTTCTGATGGTTAAACAAGGAAAGCAGTTTCAGTCTTTGCATGTGTTTTTGTGTTGCTCTCAGATGATCCAGACCCAGAAGGACAGGGATTCTGCCAGGCTGGGTTCAGTGTGGATTTCACCAAGGTAAAAAAAAAAAAAAAAAACTGAGGCAGCACTCACACGTTATCACCAGAAAAGCCCCCGTGGAGTTTCAAATGTAAGACTGTCTTCAGAGATTTATGAGACACTTGGAAGATGAGAGCACCCTTGTCCCTAGAGTAAGCTCCACTCCCGATGTGACCCATCACCTCTCTACACAATAGATGCGCACACATTCTTTCACTGTATCGTCAATATGAACCTTGACCTTTACCTCATGGTCCAGGTCTGCCCTCCTGTACAGGAAACTGTTATTCTCTGCAGGACATCAACAGGCATGACAACAGAAATCAGATGTGCACACTCACTCAACCATACACTTTGTACAGTGTGGCTCTCGTCACATATGCTCATATTAACTGACAAATTTCTGTCCTGTAAACTACCCGTAACAAATTGTTTTCATTCCAGGAGGGAAAGCTGGTTGTAGGAGGACCTGGAAGCTTTTACTGGCAAGGTAACTAAAACAGCAGCATGCAAACTTGTGCTTGATCTGTCTCTTGCAGGGATTTTATAGACGGGCAGGTGTTTAAATTATCGAATGAAATAGTGATGAGTTTAACAGACAGCGCAGCCCACAAACCCACACATGCACCATAACACACTTGCAGGGTCTTCCTTAGACGAAGCTCCCATTTAACTCTCGCCCTTTCCTCCCTTACTCCTTTACTTAATGCTTCTTACTGGCAGGAAGTGGGTGTTTGGGCACTGTAATAAGCTGATGGTTGGGTAATGGAGTGTGGCGGGCCTGCCCCTCTGCCCACTGATAGAGCACAGAGGAGTGAGGAAAGGCTTAGAGGAGAAGTGGACAGCCAGGGTGAGAAGGATAGAGAAAGTGAGGGAGACGTTTGATAGAGGATCGGTACGGCGATGACAGACAGCTTCAGGGGGAGAGAAAGCTGAGAAGGGAGGGAGTGTGTTCGAAAGTCAGCGAGAGGAAGTAAGATGGATCTTCTACTTGATAAAAGCAGCACCGAGGTCAGCACAACTGTTGGACATGCAGAGGCGGTCTAAGCAGAAGGATTAGGTTTCTGAATCGGTGTAGCTGGAGTGTGACAGGGTAAAGCTGCTGACTTGTGGCAACAGTCCTCCAACTCCAGGTGTTGGAGAGAATGTGTGTTTGTGTTCCAGGTTCAGGGAAGATGTGCAGCTGTTTGTGGGGGGCAAAGAGACAGTTACAGATCACTAGCACAGAGTCATCCCTCCTTTCTTTCTTACCCAGGATCTCTCATCATTTAAGAAAAATAATATGGCAAGAGAAGTTAGATTTAAAATATCCGTGTACAAAAAATACAAAAAATGTTGTGAAGCACAGCTCCACATTTTTTATTAAGTGGAGATATTGTTTAGAGCTGAAGCTGTTGTTAAATAATGAATGCTCCAGCTTACAGGTCCTACAGCATAGCTTACACACAAAGCTTAATGGACTGCTCCCTATGTGCCCTCAGTGTGGCAAGGCAGCCTGCCTCCAGTTAAAACACTTCCTCCAAATGTTTATAAAAGCACTCAGCCTGGATTTTATGGCCTCTAATAAATGATGATTGTCTTCGGCCTTCAGCCCAATTCATCATAAAGAAAGACCTTTTACATGCAATTTTGTCATTGCTGGGTGTAAATATTCCTAAAATTAGCAGCAGTGACTTATGTATCTGTGTTGTCATTTCGTTTTCAGGATCAGATAAAGGTTTGATAATGACTTTATGTAGTGATATGTTAGTCTGAGGGATAAATTCAGCACAATGGGAAAGGAGCTGGAAGGAGGGTTAAGAGGGCACATTCTTCTCCCCGCCAGTGCACTTACACATAAAGGAGAATTTATGGAAAGTTGAGGGCAGCCATAGATAAAATCATTTGTTTTTTTGACCTTTCGTTCAACAGCAGAGGAAGGGTGTTGTTTGTGTGCATACACCTATAATTCACAGACTCCACTACTGAGAGGAGTTTTTGTGAGTGTTTTTAAAGGAGCGCTGGGGTCTTTTTCCAGGTATTCCTTTGCCAGCGATGTGTTTTAGGTTTCCTGTGGGAACACATCCTTAGGGATGCTGTTTGCATCATTGGGATGGATCAGGCAAGTCTGACAGATAACTGTCAGTGTTCAGTTCATGGAGTCCAAAACGAGTCCGGGGTCCAAGGAACACACATGACGCTTTTACCCTCTGTGCTTGTTTCTCTCCATCTTTTTTTTATGTGTGTGTTTGTATGAACGAAAGGTCAGGTGATTACAGCAGGAATAGCCGAGATACTGAATGGCTACTCTCTAAAGGCTGTACTGAGACAGGTTCCAGGAGAGAAGCAAACCGGGGCTGCTGAGGACACAAACGACGACAGCTACCTTGGTAACACACACAGACACACACACACACATCGGCTCAGGCACAAACTATGAACTAAATGATAAACATACCAGTTATCGTGACGAGATCAAGCACAAAAACACTGTAATGGAGTTCAGTTCATTAATGTGTTGCATCTTTTATCTCTTTAGGATACTCTGTGGCAGTGGGAGAGTTTACAGGAGACTCTGAACAAGGTGAGAAAAACCAACTATTCATTACAACGTCCCACATGCAGCACCAGAGGAATCCCTGACTAACAACCTTGGCAGCCTCCCCACATCACTGTCTAAAACACTGCATGTTTACAGCCTTCATTGATGCTTTAAAGGCTGAACACTGTAAAGTGTTTAGTAGGCTACAGGATGTGAACAGTACTGTTTGAACCTTTAAGCAGTAATGAGAACGGTCTCTGTACGCCGGGGTCACGACCCCGGGGGACAGGACGTCAACAGCCCCAGATATGGGGATTTCCTGCCCTCCATTCTGACTGATTAGAATGATTATTGGCCGACCCCACAAACCTCCTCAGTGAAGAGCTGCTCCAGATTCATTTCAGGACCTGAATTATTGAGTGCAAAGAGATACAGGTACACAGCAGCATCTTATTAAAGATGAGCAGATGGAGTAGAGAGGCCTTTTTGTTCTGTAGAAGCTTTTTTTTCTTGAACCTTTTACAAATGTTATTTCCAAGCCAATTGCCGAAGTTAGGATTTTTAACTCTTTGTTCTAGCATTTAGTCCATCCTGTTATAAGTTGCTGCTGGAATTGATTCTGTCACTTGTTCTGGACAGGCTTATCCTCAATATCAACACAAGAATCAGCTCTCTTACCAATTAAAAATGGATGGAAATCCAAGGCCATTGTGTTTGCTTCTCACCAAACAAACAAGTTTATTGCCTCTTTTTAGAACGGCCTCTGCAACAAACATGAGATTCCCCTGTCAATGTCACTTTACTAGTCTGCATTTTGTGGGATCTCTATAGATCTCATTTACTTACCCCCATACCAACCCTGCAAAGGCCTTGAACGCCCTCGGGCACAACACATGTCTCGGGAGGCTACACAGGCCTGCTGATGTGCTGTGGCACGAAGCATGTTGTGGTCTTGTTCCCAAAACCCTCTACAGACTGGAGAGACAGTTGTAATGCGGAGCTCTGAGCGGAGACGGAGCTGAGAATTAGGCTAGCGGTTGAGTCTTTTGGATAGAGCCACAAGGCAGGAAGTGGGGACTCTGTCTCCACTCTCTGGGTGGGAGCCCCCTGATCGTCCCCATAAGTTCACAGACCTGCAGTCATCAATCAATGTTCAAGCAGCACTTGGCAGTGGGATAGACAGAGGGGGATTGAGGGATTAGGTGTTTCAGGCAAACTTACGGGGAGCTCTTTCCATGTTTGTGCACCTTCACACAATTTTGAATCTTTGTTTGTTGTCATGTTTTTTAGAGCTCATAGCTGGTGTTCCAAGAGGAGCACAGAACTTTGGATATGTGAGTAACAACATTTTACTTTAACTAGAAGCATAAACAGATGTAAAATCGAAATATAACTTAATGAATCAGTATCAATGTATTATGTGACCTCCACAGACAGAGTTGTCAGCAACTCATTGTACCTGGGAATGGCTTTGGATATGTGGGACATTTAACAAATAATGGCATCATGTTCTCATCATTACGTGAGCTAACAAATTCAGAAGAGAGCAGAGAGTATTTTCAGGGGTTTATTTGCAGGTGTTCATAGGAACTGAAATCATACAATAAATGTGAAGCATGTCATGTCCATGATAATTCACATGCTATCTCTTTAATCAATGGTAAAGACTTGTTTGTATTTAGAGCAAACAGCTCCCATTAATATCCTTTTTGAATGTCACCACTGGGGTTTCTAACCACTCCTCTTCTGTGATGATCCCCAGCTTTGAGGTTGTACGAAGTGATGCTTGCCATCACTCTGTTCTTTCTTTCTGTTGATGGGATTCACGTCTGGACTCTGGACCCCAACTTAAAAAGATGATGACATTCTTTTCTTTTAACTATTTCGTGACTAGATTAGTATATTTCAGATTAAAAAAACCTGAGTGATGGAAAAGGCATTTCAGAACTCATGTACCTGAGCACAGTCACAGAGTGGTCCTTGAGGAGGTTTTCATGAAGCACTTCTGCATTTCCTGCACACGACTTATTTGATTGCTGTGTGAGTAAATTAGCTTTGTCAACGATTATGGAAAAAATGCGTGAGAGAAAAGTTTTAAGTCGCTATTTCAGATCAAATTGAACTGAAAGTCTTTGAAATGTCTGTCACGTTTCAGACGTGTCCAACCGGGGAAAAACCAATGATGAAATGAAAATATCCTGAACCGCATTCTGTGTTCGGCGTAATTGATTTAGGTCTTAATTATGAATGTGCGTATCATAGCTTCAACAGCACTGCATGTGTCTCAGTATGTAAACTTGTCATGTGTTTTCTTATGAGAACTTGTCCCCAGGGCTGGCTGTGTCAATCCTCCCTAATGACACACAGCTTCCGCTCCATGTGAAGGGCAGTGACCCTGCCTAACCCCACTAACCCTCTTCCACACACACACACACACACACATCCCCAACCTGTAGTGTAACGAGGACTCACCGCACTCCACACACACACACACTGTGACAGCCTGCATCCTCTGTCTGGACGCTGTAGCTGGTGCCAGAATGCTCCTTCCTGAACAGACATTTGACTTAGAGCACCACAGAGGAGGCGGTTGTAGCTCACAGTAGGTGGAGTGAGCAGGTAAGCCATGTCAAAGGCATGGTGTAGAAGTGGCCGTCGGGCCTGATCAAGTTTCCTCTGTGACCAATCTGACAGCTGAGACCAAAGGAAAGTTCATTGTCAAGCAATTGATTCAATAACTGTGCTTACACACTCGTCTAGTTCGTAAGTCTATCCGTCCTTAGTTTTGCTGTGAGTGATCAGTGATTGGGTTAACATGCATCCTCATGCACATATATGTGTACGCTTGTATGCCTAGCCCCTGGCTGTCTCCATGTGGTTGTTATTTTAGTTCTTATGAAGGAATTCTCAGCCTCCCCCCTCCGTCTCTCCATGCAGTCAGGGTTAGGATGGGGGGAAGGCAAAAAAGATGAGGGGGAAATGGTAAAGTCACAAAAAAGATGGTGGTGGGGGAGGGCAGAGGAAAGAAATGGGTTTCGGTCAAATAAAAGCTTTCTTATGCGGTTTCTTTCCAAATTCTTCATGTGCCTGTTTGTGATACAGCACGGCCATGTTTACTCCTGATGAGTTCCAAGGACAAAGTCTGGTGCTTTATTAAAACATGTCATATTAAAGCTAGTCTATTCTGTTCGTTTTAGGTAGCAATGATCAACTCTACTAACCTGACTTTCATCCAGAACTTCACAGGGGAACAGGTAGGAACACCAACAAGTCCCAGACTCAGGCCTGATCCCAGTTCTTCCTCTTGGCCTTCTCAGTTTCTTAGGGGTTAGGTGCCTACCTTTTCTTTTGTGGATCAAGCAGTAGTGGTCATGCAGCCATTTTAACTGGCAGGCCAGGGGTCACTTGAAAGGTTAAGTGACACTTATGTCTTGTTTCTCAGAAGAAATGGGTCACCCCGTTCTACCTGCAAGACTTTAAAACACAAGGGAAGGGCCAAGTTGTAGAAATTGGATCAAATCTGATTGTGTTGTCCTGCATGGCTGAAAATTAACCACTGAGCCATAGGCACTGGCACATGTAGATTCTTTTTTTTTCCATTTTTGAACAGCTACTTGATTAGGATGACTCAAAATTGAAAATCATCTGATTGTCATTTTGACTCCTTGTCTATTTCTCAGATGGCCTCTTATTATGGTTACTCAGTGGCTGTCACTGACTTAAATGGAGATGGGTAAGCAGAAAAATACTCTGTCACTTCTCCGCCTGAGTGTCATTCATTGTTCACTGAAAATATTGTTTGCAAACTCCCAGAATGGATGATATACTGGTTGGAGCACCCCTCTACATGGAGAGGGAGATGGAGAGCAAACCCAGAGAGGTGGGAAGAGTCTACCTGTATCTGCAGCTGGCTCCACTCGCTTTTTCCAAACCAGTTGCTCTCACAGGGACCTACACTTTTGGGCGCTTTGGAACAGCTATTGCACCCCTGGGGGACCTCAACCAGGATGGATACAATGGTATGCTGAGCATGTCAATGAGCGAAAAGGAAGTGAAATTGATACAATTAGAATGAATCAGTGACACAAAAATCTCACATGTACTTCTAATTGTGCTCATTTAAGGTTATGTTTCTGTGGTCAACCCGGTAACAAGCAACAGGTTTTCCCCTGATTATCTGCCTGTTGGACTGTTATTTATCTAACTGAGGAAATCCTATCAGACTTTTAAAGCTCTTCAGCCAATCAGGAAGTGTGGGGATGAAATGTTGTGTGAGTGTGTGTTTATGTGTGCGTGTGTGTGCTTGTTTCATCCTGCGACGATCGGGTTAGAGCCATATGAGTGTGTGTTTGAGTTATTTTTACCTCACCAGATGTGCCCTAAGATAAAATCATCTGGGAGTTTTTGTCCTGCAGCCCAGAGTTCATTCCTCTGCAATGTGTTTGTTTTATTCTCATGTTGATTAGACAAAGACACACGCACAGAAACCCTGAAGTCCAAATACTCCACTAAGCTAAGGCCTGTTGACTGCCCCTTTAAAGATAAATGAATGGATGCACATCTGGTCCTTGTATGACATCAATCCCAGTAATTTATCTTTAATTTATTCGTGGACAGCATGTTTTAATGTGCATACCATCCCTTGAAACCCCATTACCCAGTAGATCAATAACCATAGGATCAATACTGAAGCTTTCTCTGGCTGAAAGCATAAATCACATCTGCTGTCAGCCAGCGTGTGGAAGTCTCTTTGAGTCAGCTGAAGCCATACGGACATCACTTGTTGAGATCTGATTTAATGAACAGTCATCCACGTCTGCACTTGAATAACTATGCAGGGACAGAGTTACTATGACAACTTTGTGATCTGGTTTCTCAAAAGTATCTTTTGCTAATATCAAACAGCTGTGGTGGAGCATACCTACGCTGTTGTGTGTCTCTGTACACAATCACTTAGAGATTCCCTTTCGTTCTGCAGTGACACTGAACCTCATCACACGTTTCCAAAAAGGCTTCTTTAAAACAGAACCATACCCATTTTCTGTAATCTTCATGGTTTTGCTGAGTGTCGGCTGTCAAAACCATGAAATTGAACTAATTGAACTTGCCATGTGGCTCCCATTGTTTATAATTTTCATCAACCAGCACTAGATTTCTGTCACCATTGGTCACAGTGTGTGGACCGGTTTTTGCTGAACTGAGAGTCTCCTATAGCTTTGGTCTCAGTGATCACAGTGGGTGTTCCACTAGATGTCTGCGTAGTGTGGGATGCTGTTGAGAAGTGCTAATGAGTGACTTTGACATTATTTGAAGCCCTTTTTTTAAGCGAGATTATTTTTTATACAGCTATTCAGTTATGTACACATACCCATGCATAGACATACATGCTCACAGACACCCATGAGCACACATAGGCTCATTTATACACTTGCATACACACATGGTTGCATTTATCCTCTCTACCCCACAATCTGCTTCATGTGGAACCAGTTGTTTAGGCGGGGAGAGAGGGGGTCCAGAGACAAACAGGATGTCTAGAGGTATTTGGACAGATACAGTACTGATATGTATTCAAGGGTAGGACAGAGCCCTGCATGGACAGTAAGAGCTCAAGGAATAAATGCTAAATTGTGTTTGCATTGTCCAAAAAATCAGACTGTAAAACGATACCAGGACAGGTGCCTGTACCGGCCTATCCTTTTTTTTCTGCCTTCATGCAGGTGCTTGTTATGTTCAATAAGGTCTGGAAACATGTGTGCAATGATAAAATTTACTGTAATTTTTAGATGCTGATGACAGCTCAAGGTACACATCATTTTAATTTAATTGTTTTAACATCCAAATCGTAGAAAGGTTTAAGGACTGCAGTACCTTAAGGTGGAAACTTTCTTTTGTATGACCTTTTATCAGACACAGAATTTTAATCATGGTCACGTGAGGGTTAATTATATTAGTTAAGCAGGAAAATTGTTTTAATTTTTCTTCCAAGACTCAAAGGAGCTGTTAGTGATGAAGCAGGACATCCTTAGGCAGCAAATGAATTTGAGAATGACAGAAAGCAGATCGCAGTTTAGTAAGTCTTATCTGATTACAAGCCTACTGCTCTGAGTATGTGTGTTCACACCTGGCTTTACAATGTGACCCCACATCCGTCCTGAGGGGCTGCTGGTGATCGGATCTGAATCATGCCTTTCTTAATGGAATAGACTCTTAAGCCTCCGTCAACAGAGGGGGCAGATAAAATGAATGGTTTATAATTTGAAGGAGCTCAGTGTTAGCACAACTCTGCTGATGGAGACGTACTCTGAGGTTTTAACCTCTTTCTGTTGCCGCACAGCAAATTACCAATCAGGTCTACTTACTCTTTCATTTAGTCTTTCTCATTAAGTCTATTGCTGTGTAAACTTTATAAACCTTACATTGCTGGAAGAAGGTGCATGGCTCCCCTTCTCCCCTGCGATAAACCTACCGTTTGTGGTATCATGTATGGCTGATAGACGATCTTTGAGTGCGGCTCAGAACACATTCCAGCTAAACATATGTGGACAAAGTGCAGAGATATCCAGGATTACTGCTGAATTTGGCAGAACTATCAGATCCAAAAACTTCAAGCCATATTAAGCATGTTCACACTTGTATTTAGCCCTGTCTACTATGGTCAGATCATCTCAGCTGCATGTTTTCTTCTGGTCAATAAAAAAACACAAGGTTTTTGCATGAGGGTCAATGAAAACCAGTACCCAGAATGACCCGGTGAAAAGGCTCTAATTAAAGCGTACAAGCTTTTTAATGAGACCCGGTTTATGACATTTATTATCGGACTTATTGGACATAAGACATGGGCAGTTTCAGTAATTCTGAGTCATTTCTATCCAGCCTGGGACAATTGCTGTGTATTTCATGGATCAATTGGACGGTAACCCAAAAATCATGTTGTCTAAGCATACCAATGGTTTCTGCAGGTGAAGAAGTACAGGATTCTGCTGTAGACAAGCGATTAACTTATTAAAACTTCATTCACCATGCTGGAAGAAGTAACTAAAAGCATAAAACTCCACTGAACATAAACTGAAGACAGCTGTAGTAAAAGGTCTGAAATAGCACCCTGTACATGTCTGAGGTGACATTCACAGCTGAAAGGGATTCCTGTTCATATTCTATATGGTGAACACTTTTGTGATCATTTTATTTCATCCAGTGACATTTCACACAGATAAGTCCTGTGTGTGAGAATTTTTTTTTGTGAGTACCTGTCCTCAAGTCTACCCCCTAAATGTTCATTAGTCCCCAAAAAGTTCATTAGACTTTTTGAGGAATCCATTCAGCATCATACCTAATTGCACAATTAAATCTATAATCAATTTTTGAATTATTGTTTGCTATTTGGCGACAAATATCTTAGACTGATAACCAAGTGATGCCCAAGCAGAAGCTCAAAAGGAGATAAACCATGACCCTTACATTCCCTTGACACGTTAATTAAAGATTAGGTTAAGGAGAGATTCATAAATAAAAATAAATAGCTCAGAAGCACATTGAAGTGAGTAAGTAAATGACCCTCCCTCGTGTTTGAAAAGGTCAAGCTCTTTTCCTTCTTCGCAGTTTGTTTATTGTGTAATCTGAATTTTTTCCTCTGCTTCTGCCTCAGAGGGGCTCTTAACCCTGCTGATGTCTAAACCATGCATGTATGTGTCACCCCTCAGACGTGGCGGTGGGCTGTCCATTTGGAGGCGAGGACCGAGGAGGGAGGGTATTGATCTTTAATGGTCAAAGAGACATATCCACCCAAAGTCTGAGGCTGAGCCAAGAGCTGAGAGCTGCCTGGAACCCCGGTGACAGTTTGCCCGGTTATGGATTTACTCTCAGAGGGGGCCAGGACCTGGACAACAATCAGTATCCAGGTAAATGCTCATGAAGTTTGTCCCCTTTTCACTGAGATCCCCATGATATGATCAAAATTCCCTCACAGAGGTGCATTCTTTAACTTCACCACTTTCCTTTTACTCTTGACCTCCAAATTTCTTTTCTCCCAAATGCACTCCTCCTCTACTATCTCCATGTTCTTCCCACTTTGCCTCTGGTAAAGTCATCAGAAGGGGGTATGGGGCCATGAGCTGCTGCCGTATCTGGTCTTTATGGATTTACAGTACTCAAGGAGAGAAAGAAAGAATAATAGTAATACATTATCCACATGTTCTGCTTGCCAGACATTCAAGCCTCTGCCTATACCCCTGAAACAGTGAGCAGACAAAGCAGCACTCAATCTACTTCAAAAGTGGCAGCTCCATACTTTTTGTGCCCCCCACACAAAAAACCTTCCCCTTCTGCCATTTCATTTACATTTTAAAGAGTTATGCTTAAATAAATACACAAAGTGCCAGGTTGATATTTTTAAAGCTATACATATACATGAATTAAAGATTTAAAACAAAGCAGGTATTTTGGTTTTCGCCCTTATTTTCTCCCTAATTTGATACCATTCTGCCTTCAGCTTTACTTTGGCTTAAGCTTCTCAGATTGGGCTGAAATTGAGATGTTGTTTAGTTTTACCTTTCCTTTTACTTGCCCCCCACTCTCTTCCTTCTTATTCTGCAACAAAAACAGATTTTCTATTCCACAAACAGGACATCTGAGGAAATAACGAGCATGAGTACACTGAAGTTCACATTTGGCGGCTCGAAATCAGCTTTCTGGACTGTGTGTTGAGCGTGAGCCAGGCTCCAGGTCACAGTGAAACCTTTGCAGGCCGACTGCAAATCAAAAGTAAAATCACTGTATAATAAAAACACACACAGGGATTACAGGTTCAAACTAATGCCGGTGGAGGTCCTTTGGGAGGAGGAAATAAAGTGGAAACTCATGGGTGGCGGAGCTCTCAGCCAACACACACATTATAAACACTCACACAGAACTGAGCACCGCTTGTGTTGTCTGTCATTAGTGAGCTGGTTGACGGAAGTGAGACACACACACAGACACGCATCCAATGTGACGTTCTCAGGGTAGTAAAGTCACAATGTTCAAAGGAGCCAGAGATGTTTGATCACAGTTACAAGAGGACTGCACAGGCGCCTGGGAGCTGCCATCTGCTCCTATCAACATTAAATGTCATTAGTCTGCTGTGGAGGGGAAGAAAAGATGATGACTATGCTCCAATTTTAGCTTTAATGAGCTTTATATCAAAATATTACATCATATATTTGTCTGGTGAGAACAAATTTTCAATGAAAGATGGAATGTAGAAATCATGACAGAGTAGGCTGTCCTGTGTCCCGAATCACTTCCTGTGGCTTGATTACAAGAATTTTTTAGATTTTAGTCTGTCACGGCACCTCTGGCATGAGATTTCGTGCCCTGACGCCAGGGTCATCTGCGTATCAGAAGGGTCACACTGACTCAGGATGCATCTTAAGTTTGCCTCACAGGTTAAAGGTCAAAATACTGACAGTGTTTTATTTATCTACCAGGAATTTTTGTTGAAAGCCTGTCAGGCCAGGGTTTGTGGTATGAATGTGTGCAGTGCTGATGGGTTTGCTGGGTCAATAGGTTTGCTGTTTGGTTGGCCAGTAGAAATAAGTAACTACAGTTTATACATTGCCATCATTTAGAAGCTGAAAATAACTATTTTTAATGTGCATTTGTTCTCTTTCCAAAGTCTGAGAGAATAACTGGAACTTAAAGGTGGAAGACAGATATATTTTATTGTCATAGCACTCTTAGAAGGATAGTACTCTATCGGAGGCTAGTTGTCTCCATTTGAGACTCTACCTGCAATCTAAATAGCCTTAAATACCTCTCTTGTCTTCTCTCCCGCTCTTCTCATCTCTTCTTCTCTCATCATAAAAATAGTGCATGTCAAATAGATTTTACAGCTGGCCAGTGGTGGAAATATTTTACATTCATTCACAGATGAAGTAATTTTCTCTTAAAGGTTCCTCTTTTCCGCTGAGCACAATTGACCCTTGACCTTAAGTGATCAAGGCCAGTCCCCCCGCAGCCAAACAGGCAGCCACTGTAGACCATCAGTGACAGCTTGACAGTCTGTCTAAACTCTGGATGGTGGCTGTGTTTTGGCAACCACAGGACAGACACCATCAGCTAAAGAAGTTCAGTCACATCAATCCATCGTGCTCCATTTGAAGCCATAAAGGATTCCATCTTTTGTGAGTGGATAGGCCTTAGTCAGGCAGTCCCTGGGCACCTCAAATTAACAGTGGTGGGCAATCTTTCCTATGTGTAAGGAAATGGATTTACATGAAAAGGAAAGTGGGTCATTACTACTCAGCGGCTACTACTACAGCAGCCATGTGTTCAGTCATACCCTCATACACACTGAACCCCATTGGTGGCCTAAACTCAAATCAGCCTCATGCCTTCCACTTTTAAGTGTGCAAACAGTGATGTTTGATTAAGCAGCACATACATCGATCAAACCGACGTGTCTGTGGAAAGACTGGAGCTACAGTTTCTTCTTCAGGTTACGCAACTTCATCTGTTGGATGGACTGAGGAATTTGGACAAATATTCAGGCCTGTAGAGTTTCTCTCTTGGCTGAGAACACCTTAGCTCTGATTACTTTCACAGATTTTGCTCTAAAGGCAGAGCTTACAATCCCCAGCTCTAATTGTCTTCCTGTCATTCCTGCTTTCCTCTTTTTACATTCCCTTTATTTTTTCCTTGTTCCTGCGAGAAAAACCCACAGTTTGGTGTCCTTTCTCGCTTCTGGAGTTTTGAAGTAACACACACATAAAGCAGTGGAAAAAGGACGAGGCTTTAACATTTTAATGTTGTGCTTCCAGGAGGACTCAGTGACTGCAGCAAAAGTCAGAAACAGATGTGTTCCTCTTAGATTCAATTAGTCTCCTTCTCCTGAACTGCACAGGAGAGAGGAAAGACACGTAAATGACACATAAAGTCTACAGGAGAGCATTTCCACTGGCTTCCATCCTTTTGAAGAAGGCATCCACAGGGATTCAAGTTGACTGATTACCAAAAAGTCACTAAATCTGAGAAAATCTAGTTTGCCTTTATTTTAAAGGCAAACTATTATACAGCGTATTAAGTAATAATGAAAGCAGTTGGTAAGTAAAATCCCAGTTGACGTTCCCTGAAAAGCATGAGGTTGTTCCTTTATCGAGATCACACAATTCAGCTTCCTGCTGCATCTGGCAGCAGTGGTGTGTACCCATTAAGTGCCTCTTTTCACATTGTTCTAATCAGCATTTGTGTATGTGTGCGTGTGTGCCTCTGTGTATGTGTGTGCGTGCGTGCGTGTGTGTGTGTGGCTTTCATTGGTATGTGTCCCCTGACCACAGCCATTAAATACCATCTCTATTTTAAACTTTTGGAGCCAATTAAAAGTGTGTGTTACTGTGAGCCCCGAGAAAACAAATAAAATCTCAGCTCGATGAGATCTGGTGCTGCTTACAATTAGAAGTCGTCGCTACGCAGACTGTTGGGAAATGATGTTGTTTAGCAAACGATGATTGAAGCGATGTGAGCCTAGGAATGTCCCTGTCTCACAAGCAAATACCCACAAATGATGAAGATGGTGTACAAAGTCATGGTTATGGCAAGTTTGGAGAATAAATTTATCTCTAAAAAGGGTTATTATTAAAGAAAAAGCATGATTATGACAAAATGTCAACTGTCCATCACGGTGTATGCATGTGTGTGTGTGTGGGTGTGTGTGTTACAAAGTCTGTGTTTGATGAAGATTGTTGGAGACCTTGAAATCAGTCCCATCTGTGGCATTCTTTGAAGCTCACCATTTCCCATCTCTCCCTGCTCTCTCTGTAGATCTGATTGTGGGGGCTTTTGGTGCAGGGGAGGTGTCAGTGTACAGGTACAAGTCTGAAAATACACTCAAGTTTGTCACATTTCTGCTTATCCTTATGGTCTGTCATATTTCAAACTGCCTGTTATCATCTCTTAAATGTGGTTATGAGTTTGTTTTTTGTGGTCGTGATTGTGTGTTCGCAGGTCCCAGGCTGTAGTTTCAGTGGAAGCATCCATGATTTTGACTCCCAGAATCCTGAATCCTGAGGATCGACAGTGTCTTCTACCTCAGACCAGTCTAATGGTTACCTGGTAAAAAAGACACTTTTTCATTTAGTCCTATCCCAGCTGTGTTTTTCTCTGTGTATTTTTGGACAAGGCACCATGGCTCCTGTCAAAAAATAGACGTGTTTGATATGTGAGGACATCAAAGATGTAGGCCTTTAAAAAGATAACAATAAATTCTAATGACAGTAGAGAACTGAAGGTGGAAAAATGTGTCCTATGCTCTTCCAACTGGCTTACAGCTACATCAGATTATCTCAATGGATTGATTCAATTATACTTGTTTTTCATAGGCAGGTGGTTTTTCCAAAAACATCCACCGATTTTTTTTAAATAGCATGCCCTTGAGCAATCACATTGCGCAGACGGCATCCTCTGATGGTATTGTGTAATTGATCTGGCATGTCAGATTCCTCCTGGCTGGGTTTTTTTCTTGACACCTAGATTCCTACCACACTGAGCTGTTGTCAAGGTTAGAAACTAAATGAACAACAAATACAAAAAAACTGTACCCCAGATAGGGGAAGCATCATCCTTTTCACAACAGTAAGTGCACTGGAGTCTACAGGTGTGTCTGAGCTTCAACACAATGAGACGATAAAGCATGGCAGATTTAGGGATGAAGAGCAGAGAAGGGGTGAGGGATCTTTCTTTCTGAATCATCTCAAAAGGTTCATGTTGAATCTAGACAAGCAAAAAGATGGCTGCTGTTTTGCTGTTTGTTTAGAAAATCCATTAATGAAAAAATACAGAGATTTGTGGCAAACTGCTGTTCGTCATCTTAGTTTGTAGACATCTATCTTGTTCTGAGTTTAACCATTCAGTGTGGATACCCTCTCAACTGTTTTTATGAGCCAATCCCAGAGAGGTTGTCCCAGATTACCGAGTTTTGTGTCCCCTTCCAAAAAGAAAAAAATCCTTGAAAGAGACCAAGAATTGTGGTTCCTTCAGCTGAAGCAAGCACAAAGGTGCAAGCCACCCTGAAACAGCACAAAACTTAATGCCATAGAAAAACATGGAAGCAAAACCATGCTGACTTTGGAACTCAAAGGGAAATTAATCAGGCAAACAATTTGAAAAAATTCCCTGGTATTTTTTGCTTTTGTTCCTTGTCCAGTTAAAGTGAACACGACCTCAAAACTAAAACTGAAGGTAAAAAAAGAGAGGTGAAGTCTGCGAGTACCTCATAAAGTCACTTTTCCAGCTAATATAGTAGTGATTTATTAGTTTTACAGACACACACGTTTGTGTGTGTGCCGGCAATTAAAATCTAAAGGGATCAAAGTCTTGAGCAAACATGAGACTAATGAGATCCACTGCCACTCCGAACTCCAGATCTGTAACACAAATCATTCTGCCCGCACTGCATCATAAAATGGTATGCAGTGTAAAGTGTACGCTTCCACAAATCAAACTCAAACTGACAGACGTGGCAAATATTTCACCCCTGTGCTCTAGACGTCTTCCATCAGCCAAAGCCTGTTTGTCTGTGTCTCCGGTGCAATAACGTAACTGCACACTGAAGGAGTGGGCTCGTATAACCTGCAAATTCAGATTTATGAGAATCCGCAATTAATCTGAAACTGCATAATTCTGTTTTGATTATCTTATATTACAGATTCGAACAGCTTATGGGTGAGGTTAGTTTAGGGGAAGTATTATTTCTATTCTAAAGTTTTGCTGCCTTGACACAGTCTATTGTTGGTCCTGATTTATTTGGGGTTGAGCTGCTGTAGCACTGTTTGGATGGGAGACATGGACTCGGCAAGTGCCCAGTGTGGTTTCTACATAGTGGTGTGTGAGTATTGGCAGTGAGCGACAAGGGAACTGGGTTTGAGTCGGATCAACACAGAGCACTAAACTGCCTGAATTCAGTCAAAACAAAACTAAGCTTATTTAAATAAACCGCCATAAAATTTTGGTCAGTAGGAAGGAATCCGAAAAAATATTTTGTTCCCACACACACACACTCGCACGTATGCGGAGTCAGACAGAAACATTATAATTCAAAGATGTTGTAAGTATGTTTCAGAGGGGCCAAAGTTGTGACATTAGGTTTGTTTTCCTGTTGTGGGAACTCAACAGAAGCTTAATCTGTGCCTTGTGCATCAGCACATCTGAGCTACACAAAAAGGAAGCATCTGACTTTTTCATAATTACAGCTGACAGCCTTTAACCCCAGAGGTCATTAAACAACGCTGACTTTTGTTCTCAATGTATTTCCAGCCACTTCAAAGACTCTTTTAACTTTGGTTATCAATATTCAATCTACTCCACGATTTAAGGTCAAAAGGTTAGCGTTTTATCTTTTCTTTTTTCTGTAAAAGGAAGGATGCTATCCAGAAACACTTTAATGTCTTATTCACATTTTTTTAACAAAATATTAAATAACTCAACGCGAATGGTTAGATTTGTGATTTGAATATAATAGCAACATGTGAGACACATGAATGGGGCTAAGAGTGAAAAGGGAAATAGTCAGCTTGACGATTAGATGAATTAGAGCTGCTTACACTGAAAAAGGCACAATTTTGCACTGTGTTGATCAGCGTCTTCAGGAGTCAGAAGTACATGCACATGCCAAATGGCAGCTATCAAAGCCACATGAAATATTTCTCCTGATGAAAAGGGGGAAGTCACAATACAAACAAGAACACTCCAAGTGTGGACCTCTGCCAAAGCCGGCTTTATGATAACCCTGAATCCTAATCCACTTCTGAATTTTAGCAGAGGTCAGTTGTTTCAAAGTTGACCATGCATCATGACTTAACTGTGAACTGTCATGTAAGTCTGTAAGTCAGTCTGTAACTTATTAATATTCAAACATATAACCTCTAGCAGGAGATGAGGAAGGCCTTTTCCTAGCCGGCCGTGGGTTGTTAGGACCCTTGATATCACAGGAAGAGAGTTACTATACAGAGGGCTGGCAGGGCTGTCTATAAGTGTGTAGGATGGTGGAGCACAGATGCATTTTGGGGAAATTACATACTGTAATGACTAAGGTTTGGGTAATTTCTTTGCACCATGCACTTTAGTGTGACCCACAGTGCCTATTACTGTCACTCCCTCCCAAATCTGTGAAACACACATGCTTATATGCCACACATATTAAACCAACATGAAATCACCTGGACCTCTAAACTGCACACATTTTAATGAAGAACAGCTACTGTCCTCTACAATTACTGTCTGATCTGATGGGGAAAACTCATTATTAATGTGCAACCACAAAATTTGCATTATTTGATTGCTTAGGTTTGAATAAACGTGCCAAACAATAACACGTGAAATTATTTTCTTCACGTATGCAATATAAAATGAGGATTACATCCATGGGCTTCCTCAGATTAGTGCATATTAGCAGTGCGGGCCTCACTGGGTGAGAGTCACTTTCCTGTTGCCGATTAAAGAGGTGATAACACACAAAAAACATACCAACAAATAGGGTAATACACATAAATAGAGGAAACCAATGTGTTCCAGTCTCCCATATCTGTGTGTCTAATGGCGGGGGCCTCTGTGGTATTTCCCACTACCCCCTGGGGTACAGGAAGGAACTAATGCCTTGTTTGGAGAAAGTAATTTTGTTAGTTAGTTCGTCATACTTCATAGATTTTTTATTGATAATGATCTTGCATCGTGAACCCTCTGCAATAAGTAGAAGCATGCAGTTATTTGATGCACTTGACCTTTGGTGTGTATTCACCACACAATTTGTGTTGATTATATTTACAAATGGATCAACTATCAACAGTGTACAAAATTCCTCAATTTAATTTAAAACTTGTGGAAGTGTTTTTTAAATAACACTGCCCAAAATGTGTGAATTTTACAAGAGACGCCTACGCAAAATTTTAACAATCTTGTTCCTGTGTCTTGTCCAATTTCTTCCCAACCTTTTCCTCTAGCCTGAAAGTTGAGGTGTGTGCAGCTGTGAGCGGCATGGGGATACCCAACACTGTTGGTAAGCAAATGTGTTCACCATGGTGGTTTTAGGGAGTTTGAGGCAAAGCAGGTGGGACACAGATGGTGGAAGAGGACTCAGAGCCAAAACCCATCATACATCTTATTACACTATCCTGCTGAAGAAGTGCTTCAGCACTGGCAGGAGGTTGAGGTCAATATTATAAGATACATATCACATTGATATTGGATGTGTACATTGATTCCATTGTGTAATTATTCTCTGCCGACTAAAACACCTACACACGGCCTCTAACGACTTAAGCGATGGACCAGACCTTGTGGATTTAAGTTGTGTCTGATAACCAGAACACTGTACCTGTTCTCCCTGTCTGTTAATCTTTCCATCTTCCATTCACTGTCCAGTACTGAGGGCCGAGCTGCAGCTGGATTGGTTAAAAGGCAGCAGAGGTGGAGTTAAAAGAGTTCTCTTCCTGGACTCCCAGCAGCCGCAGACCACGGGACTCCTAAGGCTTGGCAACAACCGCCCACATGCATGCCTGAGCTACATGATTTATCTGCGAGTAAGCAAATCACACGGCAGCGCACACACACACACACGCACACACACACACACACACAAACTCTGCTTAATTACTGCACTTTGCAGTGAAACTCTGATTCCTTTTGGTGAACCATCTGTGAATACTGTTGGACTTACTGTTTTAACTGGTTCCTGCTGCTTCCCAGGAGGAGGACGAGTTCAGAGACAAACTGACCCCCATCTCCCTGGCTCTGAACTACAGCCTGGCACCACCTTCTCATGACCAAGCCCTCCCACCTGTACTCAACCAGTACAGTAGCACCTTCGTTCAAGAGCATGTGGGTACACATTTATTACCGTAAGACTGTACACGAAAGTATGTCAATCAACACACAGAGTACATCAGAATGAAACGACTTGACATTTTAGGTTGGGAATTGCTTCCAATTCATCTGATCTGTTGAAACTTTAGAAAACCAGAGGTCAGTTTTAGATCCAAATGGAGGTGAAATAGAAAAAGCAAATCATCAATGAGATGATGAATTAGCGGCCGTACACATAAAAAATAGCTTTGGACAAATATTGAGATTGGAATTTATTTTTCAAACAAGCAAGCCTGGTGGAAAAAGTGCTCTCTTCTGATTGCTCCTCCGCCTGTAGGAATTGTTCAAATAAACACTTGAAACTTTTAGATTTTCCAGAGCTGAGTTTGGATGTGCAGCTAGCCTCTCTTCATTTCTTTATCAGATTGTGAGCACCTCATGGATAATAAACTTTCATGTTATCTGTCAGGAAAAAGTAGGTATACTCCTAACTGCATTTTGTTTTATCTGTTAAATACACAGTCAACTATTAAAGTTCTCAAAGTGTTGTAGTCCATTGTGTTGCATGGACCTTTATCGCTCCAGCAGTGCATCACCACTAGCTTAAATATCCATCCATCCATCCATTCTCCTCCGCTTATCCGGGGTCGGGTCGCGGGGGCAGCAGTCGGAGCAGGGAAACCCAGACTTCCCTCTCCCCGGCCACTTCAGCCAGCTCCTCCGGGGGGATCCCGAGGCGTTCCCAGGCCAGCCGGGACACATAGTCCCTCCAGCGGGTCCTGGGTCTTCCTCTGGGCCTTCTCCCGGTGGGACGAGCCCGGAACACCTCCCCAGGGAGGCGACCAGGAGGCATCCTGATCAGATGCCCGAGCCACCTCAACTGGCTCCTCTCCACGTGGAGGAGCAGCGGCTCTACTCTGAGCCCCTCCCGGATGGCCGAGCTTCTCACCCTATCTCTAAGGGAGAGCCCAGCCACCCTGCGGAGGAAACTCATTTCGGCCGCTTGTATCCGCGATCTCGTTCTTTCGGTCACTACCCAAAGCTCGTGACCATAGACGAGGGTGGGAACGTAGATCGACCGATAAATTGAGAGCTTCGCCTTTAGGCTCAGCTCTCTCTTCATCACGACAGACCGGTACAGCGCCCGCATTACTGCAGACGCCGCACCGATCCGCCTATCGATCTCACGCTCCCTACCCCCATTCGCAAACAAGACCCCGAGATACTTGAACTCCTCCACTTGGGGAAGGACGTCCGCTCCGACCCGGAGAAGGCACTCTACCCTTTTCCGGTGAGAGACCATGGTCTCGGACTTGGAGGCACTGATCCTCATCCCAGCCGCTTCGCACTCGGCTGCAAACCGCTCCAGTGAGAGCTGTAGGTCCCGACTTGATGGAGCCAACAGGACCACATCATCTGCAAAAAGCAGAGATGCGATCCTAAGGCCACCAAGACTGACACCCTCAACACCTCGGCTGCGCCTAGAAATCCTGTCCATAAAAGTTATGAACAGGACCGGAGACATAGGGCAACCTTGGCGGAGTCCAACTCCCACCGGAAACGAGTCCGACTTACTACCGGCAATGCGAACCAAACTCTGACTCCGGTCGTACAGGGACCGAACAGCCCGTAACAAAGGGCCAGGTACCCCATACTCCCGGAGCACCCCCCACAGGATACCCCGAGGGACACGGTCGAACGCCTTCTCCAAGTCCACAAAACACATGTGGACTGGTTGAGCGAACTCCCATGCACCCTCTAGGACCCCGCTGAGGGTATAGAGCTGGTCCAGCGTTCCACGGCCAGGACGAAAACCACCCTGCTCCTCCTCGATCCGAGGCTCGACTATCCGACGGACCCTCCTCTCCAGAACCGCTGAATAGACCTTCCCAGGGAGGCTTAAGAGTGTGATCCCCCTATAGTTGGAACACACCCTTCGGTCCCCCTTTTTAAATAGGGGGACCACCACCCCAGTCTGCCAATCCAGCGGGACTGCCCCTGATGTCCACGCGATGTTGCAGAGTCTCGTTAGCCAACGCAGCCCCACAACATCCAAAGCCTTTAGGAACTCCGGCCGAATCTCATCCACCCCCGGGGCCCTGCCACCGCGGAGCTTTTTGACTACCTCGGTGACTTCAGCCCCGGAGATTAGAGATTCCGGCTCCGAATCCCCAGGCTCTGCCCCTCCAACGGAGGACGCGCCAGTGGGATTGAGGAGGTCCTCGAAGTACTCCGCCCACCGACCCACAACGTCACGTGTTGAGGTCAACAGCACACCATCCCCACTGTAAACAGTGTTGGTGGGGCACTGCTTCCCCCCCCTGAGACGCCGGATGGTGGACCAGAATCGCCTCGAGGCCGTACGGAAGTCTTTTTCCATGGCCTCCCCAAACTCCTCCCACGCCCGGGTTTTTGCCTCGGCGACCACCCGAGCCGCACGTCGCTTGGACTGCCGGTACCCATCGGCTGCCTCCGGAGTCCCACAGGCCAAAAAGGCCCGATAGGACTCCTTCTTCAGCCTGACGGCATCCCTCACCGCCGGTGTCCACCAGCGGGTTCGAGGGTTGCCGCCACGACAGGCACCGACAGCCCTGCGACCGCAGCTCTGGGAGGCCGCGTCATCGATGGAGGCGCGGAACACGGCCCACTCGGACTCAATGTCCCCCGCCTCCCCCGGAACGTGTTCGAAGCTCTCCCGGAGGTGGGAGTTAAAGCTCCGCCTAACAGGGGACTCCGCCAGGCGCTCCCAGCAGACCCTCACAACACGTTTGGGCCTCCCGGGTCTCACCGGCATCCTCCCCCGCCATCGGAGCCAACTCACCACCAGGTAGTGGTCGGTGGAAAGCTCCGCCCCCCTCTTGACCCGAGTGTCCAAAACATGCGGCCGCAGATCAGCTGAAACGACAACGAAGTCGATCATTGAGCTGCGGCCTAGAGCGTCCTGGTGCCAGGTGCACATATGGACACTCTTATGTTTGAACATGGTGTTCGTTATGGACAATCCGTGCCGAGCACAGAAGTCCAAAAACAGAACACCGCTCGGGTTCAAGCTGGGGGGGCCATTCCTCCCAACCACGCCCCTCCAGGTCTCACTGTCGTTGCCCACGTGAGCGTTGAAGTCCCCCAGCAAAACGAGGGAGTCCCCAGGGGGGGCACCCTCCAGTACCCCCTCTAAAGACTCCAAAAAGGGTGGGTACTCTGTGCTGCCGCTAGGCGCATAGGCACAAACGACAGTCAGGACCCGTCCCCCCACCCGAAGGCGAAGGGATGCTACCCTCTCGCTCACCGGGGTAAACCCCAACGTACAGGCACCGAGATGGGGGGCAATGAGTATGCCCACTCCTGCTCGGCGCCTCTCACCGGGGGCAACTCCAGAGTAGCAGAGCGTCCAACCCCTCTCGAGAAGGCTGGTTCCAGAGCCAGAGCTGTGTGTCGAGGCGAGACCGACTATGTCCAGCCGGAATCTCTCCGCCTCGCACACCAGCTCAGGCTCCTTCCCCGCCAGAGAGGTGACGTTCCACGTCCCTAGAGCCAGCTTCTGCAGCCGGGGATCAGTCCGCCAAGGTCCCCGACTCCGGCCGCCGCCCAGGGCACAGCGCACCCGACCCCTATGGCCCGTCCCATGGGTGGTGGGCCCATGGGACGTTAGCTTAAATAGTGTAAAGTAAATCTCAGGAGCAGTTGAGGAAAGAATCTCAGCCCTTGTTGTAGCAGGTCATCTGGGTGCTTCTTCGTTAGCTGAACAGGTCCACTGCTCCTTTTGTCTGCTAGCAAAAGATCGGTTTTATGCAGACATCCTCCTGTCTTCTAACTACAAGCTGCAATTTTACCACTAATAATCACACTGGTCAGGACCTTGTCGCACAGACTTCCTGTTTCACAAATACTTTTGCAACTCAAGCGCTCTTGTGCAAGTCTTCAGCCTGTAACAACATTTACTGAAAAACTCATTAGTTGAGTTTCTTTCAGTGTTTTCCGGCAGCAGCGTCCTTGATTTAGCCAAATCCATTTTTACTACTTCTAGTTCTGTGATTGCGTGTGGTGTACCTTAAGAATGTCCTTTGTTGATGTGGCCTTCTTCCTCCCAGGCTTACATCCTCCTGGACTGTGGCGATGACAATATCTGTGTCCCCGACCTTCAGCTCTCTGCCAGCATGTAAGGCTCAAACAGTCGAGGCCTCTGACCTCAGCCTGCCATCACTCAACACTTCACACATCCAAATGCAGACACACACGCACGCAGAGCTAAAACAAAGAAAGTATGTCTGTTATTCCTCAAACAATGAACCGAGTTTACTCTTAGGCCGCTCACATTATAGTCCCATTTACCGTTTGTGCGATTGTGTGCATGTGTGTGAAAATTAGCCCACTCTGTTAGTGTTTCCAGCTGTATGACATCTCCACACCAGCGTTATACAAACATCCTCTCACCGTCCACTCTCTGACTCACACACATGCACGCTGTTAGGGTTTTTTGCTGGTATCTGGGATGTTGCATTCTTTGAAGCTGACTGCACGTTAAGCTGATGGTAAATTTACAAAAAAACAAAAAACAAAAGGGTTGTCTGGGTTACTGCAGCAAAGGGCCTCATTTGCGTGCCCATATTTATATATCACACCCACACACAGGGATCGCGCCGAGCTGGTGATTGGCGATGACAACCTGGTCATGTTGACCATCAGCGCCTGGAACCGAGGAGAAGGAGCCTACGAGACCGAGCTGTACACCCTGATACCGCCAGAGGCCGACTACATTGGAGTTGAACGGAGGGTGGAGGTGAATACACTTCTGACACGTGCCGCCCAGAGATTCACTTTAAATCAGTCCCTCTGCCTGGATGTTGTGGCTACTGAAAATAGATATTTACGATTAACACGAATGTCTCTCCAGGAGGGAAGCCGGGCATCAAATGAGGAAGTGGCTGTTTGCCCCTGTGCTTACAGCGTAGGATCTTATCCTGTTGTGTCTTTACGATGTGTTTTTGTTTGCTCTGATTAAGTCAATGATATCAGCAGGATGTGTTTTACTGGCATCAGCCAAAAGCCCCAATTATGATTTACAAGCTGCATTAGTGACCAAGGAAATGGATAGGGTCAGCTTGTGCATGCACTCGTGTGTGCTAATGAGTGTGTAATGGGGCTGTTTGATAGATTATATTGTTGCTGTCAGAGCATTTATCACCCTTCATCGCACGTCTTCCCTCATCCTCCATTGCTGTGTTCTGACTTTGATGACATAACACATTCCTCCGTTGATTACTTGACACTCACTGTTGTGTATTTCTCACTTTCGCATACTGTTCCTCACTCATTATTCCTTCTCCCTTGCTTCTTCCTCCTCCGTTCCACCTTTTTCTCCCCCCCAATAGTCTCTTTCTCAGCTTAACTGCGAGTACAAGATGATCAATGAGTCCAGGATGGTGGTGTGCGACCTCGGGAACCCAATGGTGACCGGGACAGAGGTGAGTTTTGACACTCCAAAGCAGGAACACACGCGCACACTTTTCAATAAAACATCCACGGTGAGAAAGTGCTGTTACCCCTCAGGTTTAATTCACTCTGATTGATGGTTTCCAGTGATTAGTGATCATCACCTTGACCCTCATTCCACACACCCTGACTCCCATGGCTATGCTTTACGCTCACCCTGTGCGTGCGTGTGAAACGTATAACTCCTGCGTGGCTGACACATGCAAGAAGTCCAGGCTCCGACATTAAATTGTATCACTTGTGCGTACGCGTCTTCTGAAGCGTGTAACAGTTGCGCATGTAAGGTTTTTCTTTTGAAGATGAGGAAAGCCAGCATAGAGTTGCATTTGTGTTTTGGAAGTGACACGTTGCGTTCTGATAAATCACTTATGTGGTCATGTTTCACAGTTTGGAGGGAGGGGAGCAGAATGTGGCATGTGAACGGGGCAAGCCGTGTGTACGTGGGGTTGTGTGCTTCCCCACAGTCCAGATGTTTCCCATATTCAACTCTCCTCTTGCCCAGTTCAGGAATCCATGAGTTTATGCAGAACATACGTCCGCATACCCCCCATTCAAGCTCTGCTTCTATTGTGCGGCTAAATAGTTCCGATCACTAGAGTTCATTCCCCGTGCGCCATGACACAGCTGTGGCGCCTCACTGAGAACACTGATCAGTGTAGGAGGTACAAGCCTGAAGCAAAGCAGATTTTGCCCCATCTGCCTCCCTGTGTCCCAGACTTTGTTCTCTCTTTTTGTCCTGTTTTTTTTGTCTTAATTATATTAATTCTACCTAAATCCAAGATACACTCATTGTCCAAGTTTTTCTCCCATTGTTATAGAAATGAATGCAGCTAAACTATAAATTCACCTGAAGTGTGTCAGCACTGACCACTAAATAGTCAAATGGAGCCCAAGCCCAACGCATTGCAGATCAGATGAAGCTGTTGTACATGTTCTTTTGGACTCTGAGCAGCAGGATGCTGTCTGTAGTTCACTGACCAGCCACAGGTGTTATCAATAACACACACAGGGTGCCTAAATAGCGACAGAGCCATGACGTTTTTCTTTAAGCGGTGTGCCCCATGAAAGACTCACAAGCTCTACTGCAATGGCCCGAGAAATGTCTTTAACCGCCACCTCAGGATAAACCACCTCTGCCACTGTTGTTCTGAATATCGTTTGGTTGAACTAGGGCTAAACAGTGGGGCAAGTCTGTGCATCTGCCAAAACAGCAAAAGCCAAATGCGGACGCACCGTTTTTACCCTGGCAGAATATGATTGAGAATAGACCAATGGTTACAACAATGCTGCATGTGCTTAAGGGAGCTTTAGTGCATGTTGTGCTCATTTCTTTGAAGGGCCATCTGCTTTTATCAAAAAGTCAGGCTGACCGTAGTTCTGCTCACTCGCCTGTGTTCCTCCTGTTCTTCCTCTTTCTTTGACAGGGATGTGATGGTGACGACTTCTATCTGAACGACACATTTGGTGCCTGTGTCTTCAGATCTTTCCTGTCTGGCTCTTCCTTTTCAGCCTGTCTAATGTGTCCCATAAAGAGGGCTGACTTTGTAGTCCCACTCCCCAGCCTCACTCCCCCCCCACAGGCCTGGCTCTTGAAGTTTTAGTGCGAGGCAGCACGCTGTCATTTCTTTCTCTGGGCCATGAGCTTGACCTGTTTTACAATGGTGCTCACACAGGCATGTAAATATTCACGTACACTGCCATGCATCGGACGGCCCACCAAACCCTCCACATGTTTTCAGTTAGCCCAGGGACGGGGGATTTAAACCGAATAGAGACAGGGAACTTAGCTCTGGTTTTTAAGTATGTGTCTCTGGTCTGGATTTTCTCAGATCTAAGACTCTCGCTGTTATCGACGTACACCCAAATCCAGATATGGCAATGATGAAATAACAGCTTTGACTCCAGTTTACTTGGATTGTACTGTCCATTCCTGGACACACAAGACATGATGTTACCTTTGATGTACAGATGCCTCTTCCTGGCTATTTTATCTTAAACTGTCCTCTTTATTCTCTTGTCATGTGTTTGATTAAAAATGCATCTCTCTATTTTCGGTTTCCGTCACTCTCCTGGCCAGCTGTCTGTTGGTTTGAGGTTTTCGGTCCAAAGGTTAGAAGATGCTGGACCGAAAATCAGCTTTGAACTGCAGATCCACAGGTGACACTCACACATATCCTCCAGCTTTCTTCACACCTCACACCCACATAAACACAAAGAATTGTTTGCCTTTCCTCTGACCCATATAGATAAGGTCTGTGTGTCCTGAGGTTTCCACTGTCTGTGGTCTCATGAAACCAGCCACAGAAATTGAGGAAGACAGATGGCCCAGAGGAAATCCAGACAGGGGACTGTTTTTACAAAAACAAGTCACCATTTGCTTCATTGCAATGAAATTGAGACAACATAATACAGATGCATGGATTTAGCTGATCAGAGGAATAGAACACAAACAAAGGTTTATTTAGAGTTTAGTCTTCACTCAATCTGTGCGACAGCCTCATTTAAAAGTATTGTAACACTTTCACACAGAATTTGGACCAACACACCTCTGTTATAGCAAGTCTAAATTAAAAAATCAAGCCTGTAAACATGTAATGAGAAGAAAAATAAAAAAACTAAAATGTGATTGCACTCGGCTACTTAATTATAGGTTTTAGTCATGCCACACCTTTTTTATTAGCTTCAGGACCTTTGGCTGGGCCACTCTAGTACACTGATCTTGCACTGGGTTATCGTCATGGTGAAAGGCAAAATTCATCTTCATCATCAGCTTTGTAGCTGAGCTTTTGCATTCAGTTTCACTTTTTGAGCTGGTCGTTGGTCTCTTTAATTAAGAGACCCAACCTTTTCTGACTTTGGCCATGATTTTCATGATTTGTTGTTATTTGTTGTGCTATGCCTTACCTTTTCTGCATCAGATCATTGTTTCCACAAAATCTTGATCATTTTGCAATGTATAGCTATACTTGTTTCTGTCCTTGGGGGAGAAAGAGGGTCCTTTGTGTACTATATAAGAGTCTTGAATGTAAATACTATGTATGATCAGGGGGGAGTGTTGGCTTCTTAAGGAATGATTCTTTTTGTCTGTTGGTTAAGGTGTTTCTGAATCTCTTTGCAGCTCCAACAAAGATAACTCTGACAGCAACCTGGTCAGCTTGAATCTGTCCATTGTTGCCAGTCCTGGGCTCAATTTAAGAGGGTGAGTCTAGCATCTTTGCATGCCAGACTGTCGTGCGTTCCTGTTTTTCCATGTACGCTTTCCAAATATATATCTCATCTTATTTCAATTTCAACCTTTCAGTCTTCGCTGGACAAAACATTTCCTTTTGAAATGTTTGAATTTTTGGGCGACACTTGTAAACACATGCTGAATAAAACAAAAACATGCTTCTTGAAATAGATTTGAACTAATCGTGCACACATGGAGATATTTGCCAGACTCTTCCATGTTTGTGATGTTCCAATTTCCCGTTGAGACGCGCACGTGCGCGCGCACTCGAAGCCTGGAGCCTCCCGTGCCATTGTTTAGGTGTGGTCAGTTGTACACACAAACACAGGAGCAAATAGGACAAGTGGGAGGAGGAAATGCTCTTGAGTTTATACCGCTGGACTGTCCGGCTTTAGCTTTGTCCATCACACTTCTTGGATTTTGTTGTAATAACAGTTAAAGGGCTTAGCTGGAAACTTACACTGAGAACATATCGATATCTGTGCATTCTGAGGAGAAGATTAAGATAAATGTCTGTCTTTTTTATGTCTGTTCCCTTCAGGGTGTCACATCCCTCTCAGGTGGTTCTGCCATTCCCAAATTGGGAACCTAAAGAGAAGCCTGTCAAAGAGGACGATGTTGGACCACAAGTGACGCACATCTACGAGGTACATTGAGATAAATAAATTAAACCACAGCTGGCTGATTGACTGAGTCTTTCTCTGTAAGGAGAGGGGAGCTCTGGCAGAGGGAGAACTCCATACGTTCTGGTGTCTCTTCATGTTGCCTGGTTGAGTAAAGACTTAGTCAATGGCAAATCAACTTAACTTAACAAAATATTCTTGTAAAACTACAGTATTTATGAAGAATTAAGATCTGACTGATCAAAAGTATCACCTTAAGAGTTAACCCAGCTGTATGGGGAGGAAAACCTGAAGTGGAGGGAGAGCACGGTAGTTGGGGAGATGCAAATGTTGTTTTGAATAGGAAACAGAGTCAAGTATGGATTAATTGTTGAGAGGTAGAGACAAAAGAAGAGGAGGAGGAAGAGTCACAGACAGACTGGCGACAGTTTACAATAGGCAAAAGTGCATGTGTGTGCGCTGTACATGTGATTTCTCTTTGTTTTAAATGGGGGGCAGCTTCATTGGGAAGGAGAGCGGCAGTGTCTGGCCTGTCCCGCAGCTGATAATGATTTTCATTTGCGGTACTTTTCTCAGTGGGCAGCTGCTTCTACTTAAAGAGGACAGAGTTTTCTGCTCGCTCAGAATTCCTGCCCCGCAGCACCGGGATCATGTCCTGTTTGGACGACGTGCATCAGTGTTAATAACAACACGTGGGAGTATGAGTGAGGGGATGTAGCTATGAGCGGATGCATGCGGGCAAAGAAGAGAGCGAAAAAGGGGGATTTATTAAATTGATGGTCAATTAGGGCTCATAGTACAATCATTCCAGTTTTTATGTGGAAGGATGAGCCTAATGATGATGTAAGTTCCCGTTGTCTTGTATTTCAGTCCCCAGTGGTGAAGGCTGAATTAGTTTGATGTTCATAAAAACACAGGTGGCCTGTGTCCTCATGGCTCAGTTATGATAACCTGATTATAGCCTCAGTCACATGAGACCTACTAATAAGAGAAAGCAGAGCAAAATCCTGACAGCTCTCTCTGTTTTTGCTGCTCCTTCTCTCTCTCTCCAGCTCCACAACTTAGGTCCCAGCAGTATTGGGGAGGCTGAGCTTCAAGTCGGCTGGCCTTCTCGTTTCCGTGATGAGAACCTGCTGTATGCCATGGAGATTCAAACTGACGGTCCAATTAGCTGCCAGACAAACACCAGCCTTAACCCGCATGGACTTCAGGTAACATGAACATTTACATGCATGTGCACAAAAAACTATCTCAAGATCCACACATGGATGCATAACCTGCAATGACATGTTTCCACTAAAACTCATTGTACAAATTGCTTTCACAGTTCTATTTATAGCACTTCTTTATAGCCGTTTATTCATTCATCAGTTTCTCCATTAGTCGTACCCATTTATTTGAAACATGATTGTACTTACTGAACAAGCATGGTCTTTGCCAGTTGGCTCTAAACAAGACGGAAAGATTATTATGGTTTTAGCTGAGTTGGAAGAGTTTCCATGATCGATGATAGAATCTTTAGTGTAATTCAGAAAGAAAACATGCATTCCTTTGTTCAAAAAACTGTTTTATTACACATCATCACGAGCCTCCTGAAATAATCAGATGTGAAGTGGAGACCTACAAACAAAAATCAGACATAAATTTGTAGGGGGTTTTTTTGTGCAAACGTTTGACACAGTAGATTATGTTCTTTATACTTCTTCTTTAATGCCTCAGACATAGTAATCCAGAGTAAATCAGTCAGTCAGTTCGTGCTAAATAAGCTGTGAAGTGAACATTTCTGTGGTCTGTTCCTCACTTATTGCCAAACCTGCTCGAGGAAAAGAAAGGAGGAAAAAGTATTGTTGTGCCCTCTGAAAATAGTTGAGAGAATTCAGTGATACTAGTTGTTGGCTTTTTAAAACATTCGAATGATTATATCAAATATCTGGCCTGCATTCAAAGCTGAGCACCCCGAGGAAAAAAAAATCAAATCTGCCTGTTATCTGAGATTTGAGGACACTTGCGTTATTTGCTCTTGCTGGTTATCAGTCTTCTCTTTTTGTCAGTGTGTTTAAAGGAACAGGATATTGAATCTCCTCAAATCCAACTTTAGAAAAAAAACACACCTTGATGGATCTCAAAATAACAGGTGGATATATTGCAGCTTTTCATCAAATCTGCTCGGATCATTCTCAGTGGCTGACAAGGCTGCTTCACGTGCATCACAGACCTCGACAGAGCTGCCCATATGTGTCCATGAAATGCCCTGATGGAAAATGTCTTCAGAATGCATGGGGTTCAGGCCCGAGAGCAGCTGTCATCTCTGCTTCCTCGGCTTAGATTTGCAAACCTTACTGTATATTCTCGAAGAAACCTGATCAATTAACTTTGGTTAAGTACGTTTGGTTTGATGGAAAAATTTGTTGACACATTGCTCTTGTTCTACTCCTGTCGGCTTCAGATCTCAGCTCTCCAGGACACACCTGAGTTGCTGGGTTTCTTGAGAAATGCGAGCACGCCTCCTCGCCGCCACAAACGGTCTGTCAGCATCGCCGAGAGCTACAGCAGTAAGACCTTGGTGAGCCGCACGCATGTGCTCCTCGAAAAAAGACAAGCCAAGGCCAAATGTTCATTAGAGATTCACAGGTGTCTGATGTCTTTCCTCTCACCCACCATGTGCAGAACTGCACCAACATATCCTGCCTGAGGATCATGTGTGTGGTTGGCCGGTTAGATCGAGGACAGAGCGCCGTGGTTAAGATCCGATCCAGACTCTGGGCACACACTTTTCTGCAAGTCAGTGTCTTTGCTGAGTGATGATTATGTGGTTTTCTGCCTTCATTAATTGAACTATTTTAGCAGTGTATTTGATTTACAAGCAGCTTAAATCTAAAAAAGTTATAATAAGGCATTTGATGGTAAAGCATCCTTCAAATTTTATTTCAAAGCGACGTAACGACCCCTACATGCTCAACTCCACTGTGTCCTTCATGGTTACATCTGTGCCCTATCGCATCCAACCTGCAACTCTGCCTCAACACAGAATCTCGGTAAGTACAAGCGAGCAAAGAATGATCAGCGCTCGCATCTGAACCCTGAAATAAACCCTGAAATGCTTCGGTCCTGCATTGTTTTTCTGCAGCTGGGAACTCTGGTGTTATGGGGGACCCCCGACGTGTCATTTGCAGTTCCACTCTGGGTCATCATTCTGGCCATACTGCTCGGGCTGCTGGTACTGGCCATACTGACATTAGCCATGTGGAAGGTACAAAAACACACACTCTTGATGCATGTTACAGTATTCTATACATTCTATAATAATTCATAATAATATTTTCCTTCCAATACTTGATTAATTTGTTACTGTCAATCCCCCAGTGTGGTTTCTTTGATCGGGCACGGCCACCGGCTGATGATGACGTTTCTGACCAGGAGAAGTTGACGTCTGATCAAACAGGGGATGCCTAAAGACACAAATTGAAGCGTCTGATTGGAAGTATGTGCCTTGGGAAGGATGTGCACTTCTGAATAACTTAAATCAGATCTGGGATCTGTGCTATTTGGACCAACCTTTATGGAAGGAGGACTTCTGCCGTTTTGTGGACAAAACTGACTGAAAGCCAAGACTGCTGCGCCACACATCCTGGGACCAGAACAATCAGGTTCACAGCGGACAGCGGGGGACTAGCACAAAAAACAAGCTAAATCACACACACGTGTCCATTGTTCATAAATAGCAACAAAGCACCAGAACTGAAGAAGTGGACTTTGTTGGAAAAGCATTGCTTTAAATGTTTGTTGTTTCCATGTGTCTTTGTCAAGGCAACACAAAGAACCTTAATATCTATGCACAAGTGCTTCTGTGAGTTTTGGAGTGTTTGAGGGTGTGTGCAAGCCTGCAGGAGAACATGCTTTCACTGTATGGGATTAGTAGGTGTCACTGTGTTTCAGGTGTTTTGTCTTTCATCCACAGCTTGATTTAGTCTATTCCTGTTCCCTTCATCCCAGGCAGTGTACTGTAAACTTCTTACACACATGCAGTTAGATGCTTAAGCAAAGTGGCACAAAGTCAAAGTGTATATTTATGGATGTATGTGCAATATTTGAGCGTCGTGTGAAACTGAAGCTTGTTGTTACACTGGCACTATTTTATTAGAGCTTCATGTCTCTGTTGTTTTTGTATATACTGTAAGTGTTTGAATGGTATATTAGATAATTGATACTGCTGAAAAACAAAGCATATTAAGGTTGATTTATCCCACCAAATAACTTTTGACAGAACCAAAGGGATGATACCAATAACAAATGAATAACTTATTATAGCCTTATTATGAATGTGGGATTTTATATTTGAGTAAATACACCTTAACTTCACAGTTAAAAGCCCCTGCTGCTTGTATAAGTTTCACCTGTTATTGCCTTTGATAGGGATGGGTAATGAGACCTTAAAAAGCTGCCTGCACCGAACAGTGCAAGTTGACACCAAAACACCTAGTTCAAGATTGGTTAGTCAGTGCTCAGTGTTCATGTTATCATGAATGCATCGTGTTATTTCGTGTTATTTGAATGCATCACTCATCTTGAATGCATCATGAACAGGCAGGCGCAACAAAGGGGTGAAGGCATCAGCGCTGCATTCAATGTAAAGCAAAACCTTAAAGTGTAATATTTGAGTTCTTAATTTTGTCAAGTTTTGTCCGAATAAAGGGTTGTTTGGTAAATGAAATTGTGCTTATGAAGTCACTCAGCTTTATGTGTTGGTTATGATCTCATTTAAAATGTCCTCGCACTGTCAATTTGCATAATGTACAAATCTTGCATGATGATAATGTTTAAATACAATATTTAGCACTCTTGATAATGCACATGTGAACTTTTAGCTTATGTTATGTAACAGATGTCATACACTGATCATACAGATCACAAATGTCACCATGACATTAAGTTTAGCAGTTTTCATCGTACAATGTTCTGCTGGGAAAACCTTGATCTTCCCTTGTATTTCACTGTGACACCTACTTAAATGTTTCTGCAGATCAGTCACCCCTCCACACATGTGGAGTATGCTAGTCTGCACTGAGAATAGCAAAAACAGTTTAGGAAGGGCTACTAGCCATGCCAAAGAGCCTGAGGTTTCCCCTGACTTCTAAGCTTTCCAGAAACCAATCTGATAGGATCTGATAGCATCTATGGCAAGCAAGCCTAACAAATGAACACCCTGTCCACAACCCACAGGAGAGCACACCATTGCTCTATACCATGTTAGACAGACCATATGTTTTGGCCGACACCTCAAAAAGCAGGCTCTTGCTCCCCCTGGCATTGGAAGGTAAAATGAAACCTTAATCGTGTTGAGCAGAACACCTTTTTCAAGGCGGAGCAGCACCATCCTGTGGTCCCAATGTGAACAACGTTGTGAGCCAGGCAATTTAAGCAGGCAAATACAAGACATGAATACGGCTGAAAAGATGTTTGGGTTTCTACAAAAAACTCTTGGATATAATATTTTTTAGACATTGATTGTTGCTGGTGTCAGTTATTTATTGTTAAAAAATGTTGGTGAATCAGACTAATATAGCTGCAGAAATTAGAGACTATTTTATCGGATCAATAACTATACAGGATTATGAAGAGAACAGCTCAAAAACCGAATCTACCAACACTTTTGACAGTCACCTTTGTTTCAGGAACAGGCAAAAATCCATCCATTCATTTTCTATATCACTTATTCCCAACAGTGTCACTGGGGGGTGGAGCCTATCCCAGCTGACAAGGGTCAAAGGCGAGGTATACCCTGGAAAGGTGGCCAGTCTATTGCAGGGCTACACAGAGACAAACAACCACAAACACTCACATCCACTCCTAGGGGCAATTTGGAGTGAAAAGCATCTGAGGAAATGAAGACCCGCAACATTACTCTTTAGACTCTTTATTTCTTTGAATATATTTCATCAATGTAAAATCAAACATTTGAAGAAAAGATTTAACAGTTTCTGACTAGCAAACCTTGACACCATCAAAAAAGGGAACATTATTGGTACTTACTACATACCCATACGCATAGGACATACTTTTTTTTTTATCCCAAGATTTATCCAAATAGACTCAAATTACAAAAGATTTTGTGTAGTCTTCGACTCCCATATATTCCTGGATTTTTGAGCTGGTGGAAAAGAAAACATTTTGGGAGAATCAGTGTCCTGTGTATCTGTCAAATAAAAGATGACATATTATCTTAAATTAGATGTCGCTTTAAAGGTCTATACATGGGGAACAATGTTTCTCCTCTTCATTGGCAATAAAGTCAAACCAACAGTAGAATGGAAGACTTTGGCTATTTACACATTTCTGAGATCTTGTACAGTTAAAGTACAATTATTCTCAATTATGCTGTACATTACTTCTGTGTATGAGTCACACTAAAACCCCCACACACTTACACCCACATGTCAAAGTGCAATGCCTAACATCACCACAACGCAGACCTTGTATGTTGTCATCAACAAATAATAGAAGGCTGTCAAGATCAGTTTTAGGGACCAAGATTGAATACATATAAGACTGAAAAGGTCCAATTGCTCATACATAGAATTCCCAGTTATATCTGTATATCTTTTTCCTAATAGGACCATCTCTTGACAGCAAGTAAATTCTGTGCGCCTGCTGTTGTGTAAAATATTTGCTCCATTCAATTTATTGTACAAACAGCTGAGAAGAGATGTGATTAACATGGATTACTGTGTGGGTCTGCAAGGTTTTTAAGAATTAAGCTGTTAACATATCTTTATTCATGACAGAAAATTCCAAAAGTTTCAAATCAACACAAATATACGGATAAGTGCTGTATGTTGTTGCAACACTTAATCTAATTGTTGTGTGAGGGTTATGAGAAATGTAGAAATGCAGGCCATCATTTGAATGATGACACACACTCGGGTGCCATAGAGGATCGAAATGTATCAATGTACAGCAGAAAAAACAAATCCCTTATTATTAATCATTTATAAAATATACTGGGTGTATCATTTAAGGTTATTTTATATATATATTTATATAAAAAGAAGAAACAAAATAAACAATTGTAACGACCATTGTTTAAAATGGAAATGAATGAGCTTAGGGCTGGAGAAGTCGAGGTAGACCAGGGATTTGTTAACAAAAAGATCAATATTGAATAACCAAAGATCCGGTTAAAAGTGTATGTAGCCTCTTAATCTGATGCCTAAAAGTGAAAAACCAATCAAGATTGCTTATCTCTACCACCAACAAATGTGTGGCATCAACAGGCTTCTATATAAAAAGAATTGACTTTTCACATGAAGTACTAAGTCAATATTTCATTAATGTAGGCTACTTGGCTAAACTCCTTCCTTCTAAACAGTATGATACTGGTGCTTTGGAAAACAATTACTTGGCAAATATTGAATCTCATGGGGAAGCAAACTTTAAAGTTTGAAGTGACATGACTGGGAGTCTATAGCCCTTTTCATTCCAGAAAACAAGCATTATTTCTCTTTCTTTTTAAGAAATTTGTCATTGGCGTCATATAGTTCTAGGTCAGATGAAACCACTGTAGTCACAAGTGTACATTTATTCTTATTGACTCCTAGGTCTGTGACATATTGGAAACAGGACACAGAGCTGGGTGGAAATGTTTTGCTCTACACTGTGAAATTAGTATAAAGGTATTGATGGTTTGTGTCACCATTGCAAGCCTCAGTGAAAATGTGTCTAGTTGAAAAAGATCACATGCATGCTAACTGTTGCTGAGTGTAAAGGTTACTGGAGTGAGGGACACGTTTTTTCCTGTCAGGAGATTCAATCTCCAATGAGTTGAATTTGTATTGATTCACAAAAGTTCATTTGGTCATGACATGTCAGAAGAGAGGGGAATTCATCTGTCTAGTAGCGCTTCTGTTCCTTCACTTCTTTTAACAAATTCATAATCAAATGACAATTTGACTGGATTCAAGTGTTAACAGTAAGCAAATGTTTCATTCTCCCAAATATTTGAATACTTATGAAAGAACACATGAAATGTGTTTGATTTATTTTGTCTCTTGACATAGATTATTTTTCTGAAGACATTAACATCTCAATTACTATCAGATTAAGAGAGATTTGGAGAACGTTGTGCATGCAGATATTTAGCCATGGCTAATAACATGGCTCAACTCCATCTCCATTAAGAAAAAGAAAAATGCCCATGTCTAAATAACAAACTCCAGGCTTCTTAAAGCCAGATTACTAGTTCACAAATTATTTGGTGATGACACTCTGTCCATGTCTTCATGAATTATAGAAATTCTGGGACACTGGTCATTTTTTATAATATGATCTCCACGTTTAATTGATTTGTCTGCATCATGGTGACATTTCAAATCTGTATTGAAAAATGTTGTTTAAGAAAGTACAAGCACAGGGCAGGTTAAGAAACAGAAAATGGCTATTGAGACCAACAGTAGCTGTACTTTGTTACAGGTGAGGCTATAAGATCACACAGATTAGGAGAACAGTCAAAGGGCAGTGTTTAGCCTGAGCAGTCACACACAAACAGAACAGTCGTATTACTTGGTTTACAATAAACACCTTTCCGGAGTTTAATGGCTATAGAGATAAACTGCAGTCCATTTCCACGCATCCTGTTATTTACCAGGCCAAATCAATGCGGAGAGAGCCAAATTATGCTTAAATTCCCAAAGAGTGAGAGCACATTCATGAACATTAGGTCAGTACCAGAGCTGGGACTAAACAACAGTAGACGTTGTTGGTATCCGGTGAGTCAATGGAATGATTGCAGAAGGAGGCGCTGTGGCACAGAGAGTACATATGCTACATAAAGGATAGAATACACACTGTACACTTTCTAAGATACAATTTACTGTACATGATCGACACTAGTTAACTCCGCATCTCTGTCTGTCTTTGAATAGTAGCTCTATAAATCATCAAAAAATAAAGTCTGCCAAATGTCCATTTACATTCCATAATGTTTTCTCTCAATGATAAAAGTGTAGGACATGTGATGCTTTGAGCAACAGTCTGTAATTCTCATTATAACTAACAGCTCAGGGAGAGGGACACCATTGCTTCTGATCTCCATCTGGATGCTCCATCAAAGTGCTGCTTTTCATAACACAAACATACACATGGCTGTGGACATGCACACAGGTTCTAAGTCCTAGACACACACGCATGCACGCATGTACACACACGCACAGATACAGGTTGTTCCTGAGTATGAACTATATAAGTTTTCTTTTCTCTAAGAAAGAAATCACATTTACACAAATCTAATAGAAATAAAGACTAAGTAGCTCTGAGATATCAGGTATGGACTTTTTAAATGCTTCCCATTACTGGGTTTAAATGTAATGTGTTCCAATGCATGTGCCACATACTCTGTATATCTAAATCTGAAGTCTAAATCAACAGGAATCTCTCAAGTTCTTTGTGAGTCTACTGATAAAAACACTTTTTTTCATAGTCTATGGGAGTGGTTGAACAGTCTTTTATGCTTGGAAAGTTTTCCAGATCACTCTTGAAATATCCAATAATAAAAGCAAAACAAATGTTATATAGGAGCCCAAGTGGGGACTTTACTCTTATCCTCTCCATTAGCATGGGACACCAAAAGCAATGCTCTATCATTGTCACAGTTGCACTATTTTCAATTAAAGTGGATATTTCTAAGCACAATACACCTTTTTTCATCAATTCTGTGGCTATTTTCTCCCTTTTTCATAGTTTTAAAGTGTTAACTTTCAAAAGACTGCCCATATTTCCAAAACTGGCATGAAACAGCACAGTGAGTTTTCGCAAAGTTGGAAATTAAACCATTGTGAATCTAGATCACGCTGCTTTAAATGTGACTACCATCTCAGTTTATTTTTTGTATTGTTAAGTTCATATAAAGTTCTCCTACCACCTTTCTTTGACCTTCTAAACACACTACATTTGAATACATATTGAATTTCTTCAATAGAAAGGTCTATTCAAAGGGTCTATTCAGAATAAGGTGGCAACACTGTCCAGCCAGAAAACATGTAATAAGTGTGCTTGTCCAATATGCAGTAATATTTCAGTTCATGCGGCGAACTGTGAAAAAAGAGAAATTTCACAAGGAGTGTTTTTTCTTTACAGAAGTGCTCACATAATATGATGATGATTCTGATTAATAATTCATTTAAATGTATATAAAAGGCCATCATATAAGCCTTCTAATAATGAGAAGGGGCATTTAAAAAATTAAAGAATTGTGAATGAGGCAGTAGAATGGCAAGTCTTAGAGCATGTCAGTGTCACAAATGTCTATGAAATAGCCAAGTCAGCAATAGGCAATTGTGGAAACAACATCATCACACTGACATGCTAACAACTAACAACATCTGCGTAATAAAACAGGGCACTGTTCCTTTATTTGGGACCCTGCAACATGCTGCATTCTGGACAATCACACATATTTCATGTTTTGAGATCATTTAAAATTATCTCTTTTACTATTGCAGTGGTAAGGCTGAACTCACTTGGATTTGACTAAACTTATTCAGCAGTATAAGATAGAAACATCTTGATTTTTCACCATTTGCATTGATCTAAAAAATCTGTGCACAGGAACAAGAACCAAGACAAATGTAGAATGAAACATGATGGTATCAAGGCAAGGAAAACTAAGGAGGAATTGACCCATATACAACCGCTATCACCCACATATTAAAAAAACACTGCATCGTATTTAGTATCATTTTCCCAGCATACTCTTTCCATGTATCACAAACAGCACATGCTTGACCTCATGAGTCACTATCGAGTGGTTACATTCACACCTTTTCAGTCTTGATTTGCATGTCATTGACTGGGTTCACAGCTTCTAGCATCACAAACACCTTAAATCCTTTCTCTGTTTTACAGTCACAAAGAAGTACACTCACAGACCAACACTCATTCTTCCACACCGACATCAAGGAACAAGGCCACCTGCAGCAGCTCACTCATTCATAACGACATCAAATGAAAGATAATGATACAGAAATCAAACTGTGACAGATACACGAGACAGTACAGCTCACAGCCATGATTGTTGTCATGGAACCTACCCTCATGTCCCCACAGAGTATTCGTGAAACAAACTCAGTCCTGTACACTGACATCGTGTCTGTGCTTGATCATGATATAAGAGAAAAGGTTAAGAGGTCTGCATGTGTAAGTCCAAGCCCCATGACAAAGGGAGATCCAGCTTGTGGTATGTAACACTCTGTCTTTTAGGTTTCTGTCTTGCCATTCATACTGAACATTCACACTGCATTCGTTTTTGCTTTTAGCATTGATTGCACTGCTCCTTTGTGTGATACCACTTATGAAGGTGCTCTGCTGTACTTCATCATAGACTAGTGCGAAAGAAAAGAACCATGAAAATACTGCACAATCTCAGTCTATACTACAGTTTTCAGGATAGAATGAAACGAGAGAAGCGGAATAGAAAGCAAACCACAGGTGTGTGCAAGTTCTCTTAACAATTCACTCTTTTCTTCAAGCATCTTTCACTCCCAGCGCTGGAGTGGCCTTCTATGCTAATTTTGACCTCCTGGGGGATGAAGGAGGGTTTGGGCAGAGTCACAGGAGGCTCTTCCTCAGCTCTCTCAGTCTGGTCCCTCTCTGGTGCTGACCAGCGTCTCTTACGAGAAGAAGGCTTCTCGGCATCAATACAATGTAGTTTGGAAAGGGCAGACATGTCTGTTTGAATGGACTCCGGTCTTACTTCTCCAGACCCTGGCACGGACTGCATTGGTCCAGCTCTGTAGATTCCCTCTGCCTGTCCTGGTACTGGTCCCAGTCCCACTGGTAGCGCTACCCCTCGTCCCTGACCTGTAACCTGTTGCCTCTCCATTTGGTCTCCACTGGAAGCCTTTATGAGGAGACCATTGTTGTTGCCCAAAGCGTTGGGACTTATACTGTTCCTCATATTGGGATCCATGTTATGAGAGGGATCAGAGAGGTGACCAGTCTTCAGCTTGGTCCCCAAAGCCTGATTGTCTGTAAAAGATCCATTCCTTAAGCTGCGGAGGGTCAGTGACACACACACATCACCAACACACAGCTTGGCACAGGACAACTCAAAAAGCTGCGTGGTCCGGTCAGGGCAGCAGGACGACCAGCCCTGGCCGAAGACAAAGAAAGGATATTCCACCAGCACCTCCACACATACCTGGACAGGAGCATATGCATAGGAGATAGAGTTAGAAAAAATAACAACTTAAAAACTGGATTTTGTCAACGGAACAAAAAGATTCAGACATTAAACTTGGAACAGAGCAGGCGCAAAAAATGTATAAACATCCAAATTTTAATTTGGGGCCCTCATATTGTGCATTTAACACTCATGTTCTTAACATTCATGTTACGAATGCATAATAGTCTGGGTAGCTACCTCATTAAAACAGTTTGGATACAACAGCAGAAATGTATACTGTGTTGTCAAGACATGGTGCTCTTTAGTGATTCCCAAACCTCATCATGTAATTGTACCTGTCTCTGATTTCCATTCAGATTTGCAGCCATTCACTAGAGTAGACTCTCCTCAAACTATATAAAAATATCTTGATTGAGAAAGCAACAGTGTCAAAAAGTGCATTATCAAATGTGAAAATAAGGCAGTCTGTGAAGCAGACCTTTATTTAATGGGCCTATTCTGGATTCTGGAATTCCAAAAAGAAAGAAAAGTGCTGAAGGGGAGAGAAAAAAAGTGATATGTTCTGCAAAATCAGGCCAATAGACCCAGGCTGATGTTTGAAAAGGAAAGATAAAAGAAAAAATAAGAAATGGGTGGATTACAAATGAGAGACAAAAAAAGGTTGATCAGCATACACAGTCAGCATTTTGGCTACAGCTGACGGAGTCCCTCAGAGAGTTTAAGAACAGCCTCTGAGAGCTTCAAAAAGCAAATGAGCCAGCTACCATCTTGTGCATGAAGATCAGGATCATCTACAGTTAAATCATGTTGGAACCTGAGCAGCCATTATAATGGATGGACTGTTACGCACAGCTCCATCCATCCAGTTTCAAATAACGACCTAATCTAATTAATCTCACATCCCTAAATTATTTCAGTGGAAGATTACTGTGTAAAACTTTAGACTAAAAACAGTTTTAAGCTTTTCTGAAATAGAGTCATAATCAGAGAAACGCTGTGAAATGTCTTTCTTTGGAAAGATTGGGCTCTCAATACTCACAAATTCATGCTTTTCAAAGTCTCATGCCAAAAATCAATTTTCTCCCTCCAGATTAAGCTACTTTTCAGACTCCCACTGTGGCTTTCTTTAGAAAGAGTTGCAACCGATTTAGCTACTTATAGGACAAATGTACCAAATACTGTCTGTCAATAGCAATGGTGACCTTTCCTCTGCTCCTTTAAAAGAAAGGTCTTGCACATTGACTCTCTGTCGCTCCTGTTGTGTGCTAGGAGTCTGTAGACTGTGAGAAAACCCTGAACATATATGGTATATGTTGTGATTTTTCCCCAAAAATTTTTGAATATTTCTATGTTAAAAATACTGAACAGTACTTTCAAACAATAGAATATTATCATCTCAAAATTATCTACATCTTGTCTGGATTTATTATTAAATCAAAATCAGCTTCAAACTTTGATAGTGTATAAGATACATTAAAATCTACTCTGTGAGATGGAGTGAGTTTGGAAGAATTTTCAAAATTGAGAGTTTTCTATATTATCACTGGGGGGAGCCAAAGACTTGAATTTTCAAATTGTACACAATACTTCAAATCGAACACCAAATTAAAAATCATTACGAATGTTAATCAGAAATGAACTTACCTGGGCTTTGAGTTCTCCCACAGAAAACTGTATGACAACAGCATTTGGACTTTGCCCACTGTCGATGCGCTCCACGGTGCTGGAGTCAATTTTCAGCTCACTGCTGATCTCAGCACTCTGAATAAAATCCTCTGTCTTGAGGTCCTCCACACGCTTTAGCTCTCCATCAGCCAGCTGGATAATAGAGCCTCGCATGAAGAATGGAGGAAGTGCCACGGGGGACGAGGAGGAAGGAACCGAGGGGGGGGCCTGGACGGGAGCGGGAGCTGGAGTGGGAGCAGGGGATGGAGCCGCCACCACAGCGGGGACAGGGTTTGAGGGCAGCGCTGGCAAGGCCGGAGTCTGTGCCACAGCAGGAGGTGGTTGGTTTCCATCTGGTCCAAGCGCCTCACACTTGGACAGGGCTGTGGCCAGATAGGCGTGTGGCATGGCGGTGGATATTTGAGGGGTAGTGGTGGCAGTCAGGGCGCTGACAGTGCGGCTAACTTCCATTTCTGTGCCGTTATTGGCGCTGCTGACAGGGATGAGAAGGGACTGCCCACTTGGGATGACCAGGTGCTGGGGCAGTGCAGCATGATAGCTGACGGCATGCTGGTTTGTGCTGGTGATATAGCCAAAGATAGGTGACTGTGTGGAGGAGTACAGGTTGGCTGGTAGCTCCTCGTGGGGTAGGGTGGTCTGGATGACAGTCTGAGGAGCAACAGACTTCAACACCTCAGAGGAAGAAAGCGAAGTGAAAGAGGACGCTCTAGACACTGGTTTCCCCAAGCAGATGCTTCCCTTCTCGGTTTGGATTAGGGAGATTTTATTTGAGCCATGGTCATGCTCAACTGAGTGGTTGGGCTGGGCCACAAGCACATAGGAAGTCTGTAGCCCTGCAGGGTTTTGGCCATAGTCCGCAGGTAGGAGGATATGCCTGGCTTCATAACTCTGGAGCTGCTGCTGATTTGTTGGCTGACCTGAGGCTTTTGCCTGTTTTCCCACCTCCAATTCCCCGTTCAGCATACCCTTAGCGTGCCCCTCTGGTTTCTTTCCTGCTGAACCATCTGCATACTGAACCACAAGCTGGGACGGAGCAAGTGTGAGTGTCTGTGGGAGGACAGCTGTGTGAGGATGGAGCTGAAGGTGGGCAGTGGGTGATGTCACAGCGTTGCTGCTGACTGTCAGAGGTGTTCTGCCATCCAGATGGATGTACTGACTGGTGACTTGAGGAGAGCTCGGAAGCGACACAGGAGCCAGCTCTGTGGGGGAGAGACCTATCTGAAACTGCTGCTCACCTTTGGTGTTGGGGGAGACGAGGGCAGTGGTGTAGCCGTCTATGTGGGGACGCTGTCCTACTATGGCAGAACTGTTCGGAGCAGAACTACTGTTAGTTGAGATGATATGAGAGGAGATGTATCCAGCGTAGGGTCCAGAGCTGATGAACTGCACATTGGGTCCCAGCTGAGCAAGCTGGATGGTCCCAGCTTGCTGGGGGAGGGCAGTTTGGTACACTGCAGGCAGAGAGGCCAGAGGAACTGCTGATAGGGTAGCCGCTGGGGATGGAATTGGTGTGGAGGGAGAAGAGGATGAAGTGGAGATGACATCACATCTAGGGCTCTCTGCCTCTCTGGACCTACAGCGTTCACTTGCAACACTGGCTAACCATGCTAAGTTTTCAGTATGGGGACTATCGGCAGCCACTGCAGCAGGAGGAGTTGCTGTAGCTACTACTACTGGCCTCTGCTCCAGAGCCAGGATTTCACGCTTCTTAGGAGGCAGGCATCCATTACTTCGCTCTTGATTGGCTTTCATTGTGCAGCTGTAGACTCAATGTTTCCTCAAATATTTCTATGCTCCTCCAAGGCAACTTCTTCAAGCACGAACCTCCACTCACTGGTTTTGGGCAGGGAACGGCCTCTCCGTGCTCTCTGTGTCGCTGAATTCTTTTTGTGTTCCCTACTGATGGCATCCAGGTCTCAAAGAGAGGATGGCATTACTCCAGCTCACAAAATGAGCTTCATCAACTTCATGAGGAATCATCTCTGACCAATTCCCCTCTTCCACAATGTTGACAGGAATCTGGAGGCAGAAGGAAGGAAACATCGTTCTGTCATAAAATGTGTATTAAACCATTCAACTGGAGTATCAATAGACAGGGTATACACATAATGTAGTAAAGTCCCATCAGTCTCATTTTGTTGTAGAACAAACCCACAGAGAACAGACGGCTCGCCCTTTCAAAATATTCAAACAGATGTTTGAATGCAAAACAGCAAAGATGCTTAAATTTTGTAAATAAGTCAGGCTTTTGTAGTGTCATTTTAAATTGTAGCCACTAAATGACAAAACCAGGATTGCTGGACTCAAAATACATCAATCCCACTGATTTCAGGCACATAGAAAGCTCAAACGATAATGCACTGATCTTAGCATTATCGTTTGTGTTACACGGGGAAAGCTATTCAGCTTTGCTAATGGCTGCTCTTGCTTGAGCAGGGCACATGTGTATTTTGTTTACCCCACAGCACTTCAACATATTTTAACAATTTAATTCTGGTTTAGCCTATTTTAATAGCGTGTCAAAGTTCAAGGGAATTCAGCATGGACAACAAACAATGAATGTGTGTGTGGTTTGGTTTGGCAGGAGGAAGAAGGCTGGGGGTTTAATGTGGGGGTGAAACAAAATAATAAAGAAATGATGAGGGTAGAGGAAATTTGGATTATATTAGATTTGATAAGATAATTACAACTTTGTTTAAAAACAGCAGCATCCACTGTATCAGTTGGGAATGGAGATACTGAAACATGCAGAAAACATGAAGCTGTGTACTAATATTTTGTGCATAATTACGCTTTACAGAAGGGAAAATGTTCAGAGTATTAATCAATTGTAAGAAACGTTTCATTCTTTTATGTTTCTTGAGTCTTTTTTTATAGTTTCCCTCACAAAGTGACTGTTATTTCATGCAGGCTTATCTGTGGGTCACTGCACAGGACTCTGAGTTGTACATTAGCCAGAGGCACCTCTGAAATGGACTGTATGGCACACAAGTAGACATCCCTCCATTCATTCTTCTTATCAAACATTCAATTTAAGGGGGTGTACAGTGGGATTTGATAATGCTGAAGTGCATTTGCACCAAAGGTTTACTACAGCAGGCGACCGCAGACATATTACATAAAGAGGGGGGGTGGGTTGTATAGAAGGCGACCTTGGTCATTCTCTATTTAGACCTCCTCTAACACTGGTTTTGACAAGGTCACTGCATTCAAAAGCAGCGAGAACCTCTGCTCGATTTTCAACAGGGTAGATTCACTAGATGGAACAGAGGAGGAGAGCAACAGAGATGGGGAAAAACAACCACAGCAATAAGAGCATGAAAGGAGGGAAAGCAGAACTACTGAGACAAGCATAGGGGAGCAAGAGAAAGAGGGGAAATGATTAGCAATGGAGAGGTAATACAGAAAATTGGAGAAAAGGAAAAGAGAGAGCGCTGCTTCTCCTGACCCACATTGAGCAGCGCCTGCAGCATCAGAGCGCCATTGCCCCCACCTCACTTAGAGATCCCCGATCAGCAACACAGCCGTCGCTACAGTCTGAGCTACACTGTGCAGCATCGCTCTGTAGCAACAACCCCACCTCAGCAACACCGTGTCAACACTGTAATGACATCACATCTGAAGCACAAGGACCTCCTATCCTTTAAAGCAGCACTGGGGGGACAAAGCCAGCGTGTGCTGATTTTGTCGTGGAAAAAGCACGGCACTAGTTTGAGCAGACCACACAAACAGGAGGGTGTCACTCCTGGACACAGTACACACGGCTCAGCAGCCAAAAGCCCCCCTAGATTTCCTGGTGTCAGTCTATAATTAGAGTAGTGGCACCAACAAATATAAGGCTGATGCGATACCAGGGAGAACAAAGGAGATCTTTCAAGACACGGCTGTCAGAGCGAGCCCCGCAGCTTGTGAACCCGTGCAAGTCCCCGCACTCAGGACTGACACCTCTAAGAGATGTGTGTGGGGATGATAACATAGTGAGAAGGGGACAAAAAGCGCTCTGTTCGCCTCATCAGGCTGATGCTCTTCAGCTCAAACGGTGATGGAGGCAGCCTAATGTGACATCCCTTTTCCATACCCGTAACCAAAAAGCTGCACAGCTTTGCGGGCTTGAGCGGTGGTGTGTCTCCACCGTCACTGTATGAGGGAGATTATTTCACTTAGCCTTGTCTCTGCTGTCTCCAGGTAAGGGACCCCCCCTGCGGGGTTACATATCCTTATGCTGCAGTTGCCAACTCCTCCAATCCCCTACCACTTCTTCCCCTGCCAAAACCCTGAGTCTTCTCTCATGCTTCCAGACCCACTATTTACTCCGCGTATTGATTCCTTGCTTCACAGCAATAACAATTCTCTGCAGCAGAATAATGCAGTAAGGCATCAGGAATATTTATCTAGTGGCACTGTACAGACATTGCTTTCTACAAAGTATATCCATACAAAAGAAGCTAATTTCATGACCTCGAGGTAATAGACCTGTTGTCAAACCAGATAGAAGTCATTGTTCACCTGCTAGACCAATCATAGACACACAGTGAAAACCCTGTGCAGCAAATTGCTATATATAGAAAACAAAAACATCATTATCAATCTGAGCTCTGGCATGAAACAGAGGGGTAGGAACTGCTGAGGACAATATGTACATGTATGATTCACTACACATAGATAGGACCTAACCTCACAAACAAATCTGCTTTCAGCACCAGAGAGCAAATTGATACAATATATTGTGTTTTTTTTAATCTAATATTCACAAGAGACATTTTTCATCCCCTTTTCTGTCCAACATTGGTACCTGTGCCTTTAAGAGGCGGACCGACCGTGTGGCAGCAGACAGTGAGAACAGGCACTGGGGTTCAGGCTGTTTGTCTTCACAATGACTCCAGAGTTCTGCATCACTGCTTGACACACTCTGATCACACCACATAACAAGCAGAGACGTCCATACGCGCGTCCCCTCTCAGCGAGCACAAACAAACGGGCTCAGAGCGGTTTAATGCTGCTGCTGGGACTCTGTACAGATCAGGGGACAGATGATGGGACTCTTGTCACAGGGGGCTTAACAGCCCGTCCGCATGAGTGTAGTAGCAGGGCAAAATTACTACTATGCCACAAATCAGGAAGAAAAGAGACACCCCCTCCCCCATACAACCCCCCCTCCCTCCCTCCCTCCTATGGTTAAAGTACTAATAATAGCTCACCAGTCTCTCAACAGCCACTGCTTGCAGAGCATATCCAAGGATTCTTCCTTCCTGTCAGTATGTGTGTCTGTGTGTTGCAGACGTGTTTCCTGGGACTCCTCTTCCTGAATCTCTCCTTTGTGCCGCTCTTCTCTTATGGAGATTATGCTGTAGCTGCTCCAGCCCTGCCTCCCCTCTCTGTGGATTCCGGTTTGGAGGCTGTGCTGTCCCTGCAACTGGCTGGCGCTAAAGGAAGTCCCCCACTGCTGGAGATCACACCAAGATATGCTGCTCCAATGTGCGTTATGCAAGGCCACCAGCCCGTCAGCTCCCTCTCTGCCTGGTGCCTGCTCTGTCTCCTGCTCTCTGTGTGTGTTTCTGCCTCCCTTCCTTTCCCTCTCCACCTCCCACCCTCCCTCCTCCTGTTTCTTTCTCTCTCTCAGTACTCCACTGACACAGCTCCTCCCCCAGCCAGCCTCATCAGCCGCATCAGGTATTCATTCAAAAAAACACACTCTACTTGGCTCGGCGCCCAGACTACGCTCACACAGAAAGAGAAGGGGGGGGGGGTTGAGGGAGGGTGCAACAGACAGAGGGTGAGGAGGGAGAGTGAGAGCTGGAGATTCAGAAAAGGTTTGCTCAGACAGACATGCTGCATGAATGTGAACCACTGTGAGATTTGCACTGACGTGCACTTGCAAAAACACAATATGCGAGCATGTAAACCAGCAGAAGATTAAACCGCACAGTGTAACTGCACTGATCCATTGTCCATCCATTTTGATATGGATTTCTCCCTAACGGAAAACTCTAATCTGCCCACGTAAGTTGCCATACACGTCCATTCTCAGCCTGGTTTTTAGCGGCAGAGCGACCTACTGTACACCGTCACAGGTCTCTCAAGGCCGCCACAATCTCTTCCTCAAAGATATTTTCTTCTGTGTAGACCGGCAGCCCTGATAAACACCCTCCACCCAGCCACTTGGCACAGGAGCCCTCATCACCCAGAAGACCTCCTCCTTGCTTATCCTGTAAAGCTCACAGCGGAGAGACTACAGACAGGCATCTCACAATGCTTGCCAGCTATTTGCACCTCTGCAGGTCAGACCTTCTGGCATCACGTCTTCCAAGCAAAACATCCAGACCACGAGAGGCCACATTAATCTGGAGTACGCATAGAGAATACTATAGCACCACAAAAATCTTTGGAGTGAGGATTGATAATTGTAACACTGACGGTTCTGAGAAGAGGGCGTGCAGTGACTAATGAAAGGTGTCATTTTTTCACTGTAATGATTGTAATGATTTGAAATTATTTAAAAGCAAGAATTATTCAGAGAATAGTTGCTTTATACTTCCCACAACTGAATTTTCATGGTTCTTAAACTGATCTCTGAGAGAATGAAAATTATGGTTTCACATTTGGAACAAAGGGACACTTTTTTTCAAAATATTCTCTTTGGTTGCAAAAAAAAATTCCTGATCAGAGATTGCTGTATAAATTAAAGTAAAAATTATTAGTATTTAGTTTTAAATACTAATGATCACTTAAAGATACCATCTCCTGGATCATAA